TATGTCAAAGTATAGCATTAACCACTTGACTATAGCTCTTAAAAGTATTATATTATAATGTAAAGCTACATTTTTTAGTAAAAATGCGGTTTTCTTTGATGTTTAACATACTACAAGGAGTATATATTATAAACTATAGGTTAAAAAAGTAATATATTTTATAGGAAGTAATGTAAATATTCACTATAATATTTCAGAGTTATTACAGTACCAAAAATTCACCTCACAGTCAGTTTAGTCTACTCCAAAAAACCATACACAACCCTTTTACTCACCCCAAACATCTATTTTTACCCAACCTCATCACCCGAATTTAGACATCCTTGACCGCAAACAAAATACGAAAGAAATACCCTTAGGCTATCCGGGGTTTTCGCACTTTTCTTGGCCACAAAATGACTTTTTTCGAGATTTTGGAGCCCATACATGCCAAATGAAATTGGAAAATGAAAACAATTCGGTCGATTAATTTTTAGAATTTTGAAATTAATACCTAAATTTTAAACACCAATTAGCTTTAAGTAGCTTTTGCTACCCTACGATAGCCTACCGTACCTTACCCCACTCAACCCTACCCTACCCTACCCCCTACCCTGCCCTACCTTACCATACCATATGCTACATTATTCTACCATGCCCTGCTCTACCTTATTCAATCCCCACTTTTTCCTTTCTAACATCTTCCTATTCTACCCTGGCCTTTGTGATATTAAAAATGCCGTGCCCTTTCGATTGCCTACTTTTTTAAAAATTTACGACTAATTTTTCAAACTTCAAGCCATTTACAACCAAAACAACTCGCTATAACGTGTCCAAAACCTTGTTCATTTTATAAAACTACAATGTTGAAGCTTTTCACATGCTATTTACTTAATTTTAAATATATTTGTTCTTCGAAAAGAGTGCGTGCGAGTACTAGAATAAAGCACAGATGTTTATGGAAACCATTATTTTGAAAAATAAAATGGTTTTCCTTTTCTCAAAGCACGTGCCAAGTGTAAAAAGGAATGGCGTGTCGTGAAATACAATTAACATTTGGTAGTGTTGTTGTAAAGTTACAGTGATAAGAGGTTTTAAGCTGTGAATGTTGGGGTGGGTAAATGATCTGTAGACTAGCTTGTTAGTTGGTAAAAAGGTAACAAAAAATTTTTAAATTATATTTATACTTTTATTCCAAAGTTTTAACGCTCATATTTTAAATTATCTTTAAATTAAAAAATTGAAACTACGATTTTAAGCCCAAAAAAAGTTGATTTACAAAACAACCTGTCCACCCCTTCCACCAAAAAAATATTAAATATTATTTTGTGTTCCATACCTCACACATAGAAAATTAATTTGTTACTTAACCCACACCCAGCTCAAAAAATATTTTTACCCCGCTCAACAGCAATTGTTTTGAAAAATTGAAAAAAAAACCCTTTGCAACCTAAACCCCCACCCTTCGTTGCAATTTAAACCCCTACCCACCCGCTAAACCCCCCTTTCAAACAACCTCATCTTAAATTTCATGCCCGCCAAAAAGTTGTGGCCGCAAGGGGAAATGAACTCCACATACTATTGGGCATGTAAACACTTCTATCTAAAGAATCCATCAAGTATATTATCCATTACACTGCAGTTGGTGTCGTTTTTCTTATCTCTCCATCTTCAGTTTTACCCCTCCGCCGAAAAACGCGAAAGAAAGATTGGCCTAATCAAATTTTGCGAACCACCACGCCTTATAATTACGAGGTTGGATTCGTCAGGCTACCATGTAATTTCCATGAGTTTACTCTGCATAAAATGGTTTATATTAGAATTCGAACTAGACATGAGCAACGGGCCGGGCCGGGCTTAATGTTCAAGCCCGGCCCGTTTTTGATTTTGGCCAGGCCCGGCCCGATCAGAAAAATTATAGGCCCGGCCCGGCCCGTTTTAAAAAATTTTAAAACTTAAAAACTAAACGGAAATTTGACTTTAAATTGTTTTTTTAGGTCATTTATGGATCATAGAATCCAATAAAATCGAAAAACATAAACGGGAATTGAAATAAAAAATTTTAAAAAATTAAAAAATTTTTTTCTCGGGCCCGGGCCCAATTTTCAAGCCCGGCCCGTTGCTCATGTCTAGTTCGAACGGGTTTTGTGGGGCTTGCAAAGTAATTGTGGTAGGCTTTTAAAAGTTAAAATCTGACTTAACAATTGAATTTTTCCTTTCGATTCTAAGTTTAAAAAATCAAAACTTCCAAATTTTAAAATTCTATCTCATAAAATGTTGTACACGGCAGACTTTCGTTATAAGCAAAACCAACAAACAGCCATATTATGTTGACTAAAGCCAGAGTTTCCTTTGTCGACCGTTTTTTGCTTATAAATATAACTGCTGGGACTAGTTCGCCTGTTGACCATGACAAGAGTTTTAAGTATTGATCAAAACGGAAGTTTTGTTTTATAACCAAAGTTAATATAAGAAGATCAAACTGTATTATACGTAGCTTTATAACTACGGTTTAATCTGGTTATATTAACCTATGTTATATTATAAAACAAAACTTCCGTTTTGATCAATACTTAAAAATCTTGCCATGGTCAACAGTCGATCTAGTCCTAGCAACCCTATTTGTAAGCGAAAAACAGTCGACAAAGGAAAATCTAACTATAGCCAACTGAAAATGTTCATTTTTGGTGTTGCTTATAACGAGAGTCTGCTGTGTACAACATTTTATAGACTTGAAAATTTGGGAAACTCAATTCTTTCAAATTAAAAAAATTTTTACTTTTGAGAAAAATTTTTTACTGTGAAATTAAATTTAAACCTTCAAAAACCTACCGCAATAACTTTGCAAACCCCAAAAAACTGGTCCAACCCCAATGTATACCATTTTATGCAGGATAAACTCGCGGACATTAAATGCAATTTTTTTTCTTTTATTAGGTTGTTCAAATAATTCTGTATCCCCTTCCAAAGCAAATTTTTGAGACTATAGAGCATTTAATTATTAGAACAACCTAAAATATAATTAAAAAAATAGAAAATTCAACCTTAGACCAAGAATAGTAGAAAAAACAGTGTGTTACAGCACTATTATCAAACGCTATGCCCAATGGCATAACTATCTAAAGCTATATCGAATAATATGACTATCAGAAAGCCACTAGTATCTTAATCCCTCCGATATAAAACTCCAACGTGCAGTATCCCTTCAGCACGTACTCTTATTAAATTAATCCGCAAACTTCTCGTAATTCGTTTTTTTCTATTACACAAACAAACTGTAGGGTTTTTTGGAACTAATCATATGGTTTTTAGAATGAATTGAAAAATTTCAGTATTTAATACTTTGCAAATTTTTGACCATATTTTAGATAATAATTTAAAAACGTTTGACCAAAAAAGCGATCAAAATTTGTAAAATGTTACCTAAAATACTAAAACAGAAATTTCATTCTCAAAAACCTTGTGATTAGCTCCAAAAACCTTATAGTTTGTTTGGCAATAAGAAAAACACATTACAAAATGTTTTCGGATTAATTTGATAAGAGTACGTACCCAAAAAAAATATTGCATATTGCCCTTAAAATGGATTTGCTCAACAATACCTTAACCAATTTCCAAGAAAACCAAATTTTAAACCACCTTTACCAAAAACAAGTCAAAAACCTAAACATCTTTAGCAAAAACAAGTTAAAAACCTTAACATCTTTAACAAAAAACCTAAAACATTAACACTATTCAAAAAATAAAGAGAACCCTAACATCTCCTTTCCGAAAACATTGAAAAAAGCGTATCTGAACCAAAAAATGATGGAAAACATTAATATTCAAAAGGCGATTGTGTTTATTACAGCGCCAAATTACATGAACTCGAATTGAATAGTAGTTCATTGGATGCATTGGGTAATGCATCTGGAGTTGATTAAATTCGAAGCGAGCTTTGATTTATTTAGCGCTAATTGTGTTAGAACTACTAGGTTTATATAGTTTTAGAACTAGTAGGCCCTTATAAAATTGTGGAATTGACTATATTTAATCAGCCAGTTTATTGACATACAAGTTACAGCTAATTCGAAGCTTTACAATTTCAATTATCTTTGTTCGTAAAAATCAAGAACCTACACCTACTATAATATAAATAGATGTAACTTCATATTCAAAAAACTGATTTCCACGAAAATATGTAAAAAGTTTACATATATAATGAACATCACATATTTAAAATTTCGTGTGGTTCGATAAATGTTTGAAAAAGTTACATTAATGTTCCTTCGACCACTACAACTTTTTGATATTATCATGAACTCTTTAATCGAATCTTCCAAATCCAAAGCCCAAATCAATTCAACTATAAACAAAGATCAAAAGTAAACCTTTCTTAAACATAAACAATAACATTAGAGTACAAAATACTCCAAAAACATTGAGTTATCACCAATATTCCCTAATCAAACCCACAGCTATACGATCAAGTAGTCTTGACCATGACCATTGAAAATAAACGTACAGGTATCAGTTTTCGCCTCCAAATCCAAAACCCAAAAACAAATAAAAAGCCTGTCAACACAATGAACACATCTTTAAAATGCCTTCAGCTGCAAGCCTATCCACAATAAACAACTAATAACACTATTATATTAGCTCAAACAACAGCCTTTTTTGGGAATATTTCCATAGAAACACTTGTGTTATGGCAATTGAACACAAATACTAGGAAAGTGAAAGGACATTTAATATTTATTTCAATTTCAATGTACAATTTAAAGCTCACATTTTCTGAACCGATTTTATTTTTTCGGGAATAAATTTGGTTTATTTGATCAATAGTGGCGTTTTGTCCGACGAAGTGTCACTTTTTCAAGAAATTTATTTTATTTTTTCGTGGGATTTTTACTGAAAAACATAATATTTTATGTTACACCGTGTTGTTTTAGCCATGATTTTGTTTAAATTTACGTTCTTTGCTATATTATTATGTTATTTTAACGATATGATAATAAAAAAGTATGTTTTAGGTTATAAAAATGACAGAAACTCAAATGGAAGTCACAAATGAGCAACAGGAGATCAAGACCGAGCGTTTAGTGCCCACAAACAAATCGAATCGTTGGTGGAAGAATGTTCAAAAGGAACGGTAAGTATTTTCTTTCGTAATTGTGTTGAAATTTAGGTTATTGGACTTTTTTCGATTTATTAATGAGATCATATTGCATTAGGTTACACAGTTTTTCTCTTCCGGGTATAAGTAGCAAAAACAAGATGTAAAAAGGTGAATATTATTATTTTGCACGTTGTTAAGCATTTTTTTTGGCATGATATGAGGGCTGCTTGAGCTTTTTTGATCAGAAAATAATGTTATATTGCACTATATTTCACTTTTTGATTGAGAAGGATGTAATATATAATAAATTTATTGTCTAATGAATAACTAACGTGTTTTACATAATCTTAAACGTATTTTTTGATGAGCAATTGTTTGATATACGCTTTTGTAGTTAAAGTACGATATTGTTTACATTGTACTAGGTGATAGTTTTTAATGCTTTTTATATAAAAGATGTATGTGTATAAAAACTTCTTCAAACTGATCTTTAGCAATATTTCATTAAAGTTCAAAACGATTTCTTTTTCAGCTCATCTCACATTGTCAAAGATCGCCCGTTGCACACGAAATGGTCAGTGAAGATGAAACACAAAGCTGTTCAACAAAATGCAAAAAAGTTGCAACAACAAATCCGTGAGCAATTGGCACAAGAACGATCTGAACAAGCCGCGAAACGTAAGGAGAATGAAGAGCGTCGGAAGGCGAATATTGCCAAGTCTGAAGTTGTTCAGGTAATCAAGAACGCCGAGAAGATCAAGAGGTTAAAGAAGAAGCAATTGAAGTCGATTAAGAAGATGGACACTACTGAACTGGTTCAGAGGACTGTTAAGGTACGGTTAATATTATTTTTTGTTTTTATAATAATTTTTATTTTTGTATATTTACCATAGTCTTGGGGGTTATTAAATGGTTTTTTCGGCTAGATATATGATTCTTTTTTTCTTTAATGTGTGAAAATAGGTAGTACAATCTGAAAAACGTTAATATGTTTAAATTGGAGTTGTAAATGTGGAATACAAAACATTTATATTACGTTATGTTATAGTAGGTAAAGCTAACCACAAATCACATGTTTTTATCTTGTGTTTTGCTTTTTCTTTATTTTGAATAATATGTTTGTAGAACTGATTATGGAGCGTGAGATGGATTAAAAGGACTTGATTCTAAGGTATTGGTTTCATTGGACACTAAAGACGTTGTTGATACTATAATATACTTGTTGATTTTCCATTTCTTGTTGATAAAAACTGATAAATTTTTGGCTAAAACTACTGATTTTTTTTCTATATTTTTGATTTTGAATCATATATGGAAGTATATGGTATTAACAATTCAAGAAATGTTTTGATGTGTTAGTTATGTCATGGTTATGATGATATAAACAAGAAGAATCGATATCATTCAAAAACGATATTCAACAACTTTGAAAATGACAAATCGCAGCATAAATAACGGCGCTAGGACAAATGCGGTTTTTGGACATTTGCGGATCTGCGGTTTATAGACACTTGCGGATCTTCGGTTTTTGGACACTTGCGGATTTTTTTTAAAGGTTTTTTAAAATTTTTTAGTTAATTTAGTTGTAGTATGGTACTAAATTGTACTAAAGTTTAAAAATATAAAACAGTACCAATTTAAAATTTAGTACTATTTAGCACTAAAACATATTAAAACAGTACCAATTTACACTTTAGTACCATTTAGTACCATAATACAACTAAATTAACTAAAAAATAAAAAAAAACCCCTTTAAAAAATCCGCAAATGTCCAAAATCCGCAAGTGTCCAAAAACCGAAGATCCGCAAGTGTCTAAAAACCGCAGATCCGCAAATGTCCAAAAACCGCATTTGTCCTAGCGCCTAAATAACACGATATGAATATGAAACGACTTGGTATTCGCATATGACGTTCGAAAAGGTCACGATTCCGTCGTGGCCTCGGTTATGGGCCTGAATCAACGTTTCTTCCAATCTTACTTTAATTAACGTTTCTTTCCAAATTCCGCTTAAAAACAGCCGGTTGAAGCGGAAAAAAAAACGTTTGTTACAACAACAGTCAGTGATTTTGATCACAACATCAATTGCTTGGATTATATTGTGGTTACGAAGACGTTGCGAGCCTTTCTTTTGTTATTGTTGCCATTTTGAAGTAGATTGTTTATTCTAATCAAAATTCATTAAGATTTGTAAATTTTTGGTTGTAACGAATAGCTTTTTGATTGTTTTGTGATTGTAACAACCTCCTTTTGATTGTTTTACGACGTTTGCAAAAGAATTGGAAAGAAATATGAAAAAGGATTCGAAAGAAGCTTGAATTTTACATTGTCGATGGTAATAAGAAATGGCAGAGACAGAGCGAAAAACAATGGATTTGGAAGTTCATCGAGACTTCTGGTACGCTCCGAATGACAAGTGCTTTTTCGAGACTTGTCATGTTAGAGTAAGGTCGTGAACTTTATATTTTAACAAATTTTGAAAAGAGGAGGATTTCAATTTTTTTAAATAGTTTTTAAAACAGATTTTAAGGCTAATCATCTAACACTAAATTCACTATTTCACGAATAAACCTACAAAACGATTTATTTTAGTGTGGTGCAGCATGGGCGAGCATAATGACAACATTGATATCACTTACGGGCATTTTATACACGATTTATCATAGACATCAAACTGGAAGTTTAACAAAAAGTAAGTCGACAGAAAATGAATTCATCTACTATAAAAAATGGTAGGATTGTAAAGATTGATAATGATTGGCCTTATCATCGTTGAAGTGACCATAAGATTATGCTAGATTGATTGTGAGTAGTAGTAGCTATATCATAGTTACGGTAACTTATATATTATGTTTAGGTGGTTCAAGTAATTTGGTGCTTCCTTTCAAACTAAATTTTTGGTATTAGGGCAACATAATTATTTGAACAACCTAATATAAGCTCTTATATAATGAAGGCATTACGTTTTTGGACAAATTAAAAGTAATAACAATGTATAATTTTCAGTAGACGCTGTGTATGAACATTATCCATTACTTATCGCATTTAGTGTCCTACTAATCACTTCATTAATTGCCCTAGGAGCTAATTTGTCTAAACGAAAGATGTTGTATATGCCTCATCTAGTGTGGTCGGTAAGTTCTTCACAAAAACTGATGTTTAAGACAATTTTTTAGAAGTAAGTGGCTTCGTATCTTGTACGAAATTGAATTCTGAGTTCAATAGCCTTTAAAATCTTTAAAAATTTTTAAAAATTACTGTAAAAACGGCCGAATATAACCAAAGTTACAGTAAACTTTCAGTTATTTGCCCATATCACATTTATGTATAGTACAGTATGGTTCCTAGTGGCTATGATACGTCACATGGTAGTCAAAGAGCCAATTCCTTATTTTGAAAAAATTTGGGTCATAGGACTGGCCATAGCGCAACCTACGTTAATATATTTACTAGATGTCATCTACCGTGATTACAAGTACTTGAATCGACAGGAAAAACTATAACTAGGTTTTTAAGGATTCAGCTACTACTTTCGAGACGTATTCTGGATTATTTTTCAAAATTACCCTTGTATTTTTTGAAAAATGTTGTGTCAAACCTATATTATCCATGGCAAAACAACGATATTAGCTATATTCTCAATTTTAAAACAGTTTTGTTCATGAAATACCAAAAAAACAAGGTTGTATACGAAGCAGTAAGTCATATACTGCTGTACAAACAAAAAATCCGCGAGAATGTTTCAAATTTCAATTCTATAATCATTTCGGGTCATGGTTAATATACTACTGTTTACCTTGTTTTTAATGCTCCAAAACGTTACTGCTCAACAGCTCAGTGTTGAATGTAACCCGAATGTGGTTCACAATGTCTGCACTCATTGTGAGTTTAATTTATGACTTATTCCATTTTGTTTTGATAATTTTGGCACGGATTTCAGTAAATTATAAGTAGCAACTATAACAACATGATTTTTTATATAAAAGAAATGAAAAATCCCTTTTAGATGACTTTTACTCAACTCACAGAGAGCCGTTTTGTTGCCCATACGAACCGTCAGTCTGTTGTTACCGTGTCCCCACCGTGATCTTGCTTTCCTTGTTCGCGGGCTGTGGCTTGGCTATTGTGTTCTTATTCGGGTGGATTTCAACTTGTTGTGCTAATTGTTGCGCTAGAAGACAAACCAAATAAATTTTGAGCATTATTAACTCAAGTTTAATTATTTGTAAACTATTTTTCAACTTATTCGTATAAACATTGGAATTGGCTTTTGGACCAGCAACGAAAGACTTAAATCGCTAAAAGTTATGGCGTTCTGTTTCAATTAAATTTTTTGCGGGAAAATATTACGAAAAAAGGTTTCTGGAGTCGTTTTATGCTATTGTTAAACTAATATATTAGCTAATATTGTTAAATTTGACTGTTAAATTTGTAGTTTTAATTATTTTGCGATGTCGTCAAGAGGATCGTTGGCTGACCGGGTAACGGTCGAGAAAATCGTAAGTTTAACTCAAGTTTTAACTGTTTCCTTTGTTAAAAGGTGTCAAAACAGACTAAAGCAATATAAGATAGGGTTTTATAGATAGTATTTTTTAGCGAGAACGTGGTGGAGACATATCAGAAAAGGAAATACGATCAGCACAGACGTTTGACATGTCCAAGATTGATAACCCAGAAGAACAACAACTTTTGGCTGAATTTGACAGAAGACGTAAAGCTAGGAACTTGATGATTCCCACAGACGATGAGAGGGTTAAATACTTGCTTAGGAAGATTAGCGAGCCTATTTGTAAGTTATGTTTTTATTCGTTTTGCTGTTTTAGGTTGTCAACATCTGCTACATGAATAATATCTATTTTCTCTTATTCAGGCTTGTTTGGTGAAGATATCTTGGATCGACGTGAAAGATTGAGAAACTTTTTGTCTAGACTTACTGATGATCAAGTGTTTGCCATCCTACAGGACGATGATACGGAGAAACATGAGGCTCAAGATGATGCAGAGATCTGGTATCACAATGGTCCGCCTGAATTACGGATAGCACGGGTTAACATTGCTGATTATAGTTTGAGGAAAGCTCAAATAAGGTTGGAGAGGGCCAGAGTTAGAGCTGGAAGGACTCCGCAAGAAGTTGCGTTGGGGAAACAGGAAATGCACAAGACTGTTAGCAATATATCACTTTTTGGATCTCAAGTTACTGGTAGGTTAATATAACATTATAAGTTGGTTTAGGATTAAAAAATAAGGTTCATAAAAGTGTTTTTAATAATTTTTTGATCAAATGTTAGGTTAGTATGGCTCTTTTTGCTAAGTAAAACTTCAAGATGTGTTTTATAATAAAATGTTTTACATTTTTATCATTATTTTAAAGCTTTTACTGCGTAAACTGGAATTATATGAATGATTTTGCGTTCAGGATCAAACCGAACATCATATGTAGACGTCTCACTTGATTCAAATCACGCCATCACATCAAATTGGGGAGGACAAGTTCAAATCTGGTCGATACCGAACTGCGACAACGAATTGACGTTAAATGGACATTCAGACAAAGTTAGCTGTGCCAGATTCAGACCAGGTGCATTCAAGTCAGTTCAGCCGAATGAGGTAAACGCTGCCAGTGGAGATTTTGGAGGAAATGTTTTGTTATGGAGCTTACAGGACAATAAACCAGTGGCAAAGCTGGAACAACATGAGAACAGGGTCAATAGAGTTGCGTTTCATCCTAGTGGACTTTATTTGGGCACTACTTGGTAAGAGTTTTTGGTATAATCAAAAATGGCAGAATTTTTTATATTGGAGAAGTATAATGGCAATAACTTTCTTTATAAAGCTTAAAATGACAAAAATTTTACTTACATAGTAAAAATAGCCAAAAATTTAAATAAATAATGTCATTTTGCTTTCAGTCATGATAAATCATGGAGATTGTACGACATCAACACTCAACAGGATCTACTATTCCAAGAAGGGCACAGTGATGCTGTCTACGACCTTGCCTTTCATCCAGATGGGTCTTTAGCACTATCAGGCTCCCTAGATTCGTATGGCCGCGTTTGGGATCTACGAACCGGCAGATGTATCATGTTCCTTGAAGGCCACCTTAAAGACATCTACTCGGTCCAATGGCATCCAAATGGCTTTGTCATGGTCACCGGATCCGGCGACAATCAGTGCAAAACCTGGGACATTCGAATGCGACGCCAATTTTACAGTATCCCCGCCCACATGTCAAATGTCACTGGCATTTCATTCGACCAAGAAGGCGACCTAATGGTCACCAGTAGCTATGACAGAACCCTAAAGCTTTGGGCGAGTTCAGGGTGGCAATTGCTACGAACTTTGGAAGGACATCATGAACAGGTCACCTCGGTTCAGATGAGCCCCAATAATAAGTGGATAGTGTCGGGTTGTGCTGACAAAACCTTCAAATTGTGGAGCACCGAGTCCACCGAACTTGATCTTTAAAATAAATTATTAAAACTTGAAAAAATAGCTGGGAAAATTTTGAAAATGGGTAAACATAGGCTTAAAAATTGAAACAATGGGCGAAAATATATATTAAAATTGCAAAAGTAGGTAAAGTTGGGTTTGAAAGTAGAAAAAATGAGTAAGAATAATTAAAACTTGAAAAAATGGAAGAAAACTAAAAAATTGAAAAAGGGAAAGTAGGGTAACATTGAATAGGATGGGTAGCAAAGTTAAATATAAGCTAAAAATTGAAAAAATGGGCAAAACATAAATAAAAATTGAAAAAATGGGCAAAATAGGCCTTAAAATGTAGCAAAATTGGGTAAAATAGATAAGGATGGGTAGCAAATTTTGAATATAAGGGCAATAAAACATGATAAATTTAAAAAGAACGACTACTGTATGAAATTTTAAAAACGTGTAAGTCTTAAAATCTTCAAGATGAAGTAATTAAAAATATTATTTTTTTCAAAAATTAAATTTTAAAAACGATGCTAGTTTGTATTGAAAATGTAAAATACGGACTCTACATCATGGTCCTTAATAAAAACAAAAAAAGATGTTGATCCCACAATATCAAATTTGGATCTGTAGTCAAAATAAGGACGATGACTAACGTACGGAAGACCTGGTGCTTTTTTCATGAACAAGCTCTATGATTTCGTATAGTCAGCATGGAAATGGTTTGATTTTACCTTTTTTATTTCGATGTTGCCTAATGTCGTTGTCATGACAACTTTTTCGTTTTTTGAAATTATTTGTTTTTTCTTCAAATTTGGTGTTTATATTGTTATAGGTTGATTATTTAATATTTTTTGTTTAGAAATTAAGGCCTTCAGGTTATTCTACAAATTCTATGCGCCATTACTGCTTCTTTCACCTATGCCATGTTCATGTAAGTTGTTATGATTAGAACTGTCTTTAGGGGTGAGAAACGGGCCGGGCCCACTTTTTAGGCACAGACCAAGCCAGTGGATTAAATTTTGGGCTCGGCTTGTCTTTATTTTTGTTCAATGCCGGTCCTTCTCTAACTCAATTGTTTTTATCTAGGCTTTTTTAATTTTTTTAAGAACGATTTTATGGTCAAAAAGTAAATAGATGACAAAGTGAAACGATTTTGATCATTATTTTTAACTTCTACGTACTTTTCGACCGAGAAAGTTCAAGTAAGCTATAAAAGATTAGTAAATAAAACTTTTCACGTTTTTTAGGAGGCGACAAGAAATATTGCGTTTATCACGTTTGTAACGTCTCTGGCGTTTTTAATTTACATTGGTATGAAACAGTATTGGAGTTTATATAATGATGGTACATACGAAGAAGTATCTACTCAAAATGTTAATAAAAGTAGTAGTAAGTCTTTTTTGACATATTCGGGGTAACAACGTATTTTACAATTACAATATTTTCGCGCTATAGACAGTCTTTTAATAACAAGACCGCTGTTATCTTAAAGACCGAGTCAGAAAAATTATGGAAAAACGACTGATAAGGGAACCCTTTCTATAATTAATATGTACTGAAACTCCGGTATAACGAATTGCTTGGTGAGGGGGTTTAAATTTGTTTGTTATGAAGGAATTGTAATATAGAGAAGTTTAAATGCACTGTTTCCAGACGGCGATTTAGAAGTTGCTTGTTATACGAAAATGTTGTTATAAAGAACTTCGTTATACAGGAGTTCCGCTGTCACTTGATTAAAAAGAGAAACGTTATACCTCATTATTCTTTTGTAGTCGTAAAGTCTGATTGACGTTTTCATATAATATATCGGAGCTTTGTCCCTCGACTTTGATAGCGTGAGAGTCGTGGTTTCATGGTGTAGCGGTTAGCACTCAGGACTTTGAATCCTGCGACCCAAGTTCGAATCTCGGTGAGACCTAACTATTTTTTTTAGTTTTGGCTTTGTAAGATATAAGAATAGGTATTGCTCGCTGCACCACAATGTAATCAGTTTTTTCTTATTTTTTATTGAAAAAGTAAAACCTTTTTTCTTTATGTTGTAAATTTTTTAAATTTCAAAGTTGAATAACCATTGAAAAATTGACAAGTTTCAGCCCAATGCAGTTTCAAAGACTTTCACGTTGCATGCCTAGAAAAAGTGGAAATAATTCCAATGACAATAGCATGCATCAGCAGTATCATCTTACTAATAGGATATCATTACAAAAACTGGCGACTCTACATACCATTCATAATATCGACTGGAGTTGCGGTTGTATTTTTGTTTATTTGTATCATGACCGACCTCGTTCAAGCTCATACTACCAAAATGGCACGAGAGGACCGAGTTCGAATATACTGCGAAGTTGGGATATTTTTTGTCTTTTCGTTGTTTTACTATTACTGTATTGTTGTTGTTATTGATGCCGTTAACTTTTTAAGGTTAGTAAAATATTATTGATCTTTTTTGTGGCATTATTTGACAGTTATTGTTAAAGGGTGTGGCATAAAAATGAGGAAAATTTTATAATTGGAGGAGAATTAGAAAAACTTTGGAGAGGGTTCCTCTCTCTGTCGTGCGGCCTTGGTTAAATTTTAAAACATCTAGCTAAAGATACCAAAAAGTTTTTTTTAACTAGCCGAAAGTATCAAAAGCCCAATCGAACTAGCTAAAGATATTTAAAAAAGCGCGCTTCAGCTAGCTGAAAGTGTCAAAACATTTAAAACGATATAAGGTAATAAACTAAAAAGAGAAGCGATATACTTGATTATCGTTTCGCGGTTGTAAAGTCCGATTGACGTTTTCATATATCGGAGGTTTGTCTCTCGACTTTGAGTCTATAAGAGCCGTGGTTTCATGGTGTAGCGGTTAGCACTCAGGACTTTGAATCCTGCGACCCGAGTTCGAATCTCGGTGAGACCTAACAATCTTTTTTAGTTTTGGTTCAGTAAGTTATAAGAATAGGTATTGTAGACGCTTTTAATGCATCGGAAAGACGTCTTTTTAAATTTTTTTAGTGTTGTTTAGTTTGAAATTTGAAAAAGTTTACTAAAATTAGGGTAAAAAATCAAAAAATGGTACTTTCTCGTTAGTTTTTGTGGCTAATTTGGCTTTTATGGACCAAAATACCTTAATATATTAAAAATATGTTAATATTCCCACAATATCTGGCGACTGTGTTTATTGTGAGTTAATTTCCTCATATAAGAACAGCGATCAGCCTTCCGTTCCTCTATAAACTGTTGGTTTGCGAAACGGAACGGTATAATATATTCGCATCGTAAATTGGAACGATTAAAGGCGCAGTTTACTCGTCTTTATGTTCAAACTATTTAAAATTTAAATTCTTGCGGTGAAAGCGAGATTTTGTTGAAATTTTGTTAAAAAATCAAAATAGCTTTTGATGGAGGCTTACGTGGGAGGTTTATGGTTTATATTAGAGCTGGGTGTGAATTACTGTGCTTTATATGTGTGAATATAGTGTAAAATAATGCGGCTTATATTAGCTATGTTTGAATCTACAACGTAGAATCTTTTTGCCGTTTATAAAATTGGTTTGGTAGAACGCTAATGAAAATCAAATTTATAAGATGTTTTATGGTAGATTTGGCCATTACATATGTATTTTTTCCAAAAATTTCTCTGTGATACTGTGAACTGTATTTTAAGTCATGCTTTATATGATATTACAATTATTTTAGTATAAGTTGAATACTTGTTCTTGGAAAAGTGTGTTCTGGTTCCTCTTAATATAACTTTTATATATGTTTATCAGATAATATAGATTTTTAGAATTAGTTAGCATAAGTAATGATTTATGTAGCATTACCCTTTGATATCACTGATCTTTTGATTATTTTGTTAGTAATTTTGTAAATAGGTTTAAAAATACACAGCAGTGCATTTTAAACTTATGTATAACGAAACCCTTTTATAACGAACGATTTTAAAATACTCGAGCGATTCGTTATACAGGGGTTCCACTGTAGTATGTTATATTTAAGTTACAGTTTAGCTTTTTATTTTTAAATTGAGGGACTGTAAAATCAAATTTTGTAAAAATTTTTGTTGGCAGAGTTTTTTGAGTTAAAATTCAATGTTTAAATTCTGTTTGTTGTAGAAGGTATTGATCTTGCTTTCAGTTTACTGATTTTTGATTATTTAAACATTCATTACAAGATTGCTATGTATTTATTGATTGTACAAGTCAGGTAACAACAATACATAGCTCTAGTGGGTTTGTAGATAATCCTCGCGATACTTTCACTGCTGATATTAACATACAAATGATTTAATCATCAACAATATTCATACAGGCTGTGCTCCTAACCCAGTTACGGTATTCAAAAATAATCAAAAGTCGGAACGCGGTGTTTACTATCTCATTCTGGAGATACGACTATTTATTGAGCGACAGGTTAGAGTTCTGTCTGTTTGACGATACGTACTATTTGTACTATTAAAACGTACTATTCGTAACATAAAGTAAATTTACTTTTCGGGTATTATACGTACTGTAGGACTTAAGAAAGATTATTATATTCTTTTTAGGTACCTAAGGTACTATTCTTTTGTACTAACGGCTGCAGTTCATACTAGACGACCTAGATATCATAATTTGATTACTATTGTACTGCAAGTACCATAATTTGATTACTAGTGGATCAAAATTACCAAAATTTAACTAGTACTACTCTAAAGATACTGTAAGTCATAGAAGAAACTATTACGGTACCAAACTACTATACTGTGTTTTAAAAAGCACCAAACTCCTAAAAGCCTACTGTAATATTGCGACAGACCGCTAATGCTTCCAAACCTGACATATTGAAAAAGTTTATATTCTACACTGCTACAATAATTGTCACTGGACTGCTGGGAGTCAATAGCAGTTCCTACTGTAGTAGAAAAATGTCGGCACCAGTAGGCCTATTGGGGCATGCGCCTTTGAAACTGAAGAAACTTAGGGTAAGGCTTGTTTTTGGCTAGCCAAGGGTTTGAAATGAAATTGGAATTATATTTTTATGATCAAAAAAGGTTTTATAAATTGTTTTGGATCGATAATACTATAATATAGGTAGTATCTTAGGGAATAAAAAAGACTTGTCGCTTTTTGGCGTTCAAACACTAATAAAATGGCGACAAGGCATTTATTAACTTGTACTAGATTCTTCAAATAATTCTGTGCCTTCTCACAAAGCAAATTTTTGGAGCGAGGAGCACAGAATTATTTGAACAACCTAATAATAACGTCTAAACTTTGCTAAAGGGTCATTTTATTCCCCTTTCAGTACATCGTGTTCGGCTTCTTGTTATTCGACCTGGTGTACGGTGCGGCATTATGTATATTCGTTGGTCAGTTTTTGGAAGTTATTAGTAATTTTGGCATATTTTGGCTATTCTATGTACTGAGCACTCTTTTGGCTATGTTTGCGGCTTGTAATAACGCGGAATGGTTGTTCTACCCTGTACTTGTGTTTGTGGTAAGGGTTTTTGTTTTGTTTGTGATTACTTCTGTTTGATGAATTGTTTGGGAATTATAAATTTGTTTGTTATAAAGAAGTTTTGGTATAGAGAAGTTTTAAATGCACTGTGCAGTGTTAGCGGAATGTCAAAAGTTCTTTGTTATACGGGGTTTTTGAGATGAAAAAGTTCGTTATACAAGAGTTCTTCTTAAACCTTTAAAGGGGGCTAGGCTTGTATGTCAGCCTGGCCCGGCATTTTAAATAAATTCCTTAAAGTAGTAACTAAGACGTCTTGTAACATATTTTTAAGTAAGCACTGGCCCACCCTCTTGCCGGTTGTAGTAGGCCCTGTTTTAGGTCTAGTTCCACTAATTTTCGAACTGAAAGTTTGTTGTTTAAAATGGCTATTCTAGACTTATTTCGTATGTTAAAATACGCTATTTTAGGCTTATTGTTTCAGATTCCATTTGTGGCTGGGACATTGGTGATTATGATTGCTGTTATTGCTCAATTAGGCGTTTGTTTCTTCATGGCTGGTAAGCAATCTTTAATTTTCTTTACTTTACTTCTGCCAATCTGGTCTTCTATTCTCTATATCTTGCTATATCTTCTTCTACTTTAGCTGTTTTTAATATTCTTTTAGCTTTCAAATACATGTTAGGGTGCTGGAAAAGTCTTGTCATTTTTTTAAACTATGGTTAACGGAAATTGGCGACAAGTGTTTTTTCAACCGTTATATTGACTCTATTGGTATCATAGTGGCTTTTATAATTTTGTTTTCAATATTATACTCGATTTTCTTCTTTTTACAAGCTTATTTTAATAATCAAAACTCGTCAAAATCTTATTTTACCACGTCTTACTTCAATATAGGTAACGTGCAAATGCCGAGTCCTTTCTTAGAATGCGCGCAGACGATGGACCTGCAGACACGGCTCTCCTTCCTTGCCATCCTCATGTTCTCCACCTTCATTCTGGTGGAGAAGGTGCTTGAATTCGTTGTGATTCGCCGTCTGATGCGTTTGATCCGCGAAGAGAAGGAGAAGGGCGATCGAGTGGGACTGGTGGGCCGATCATTCTCTTCGTTGGGCGGAAAGAAGCCCAATTTGGCGGCTAAATTTGCACAACGTGAACCAACCGGAGTGGTGGTTAAGGATGTGCGAGATTCGGATGATGATGTAGGTTTTTTATATTGTTGTAGGTATAGCTACCCTTGCGTTTACTTCTACCTTTATCCATACCTATATAGAAATACCCCTCCCCTCCCTACCACATAAACTATAATTTCTTTCATTTACCCTCTATCCAATTTTACAGTTTTTACAGTATGTTTCAGTTAGTAGTGTACCGCAATAGCACCGTACCCAACGAGCCGAGTTCACTGGAAGCACCGAAGACAATGTTACCACCAGCTTCGCCACCACCCGCTTACGAGCAGGTTTCCACGCCCACGGATTCGGTCAACGAACTACCTATTAATCCAAAAAGCAAACGCAGCATTGAATAGGTATCCTTAATATGTAGGTTGTACAAAAAGTAATGAGCCACTGAACTCTTACACTTTAGACATGATATTTTTAGGTCTAGTTGACTCGTAGGTACATAATAACTTAAGAATAATAGTTTTAGGTAAAGAAACGTTAGTTTTAGGTAAAGAAATGCTAGTTTTCGGTAAAAAATGCTAAATTTGATAATATATAAAATTAAAAAAAAATTTTTTTGCACCGTGCACAACTTTTCATAGACTTATAAATTAGACAAAACCAGATTTGATCAAAAAATAGTTTCAACACACAATAACATTACGTTAGGTATTTTCTAAAAGCACATATCAAATCTTAACCTAGCTCGTGCTTTGAACAATCAATATTTTTGTTTTACTGCACGGTGCAGTCAAAAAATCATCACAACTCTCCTACTGACCCCTTATAATGACCCTTTGTACTAGCCTAAAACATAATAACAAATAAGTCAAATAAACTTATAAATATATTCTTCACAGTAATTTTTATGTATACGGTAATCCTATTCATTGCTGCGATTTGTTTTTACAACTACTTTAAAATTTCACAATTTAAACGGTTTTTTGCACTGTGCAAAGACGTTTTTTTTAGTTTTCTAGCCAAACCAAGTGAAATTTTTAGCTTTTTTGCCAAATATATAATGTGAATTTTAAAAGTTGTTGTAAGGATTTGTAAACCGTTCGATTTTTTTTTCAATTTATTAATCCACACATCGCTCAAAGATTCTGATTTACTTAATATTAATATATGTATTGTGCATTGATTTGCAAACGTTTTGTTCATAAGATATAAAAACGTACTTAAGTAATAAAGAATGCTCACCAAATGAAAACTTTGAGCTTTTATTTGTATTGTCTTCATCGAGGTTATTCAATCAAACCGCCTGCCTTATCAGAAAACAAATTTTATGTTCGATTGACCGGAAAATCGCTTCAGACTAGAAATTTAGTGGCGAAAAGTGCTTAAGGCACCTTAACATACTTTGCTATAGACTTTAACGGTACAACTTTACTACACAATTTGACACTGAATTGCTTTTAAAAACAAACATCTGTTAGGTCGTCATATTACTTTAGATTTGTTATAAAAACGTCCTACATTGAGCTTATAACCTAATATCTTTGAAAGTTAACTAAAAGACACTTTGTTTGGCTACAAAACTAAAATCATCTAGAACTTTACTGTAAATTACCAATTATCGTCTTATTTCCGGGCATACTTTCAAATTGATCTCCCTCTCTAACATCTATCGCTATTTTTAAAGTGAAAAAGCCAAAAATCCTCAACTTTTTTGCTGTTTTTAAATTCATCTACATCTTCTAATTTATTTTTATTCATATTTTCCTAATATATTACCCTAAAGTTGTGATGAAAGATGAGTGAGAGTGAGGAACGTCGAGATATTCGAATAGTGCGGCCGATCATTCGAGAATTTTTCGATTTTGAAGTGATACAAGATGATTTACTCAGGTAATTTGAATTTAAAATAATCAGTAGAGTTTACTTTAGCTTTTTTATCGTTCATTAGTTTCAAAAATTGTCGCAAAACCTGCTACCTTGCAGCCCGCGCGACCCGCACGCAGCCTGCAGAGCCAAAAAATAGAAAAAAAAATATTTTCAGAAAAGCTCCAGTCCATCTAGGAGGCAATTTCCAGTCTGTTCGACTTTTCGGTGGCCAAACTGTAGCCCAAAGTTATGCGGCGGCCAAGAAAATCTACAAGACTAAGCATCCCGAGCGTTTGGACGTGAACTTTATAGCTCCTGGCAATGTTCATCGAGATTTATATTACCGACATAAGGAATTGAGCGGCGAATTAGTTCAGATCAATGTAGAACAAGATGGGAAGGTCATAGCAAATGCAATTTTGAGGGTAGGTTTAGCTTATTTTGTGTTTTGATGGTTTAGGTATGTTATCCATGATGAGTTTGAAGGATTAGGGTAGCCGACGGATTTGAAAGGATGGTGGAGGTATAGGATTGAAAATTTGACTGCAGTTTATTATCTAAATAAAGGACCATCCTTTTCAGATGTCTTCAACTCCAATAACAGCCAAAACCCGGCCGTTTTCGACCTATGTACCTGCTGAAATCAAGGGACCGTTACATTACAAGAATCTGAATGCATACCTGTTGAATATGGAGCAAAATGAATGGAGAAGAAAGCACGGTTTCACAGGGAAACTGGAGACAAAAGAAGATGTATATTTGTTCGATTGGAGACCTGTTAACATCCAGAAATACCTCGGTTTGAGTGGCGAACGGACTGTGACGCAGGTTTGGGCAAGGTTGGCGGATTCTGTTAGGGGTATGTGGTGATTTTTCGGATTAGATATGAGATGATAGACTCAAAAATTTTTTTAAAACATTTAATAGGCTTTTACTAATGTTTTGACCAATAAAGCTATGTTATAGTAGATTAACTGAAGTTTATTCTAGATTTGCCCATAACAGACCCTTTATCAATACCTATTTTGATGTCAGACTGGACTATAGGTCATCCCATTGCCATTTATCATAGACAGTTACAAATTGAAATACCCAGCAGTGCTTCGTTAACTCATAAAATCATCTTTCATCAGCATAATGTTAATGTAAGTTACTTTGTTGTTAACTCTTATCTTTAGGCCTTGTTTGAAAAATTTTGGACTTTAGTCATTGACATCTTAATTATAGATCAAATATATGTTAAACTATGTTATAAAAACGAATATGAGGCTGTTTAACACTAAAAAAGGTATAACAATATAACTTTAGCCCTACGGTTTCTTCTTTCTCCAATTTGATATGGATGTGGCCAAAGACGGCACCGCCTTGATGGTGGGCCAAATATTCGACGAAAACCGAGAAATTGTCATGTCTTTTTTTCAAAATCATTACTTTATCAGCGATGCCAACGATTTGAAAACACACATTGAACTCAAATCTCGAATTTAATAAAGTAATCGCTAATATCTCAAATAAGAATTATTGTTTTAGAAATATATTAGCTTTATTACTTTTTACCTTCAACCACATATCCTAAAATAACAAAATTTCATTAGAATTTGTCAAAAATAAATGAAAACGACATTTTTCGCGAACAAAAACACTTGATTTCTTTGCAAAACGAAAGAATTCAAAAAACAAACGAAGAAAATCGTGTGGGGGTATAGCTCAGGGGTAGAGCGCTCGCTTAGCATGCGAGAGGGCTGGGGTTCAATTCCCCATACCTCCAGAACCACTTTTTGCTATTTTATATATAAAAATTTAAACATTTAAACTTGTAAATATTTGAAAATTTATTAAATAAGCTTTATAATACGTTTAGAATACTATTTTACTAAAAACCTTAAGCGGAAAAACGATAAAAAGCTGTTTTTTACTCTACATGAAGGAGTTTATTTGGTCCCGCGACGAAAACCCTGCAACAGCAGGCCGGCCTTAATTTTATTTTTTGGCCAATTTTTTTTAGAATTTTGATAAGGTTAGTAATATAAGTAGTACTAATATACTAATTCAAGTAAAAGTTTTAAAAAATCATAATTTTTAAATATTTTTTTTAGTGGTTTATATAAATCTTCTCAACGTTTTGTTTAATATCTAAAATTTGCGTGATTTCTTTTGCTAAAAAGTTAAAATACGTCTTTTACAATCTTTATGTTTAATTTCAGTTTGAATCATGGTACTTTTGCCGTCGAATCAGAAGGAATTCGCTGATCCAACATACTGGAAGAAGTTCTTCGAGAAGTGCGACAATTCTGTGTTCGAATGGTATGGCGAGTACATGAGTTTGGCGCCAATACTTGAGAGTTATATCAAGCCGAACTTTAAGATTCTTCAGGTTGGATGTGGTAACTCGAATTTGGCAGAACAAGTAAGTTTTTTTGTCTTTTTTGTTGGTTTTTAGGTACAATTCGAGGAATGTGTCATAACTCTGTCAAAAGTTAGCGAAATTTAAAAAAAAATTTGTTAAGTAGCTTGCTTGTAGTTTTTTAAAGGACTGAAGTTATAATTTTTTAGTTATTCGACAATGGGTTCCGAAATGTGACGAGTATTGATATTGATAACAAAGTGATTCAAAAACAGATCAAACGGAATGAAAGCCGATCAGGATTGGAGTTCAAAGTTGCTTCTGTAACTAAAGTAAGTATAGTTGTTTAAAGTAGGTACTATTTTCTATCTTTAATCACCTAATTTTTTATTTTCTATATTAATATAAGTGAAAAAGCTCTTCTTTGCTAACTTTTTAATTTCAGACTGACTTTGAAGACGAAACTTTTAACACAGTGCTCGACAAAGGTACCTTGGACGCTTTGCTACCTCCAGAAGCTGATGCCGACACAGAAAAAGTTGTGACCGAGATGTTCAATGAAATCGACCGTGTGTTAACCAACCTTGGACGTTATATTGTTGTAACCTTGGCTCAAGAACACATTGTACGTAAAGTTTTGCAACATTTCTACGACTCACAAAGATTTATTGTTCGAGTACATCGTGTTGAATCGAATCGTCAATTCTCCATGCCGGTATTTGTATTTGTTTTCACTAAACTGAAGGGTCAGATGAAGACTGCCATTGAATATGTGAACTCAGCGAACCGAATTGAGAGAATAGAAGAAGTTGATGCTTTGATGACAAACTTGACTGGAGAACGAGAATTTGCTTGGTTATTCCATCAGACTTCTGGGTAAGGGGGAAGTTAAAAGTTTTGTTATAAAGGGCATATTAAGGATAATATAACTTCTTTTGTCCAGAACTTTTTTAGTGTAAGTATAGAGAGTTGACACTTTTAGGAATTATAGGTTTTTTTATTTTGTTATCATGGCTAAAAATGGCAGTTCTTCAAATTTTTAAGTTATGTTAATTTTTGATTTAAAAACGCCGAAGGTTTATCTCGTTTTTGATTTTAAAATTATTTCATTGACATTATTTTAGCTGTTTACGTGAAGAAGTCTCCCTAACTCTGAACGATTTGACCGGAAAACCTCGATACTCATTCACGATCTTGGACGATCCTTCCTTAACAACCCTTCTTACTTACGGTGTCTTTGTAGCTCCCGTAGGTCACGAAACGGACTGGCTTTTCTCAACCCCAAAAGGTCGTGCCACTCTTCGTAAACAATGTTGTCGACACAGGCTTCTTTTGGTCAGACTAATGCCAAACCAGGTCTACCTATCCATCAATCATATTGAACTGGAAATTACTGATCTTGCTCAACGATTGGCACCACCCTACTTTGGCCAAAAATCGATTGAATTCTTATCTTTGGGTCGAATGGAATCAATGGAAACCATCGCTTCAGGAGAGTCACCGGTCAACGGAAAATGGACAGTAGAGCACGTTAAAGGTATCGAAGACAAGGTCTACCGACGCCTCATCTTCCTCAACTCGAGCAGTTTGATTCAATCCGAAGTGGAGATGACTCAAACCAAAAACAAGCTCAAAATGAACGACGACTACCTCTCCTGTGACCATCATCGCTCCATGATCACGGCCCTTCAATTCATCGCCGGAGACTTGGATTCAGCCATTGCCAAGTCAGAAAACTACAGATTCTGTGTGTTAGGATTGGGAGGAGGATTGTTGGCCAAGTTTTTGCACAAAAAGTTGCCGAAATGCAAAGTTGTGGGTATTGAATACGATCCAGCTGTGGTGAAGATCGCCAAAGGACAGTTTGCGTTGCCAACTGATGACAGAGTTGAGGTTAAAGTGTGTGATGCCTATGATTATATGCTGGAGACTAGTGAGAAGTCGGGTAAGAGGTTAATTTAAGATTTTGAGGTTGATGGAACTTGGAGTTAGGGGGTTGAAATGATTTTTTTTTGGTTTTATTGCTAGATATTGCGGTTAGAAAGGCACTTTTCGATTTAAAATTGCGGTTTTTGAATAGAAATGAGTATTTTTAAAGATACATGAGCAATATTAAGGGTGAAAAAGGGGTTTCTGTGGTTTTATTGGGTTTAGAATGGCATTCTTTTTAAATTGAGAGGTGATGGTGAAGATATGTAGAATGGCAAAAATTTTGGTTATCAGGGTAAAATTTGATGAAATTTAAAGATATTTTGCTATAAAAGGTAGTTTTATGTCTACTTTTTGTTATTGTTTTATAAAGCCTTTAACAAATGGATATTATACTAAAATGATCAATTATAACATGCTTGGTCATTTCAGACGAAGAAAAATTTGATGTAGTATTCATGGATTTGGCCACAAGTGAAAGCGACATCGATGGTCTAGCTTGTCCACCATCTAAGTTCGCGACTCCAGAAGCTATCGAACTGGCCAAGAAATGCCTAAAACCGAAAGGAGTCTTCACCATGAACTTGGTGACCAGAGATGACGAGATTGTGAATAGAGTCAAGAATGACACGGTCAAAGTGTTCCCGCACGCTCATGTCATCAATGAGGAGGAGGATGTGAACGAAGTGCTGGTCTGTCCACTTCATTTCGATAAGAACGTGCTCAAGAAGTTGCCCAAAGATCAACTGGAACGATGGATCGTGAGCTACACGAACATGCTACAGAAGCTACAACCAATCGCGACCAAGAACAAGAAATAAGAAGGGTTTGGAGAGATAAGATGTTGTGGGTCATAAGCTGATGTTTTATACTATAATATGGCATTGTATGACATATGGTGACATTTGAAGGTGTCGTTTGTTTTTCTTAAGGTGTCACGTGTCATAAAGTGCCATTTGTAGTATAAAACATCATGTTATGGTATAAGAGCTCTTATTTTTTGAAATCTCAAAGTTTTGTTGGAGTTTCAGCTGATTTCTAGGTTGTTATAGTAGTATCTTCTTGAAAAGAGTGTGTTTTTTCGTATTTTAGGTTTTTTTGTATTTTAGATTTTTTATTTTCAAATTTTTAAGTACATTTTTTATTGATAACTATGTTAGAAAGTTGGTTATTGGCATTGTAAACATGTTACTACAGGAGAAAGGCGTTCTTTCAACGATATCACTGTAATTTGTTGTTATTTTCAAATCTTTTTTGCTGAAAACGAGTTGAAATTGGATTGGAATTGGTCTGTTAAAGGTTATTTTAGATACATTTTTTGAATTTTTGTACTGGAAATTGGTTAAGTAAAACAAAATTTTTAGTATATTATCATACATTGTATGTACGATTTTTGCTATATTATCATGTCTTGTATGTACAAAAAACATTTGTTCTACTTTTTTATACGTATATGAAGGCCAAACCTAATTAGCCAGACTATTGTCAATTTTGAAAGGCTAATTCTTCTAAAATAAGTTGACATTTGACTGATGACATTCCAATTCTCAAGCCATTTTCAAGCATTAAAGTACAAATTAGGAACTCGATAACGACCGTTTTCTGTTATATTAGGTTGTCCAAATAATTTCGTGCTTCGTCTTAAAGCAAATTTTTGGGGTTAGGGGCACAGAATTATTTGAACGATATAATAATATCATGCGGTTTTAAAAATTGGAGGTTTAAGGTATATTTTGCCAGTTTTTGTGGGTTTCAAAGGCTGTTTTTATGATAAAACGTTTAAAGTTTAATTGGTTTGGGCTAGGAAGGCTCAGTTCTAGGGCTTATAGGTACTGCGTTGAAGAAAAAACGTGAAAGATTTTGGCTTTGGTTTAAGAAGCTTTACTTTTAGAGTTTTTGGGTACAAACAAAAACTGAAAAAAGTAATGGATTTTGGCTATTGAAGCCTATTTTATTATTAGAACTCTATAACCTACTATAACATGGGTTAATGGACGTATATAAATCTTTGCTTATATGACTTTTTTGTTAATGTGACTTTGCATTAGCCTCATTAGACATTAGGGCGTGTGAAAAAGCCTATAGTAAGGAAAATAATGGTGGAAAGTCATATAGAAAGCATTAAAAAGATGAAAAGTCTATGATGTAAGCCATTTGAAATTGAAAAAGTTTACAGTATAAGCTTCTAGGGCTTCAAAAGTTTATGGTTTTTACGCTTTAAGTCTTGAGAACTAATAATCCTATAAGCCTTTAGAACTAAAAAAGTCTATGTTAACTTTATATAGTCAAAAACTGTAGAATATGAACCATACGAAACCAACAAAGCCCATGATATGCCTTAAAAATAGTAAACGGTCGTTTCTTTATACTTTATTGTTATTTTTCTTTGTTTTTTTACATTGATAATGTCGTTTTTTGTTAATAAACTTACAGGTTTAAAATTTGGTGTGAATGGATATAGATTATGTGTTAATTGTCTATCTATGTTACTTTTGTGTTATGTTGCGCTTCATTTCGTTTTGTTTTTTCTATTTTTTGTGTTTTTTATTTTTTTGGGCTTGGGGGTTTTATTAGGTAATGAGTGGTTTTACTTTGCCTTTACTCTTCTCTTACGTTAATCTATTCTTTTCTTGCTTTTCCTTGCCTTGTTCAACCTACATGGTGAACGGGCCTGGCTTAAAACTCAGCTTCTACTTTATAATATCTTGCCTCTGGTAAGTCAAGTCAAAAGGGATTTCTTGCCAAAGCCAATGATTTATTTTGAGCTTGTTGGACAAAATTTTGGTTAGGTTACCATTATTTCAGTTTCTTTTTATCAACCATTTTTATATTACATAACTTGCAAAGCCAATTTGATGGCCAGACAAATATTCGTTTGTTTATTGGCATGTAGATGCTAATACTTTATTAGTATAGTATCATTTTTGACAATTAATGAGTTGCATTGCACGTGTTATTATATTAATACGATTCGTTTTTATTATATTTTATGACTTATTTACATGAGGTTTTTTCGATTTGTCTATGTCATCCTAATTATTTGACAAAAATGAGGGGATGATGGGTTACGTATTGACGGTCTGGTTTTGGAGAGAAACTGCTGTCGTGCCTTGACTTGCTATGTCCTGCTATACCATGCTGATTCTGCTTTGCTTCATTGCTTTGATCTGGTGTTCTTCTCTGCCTTGTCTTGCCTTGTTCTGCCCTGCCTTACATTGCTTTGGCCTGTCCTGTTTTGCCTTTTGCCCTGCTTGGCTATGCCTTGCTTTGACGTGTCCTGCACTGTTAATACCTGTTTTGCCTGGCCCTTGCTTTGTTATGCCCTTACCTTGCCTTGTACTGCTTTGACCTGATCATTCATTGTGGCTTTTATCTGCTTTGCTCGTTTTTGCCTTATCTAGCTTTTCTCTACCTTATCTTATTCTACTTTGTTCTTCTTTATTCTACACTGTTCTTCTCTACCTGACCTTACTTTACCTACTGATAAATCAGGTCAAAAAGTGATGTCTGACCGAGGTTAATACTCTTATTTACCCCAATAACCCACCTTTTTTCACAACTCTATTTAATTACAACATTAATACGGGTTATAGTATTGTTGTTGTTTAGAAGAGTTATGGGTTTGCACTATTAATTTGTAACGCATTATGGAATTCCGCATGTACACTGTAAAATGGCATGTTTTTTGGAAGTTTCCAGCGATTTTTGATTTCCAATAAATTACTGTCAAAATTAAAAATTTACACAGTATTTTCGGGGAACAGTAGGTGGTTGTCACATTATTTCGGTCAACGTACCATGATATTATTGTGGTAATACTTTGGTTTGAATATTGTAGAGCGGAATTGGAATTACATTACTCTGTATATTGATGAATATATATTACACAAATGCTAATGTTTTATATAGTAATGCATTAATTATGAAGCAGCACCGGAAGCTGCCTATTTTTCATTTGTGTTAGGGGGTTTATTTGAGTAGATTGGCATTTTAAGGTACTGTAATGTAGTTATATGCTATATCTAACTTTTTACGCTCTTTCACATGCTATAAATAGGTCTCAGTTCTAGGTCCGATACCTCACTATTTGCCTTTCCCTTGTAATGCCATTTTTGATGTTGTGTTAAGAGGGGGTAGGGTTGAAAAGGGCGAAAAGGGAGGGTGTATTGTGGGGGTGAAATTTTGAAAAGTGTACAGTTTTATTGTTTACTGTAACTTTTCAGAGAATATATAAGAGGGGCGGCATCTTTTGCAAAAACTGTAAGTAAAGCGGACTTTTTCACAAAAAAAATGGCAAAAACTTTCTTTAAAAAACAAAAAATGACAATCACTTTGTTTACAAAACAAAAAATGGTAATAACTTTGTTTACAAAAGGCAATATTGCAAGAATTTTCTTTACAAAGTTGGAAGTGGCAAGAACTTACTTTACAAAAGAAAAAATGGCAATAACTTTGTTTACAAAACAAAAAATGGCAAGAACTTTCTTTACAAAACAAGAATGAGAAGAACTTTCTTTACAAGATTGACAAAGGTAAAAAATTGTGTTTCTAGTTATATGGCACTGCCCATTTTGTTGCTGTAATTATTACTGCTAAATGGCATGATTTACAGTTTAACAAATCATGTCCACGGATATGAAACAAGTTTTTCGTTTTAAAATAAGATGTATATCACATATGGCACGCAAACGTGTACATACTAGAAAGTTAGTTTAAAATTGTTTCACAATTGTACGTTGTGTGCTTGTGTTACAACAAATTGTACCCATCTCTTTTGTAACGCATTCATGGTTTTTGTAACACACGTATGGCTTTTGTAACATATCACCTTGTATACTTAGTTATTTTGGTAATCTAAATTGAAATAAAGTATAAGTACGAAGGGCGGTTTTGAACGGCATGTTTGTTGTGGCGAGCTCAGACTTTACAATCACTGTTTAATTAGTAATACCTATTTTCATTAATGTCATTGACTACTATTTATTTTAAGAGTAAGTACAAACACATTGGTTTTTATAAAAAGGATCATTTTCTATCATTATTCATCCAACATGTTGTGTTGCAAGCAGGGACGTCGTTTGTAGGAGGGGTGGGGGCACTTTGTTTGATGTTGCAGATAAGATAGGCTTGCAAATTTGAAATTGCAGGTTCATTTGAAGCTTTTGCTATCATCATATTAAAGAAAAATAGTTAAAAGTCAAACGATGAGAAATTTAAAGCTTGAAACACTACGCCAATTTGGCGGGAAATTCAAAACGCAATTTTTTGATTTCGGTTTTCTGAATTCTGGGCGCGAACCGCAACATAGAATTTTGCATAAGACCGTACATTTAATGATCTTTCAATAAAAAAATGAACGAAATCTGAGCGTTCCAGGTCCTTGTAAGTCAAAGCTAAAATTTTGTGGTTAATACGATTTTCGATCTTGTTTCCTGTAGGCTATTGTTATAAGCAACAATTAAAACCGATCATCTGGTGACCACTATTGAAAGAGGTCTTTGAATCGATCATTTTTTACATACCAACAGTTGATGACAACTTTTGAGAATAGACTTTTTATTGACTACAACCACTTCTCTACCTATGCATAATATTTTAAAAAGAGTCTTCTTATACTGTGGAACTCTAGTATAACGAACTCTTCAATAACGAAAAACTTTTTAATTTTCGATTAACACTATACCGTCTACTTTTTGGTATAGCTTTGTTCTACCGAAACTGTTTTATAAAGATCATATTTCAAATTCTCAAGCGATTATATATGTGTTCCACTGTGATTCTCTACAGCTTATAGTAACATTTTACAATTGTATTTTTATTGTTTGTCATTGTAGCGTGTACTCGAATACTTGTAGTTTTCAATTTTGACGCGCTAAACATTTTTAAGAATTTTTAAAAATTATTTGTGTTTCCATTCTTTGTAACATCGACTTACGTACTTCGATATTGTAGTAGGGTAAACTTTTGGTAATGTAGAGTTTTTTGTAGGTATTTATATGTAAGAACAAATGCACTAAAAGTGTAGACAAGTACAAGAGTTTTGTATGATAAAAACTGGGTAAAATAGTATTCATGGTAGGCTACAAGACACATTTGCGAATGTATTTAGAGTTGTATGACATTGCAGAGCATATTTATGAGGTTATAAGGATTTAATTATCGTGTACAGTGATCACTGATCTTGTTGTTGTTATAGTGGGGATACTACAATATTTGCAAGATTGTTGTGGGACCTAAGCTGGGCTTCTGGGACCTTTATTTAGGCTTGGTTCTCGGGCAAATCCAGACCCGGCCCGTATCTCATGTCTGGGTAAAAAGAAAGGTACGTTGTTGTTTACAGGTGGGAGAATTAGGTTACCTTACTTAAAAATGTATCTTGTTGATGGTTCTCGTCACTTTTTATATTATGATGCTTAAACGTGTCATTCCTACTCTATATTTTTATTGTTCACTACACTTTTGACGAAAGTTTAATTAGTTTTTGCTAATCTTACTGCTCATTATAGCTTACTCGTGTCATTGCAAATCCTTTCCTTTGGCTATTGAGAAATACAAATCATAATGAAGGTTTGGCAAACCTTGTAATGAGGGCAAAAAAGCATATCGTGAATAATGGCAGTTATTTATGTTTCGACTTGGCTGACTATGTTTTATCTGTTGGCAGTAAAGCAACTGTATTAAATGAAGGAGAGCAGGGATGGAGGAAGGAGAGTGGGGTGTGGGTTGGACATTTTGAAATTTTTTAAGGGGTGTTGTTTTTAATTTTGTACTGGTATTTACTGTGGTATTTTCTATTTTATATTGGTATATTAATACCTAAAAATGTTTTTCTGATACTTGAAAAAGGTTTCTTTGGTTTTTTAAAAGGGTGATTTTGGTACCTAAAGAGATCTGTCTGTCTGATATCCTCTGATCTTGCTTTATTACATAAATAGTGATTGTTTTTAAGTTTTAAAAGAAATTTTTATTGCCTAAATAGCTGTTTTTAGACCTAAAAATCTCTTTTTGTTACCTAAACGTTTCTTTTTAACTTCAGACAAAATAATCTTTTAGTATTAAAAAAAGTCATTTTGATACTTAAAAAAATATATTGTGGCATAAAAATGACTTTTTGATACCTAAACGTCTTTTTCGTTACCTAAATTGTTATCTTTAGCCTAGCAAGGTCTTTTGTTTCCTAAAAAACCAAATTGTGGCTAAAAAAATGATACTTAAGAATTTATTTCTGTTTTCTAAATAGTTATTTTAGGCTTTAAATCTTTTTTTATACCTAAGCATTACTTTTTTGGGTTTAAAAATTATTTTGTTTGGTACTCTAACAGTTTTTTTTTCTGTTTAATCAGGTAATTTTGGACCTAAAATTAAATATTCATGTTACCTAAACTTAACATTTTTCGTTCAAAGTCTAGTCTGATAGATCTTTGGCACGGTACTTTAATCTGGTTGGTATCGTTCGAACATTAATACCTTAATGATGCAGGAAAATGCATTTTCTGAGTATGAAACGTACCATGAGGTGAGGACAAAGGGTACTTTTAAGTGTATGAAAATAAGCGTGACATTATGTAGGCGACTGTTTCCTTGTTTTTAAATTGTTTTACGTTTTGTTATTTTGAATAACAGTGTAATGTATGTTGTATAGAATGTAAGGTAGCTTGTGGAATATGTTTGGGTATATGCATTTTTACTGTTTTAATATTTTTAAGTAGGTTTTTGGAGTATTTTGGAGGGTACTAAATCTAAAATTTAAAGAAGTCTAAGGAAAGTGTGGGGAATGAAGAGAGTAAAGGAAAGGGAGCCTCAAGAATGTTGTTTTTTCTTATTATTATCTTAAGTTTTAATAATATGCTGGTGTAAAATATTGCATTTGTATGATTTTATGGCCACGACTAGGCGTTGGTGGGGAAGTAGGACCGAGCAGGTTAAAACATGGTTAGGGTAGGGAAGGGCAGTTTAATGTAGAGTATGATAGGATAGTGTAGGGTATGGTAGAATTGGGTAAGGGAGGGTGGAGTAGGGTCCGATAAGGTAGGGTAGGGTAGGGTCAAGCAGGGTAGCTTAGGGTTAAGCAGAGTAGGGTAAGGCAGCGTTTGGTAGAGTATTGAGACCATTTTTATGGACAATATGTAATTGTAAAGTTAGATTAAATTGATGTTAGTTCACGCTGTTTTGTGTTGTTTAATGTGTAAAGAACGTCTGTAGAACATTATAATTACAGATTTTTTTCTGAATACTATTACATTCTATCGATACGTATTCGTTCTGGTGAATTTTAGCGTTTGTAGACATAATAATTACTTTTTGAAAAGAGTGTAGTACTTTGAAACGGTTTTCATATTTCTTGGTCTGGTGAACGATTAATTTCTTCTACTTTTTGTATAACGTACAGGACAAGACAAGGGTAGGGCGAATTAAGGTAAGGTAGACCAGCACACGATAGGGTAGAATAGGATACATCATGGTAGACTAGGGTAGAGTAGAGTAGGGTTCGAACTGTAGGGTAGGATAGAAGGATAGTGTAAGGTGGGCAAGCAAGACGTAGAGCAAGGTAGGGTAAGGTAGGATAAGGGAAGGCAGGGCAAGAAAGTACTGTAAAGTAGGGCAGGGCAAGAAATGAATAGAGGTTGAAGTAGGGCAGTACAGTGTAGGGTAGGGTAGGGATGGGTAGTGTAGGGTACGGTAGGGTAGGGTAGGCTAGGGTTTATTAGAAAAGGGTGGGGTAAGATAGGGCTTTAAAAGCCTAGTAAACTTAATTTTACCATTCTGTATATCTTTGTAAATGTTTTTTACACAGTTATTTTAAAGAAATGGTATGATACTTTAGTTCCCCCGCGTTTTACACTACTTTTTTGTGTGGTATATCGTGACAAAGCCTAGGATATCGTTTAAAGTGTATCTTATGCTTTGTTTTCTACATCAAAATTGTGTGAAACTGCTTTAAAAGTTTGCTTTTTCCTCTATCTTTTGACCTAAAATTTTTTTAAAGGTTTTTTTAGCAAACCTGTATTTTATGTATGAATAATTTACTACAATATAACCTTTTTTTTGCGTTTTTGATTTTTTAAGCTTAAATACAGTATAATAAACACTTTTTTCAGAATTGCCAAGGATAATGAATGAAAATGCGATACAGATCATAGAGATCGTAAATAGTAATGTAGTTGGACTAATGCGGATAATGGATATTGTAGTTACGACTATTGGCTTTATAATCACAATATACTACTGGAGATGTGTACTCAGGTCGACATTGATTCATGGGAATCTGAAGTTTATTTTGGTGAGTTTTTTTTTGAAAAATAATTTTTAATTTAAAAAAAAATTTTAAATACGCTTTTGTCAAAATTTTGAGGATTCGGCAAAAAATTCAAATTTTTTACGAAAATATATTATTTTGTTACCTATTTTTGACCGTTTTGATTAGATTGTACAAATAAAATGCTTGCAATTCATTTTAATCCTCCCCGATAAAATTTGGCTCGTTTCGGAGCGCTTTTGCTTCGTCGCCATGATAGCTCAGTTGGGAGAGCGTTAGACTGAAGATCTAAAGGTCACCGGTTCGATCCCGGTTCGTGGCATTGCGGCGCTGTGCGTTTTTTGATGTTTTTGAAATTGTAAATAGTGTTTAAAATGGATTTAACATATTTATAAATTATTTTTTTATGTTTTACTATTAGTTTGAAGACGGTTTTTTGGTCTAATTTTTGGGTGCTTAATTGATTTTTATTAATTTTTTTTGGTTTTTTTACGTTTTGTCTGTTTTAAAATAATTTTTAAAGGTGATAAACAAGTAAAAGTAATAAAACTTTGTTGTAAAATTATCTTTATAGTTAGCAGCATCTTTCTACTTTAACATGAGCGGTTTGGCCCGCTGCATTTTGCGTAGCACTTCAACAATCTCAGCTTACTATAATATAATCTATATTATCTGTAACACTGCTAATATCGGTAGTACTGGCTGCTTAAATTTGGTGGTGATAAGTATAGTATTAGAGCGTTTTTTGGCTACAATACACGCTTCAACCTACGATCAAACCGGTTGGAAATACGGAGTTATGTTCGTATTTATCCACATGATATACTTTATGTCGTATGTTACGGTAGTTTTTGTATACGATCATCATATGGGCTCGAATGGGGTTATAGTACCGGACGAGCCATGTATAATGTATAGACGACCCGAGGTTTTGATAATATTGTGGTTACTGTACCCTACCATCAGCCTGCCATTCATACCATTACTCTACTATGTATTTTCGTTAAATCAAAGTAAAATGGAACGACTGGTCAATTATGACTTGAGTATACGGTTTTTGTATACTCAGAACATGAATACGTTGAAGCAGGCGTTGAGGATTACGATTGTTATTGTTAGTGTTAGTATGGTAGGCATGGCTTGTGTATTGATATTGGTTTACAAGTATATTGTGCTGAAGGAAGACGGCATAACATGGGTTGATGTGGTTATTATGAATGTAAGGAGATTTGGAATTTGATTAAAAATGTTTTTTTTTGAATTTTTAAAAAAAAATTTTTTTGGAAATTTTAAATATTTAAAAATTGGATTTTCATTTAAATACTTCAAACCAAAATTAACGCTAAAACAACTTTTTTAGAGCTTAAAACTTAATAACTGTACTAAAAGTTGTTAAAAACTTCAATTTGTTACCTAAAAATGAGCAAAAATGTTAATTTGTTACCTAAAACTTAACAAAAGTCATGCTTTTATACCTAATAATAAAGAATACCTGATTTTTTTTCCATACCTAAAAAACCACCAAATATCTTAGCTTCATACCTATTCTTCCAGTTCCCATCAATAATCCTGGACTTTGATAACTGGGTTTTCCTAATACTATGGTTGTTATGGTACAGTCCTCTGCATGGTACTGCAAAACAAGACTATAACGTACTATTTTCGAAGAAACGAGTAGAAACAGAAGAGAGGAGTAGTGTCAAGAATGCAAGATTAGAAAAGGAAACCAACTTGTACTTTGATCAGTTGTGCAAAAGCTGGGATAAACCGGTGTGAAATGGCATTTTGTGAAGACTGGGATGGTAGAAATGGCATTTTATATCATTTTTATCTACCATTGTGCTGCAGAACAATATCCATAAAATGCAATTTCAATTCATGTACGGCCATTTGGTAGAAAACGATCTGCGCCCGATCAATTTTTTGGACTGCAGCCTGCAGCACGATCTGAAAAGTTAACGCCTCTTCTAACAGGGCTAAAAATGCATTTTTTATCATGATATTTATGTAAAAACTAACACACATTGTCTTTACCATTAAAAATAATGAATTTAATACAATATTAAAGTGTCAAAAAAGTCTTGTCGCTAATTTATATTTATTTTTGCGGTATAAGGCGACAAGACTTTTTTGCCATTTTAAAATAACATTGAAACGCAATACGGTTCTGTTTAATAATGATCTTATTATTGCCTACTGCCATATCATTACAATAATGTTAATAAAAATGTATATTTGAAATGGTAGCTCCTCGTAAGCAATGTTTTAGCCATTTATTTTAAGTAAAATACGGGAACGAACTTTATAGTGTTAACTATAAACTACATTTGTAATATTTAATTTTTCTGATGTAATACTGAGTTAAAAACTAAATTTCAGTATAATCGGAAGCTTTAAAAATCTAGAGCACTTTGAATTTTTGGCGCGAAATTAAAAATTTAAATTTTGAAAGTGCAAATTATGAGCTACAACTTTACAGACTTATATTGTCAATGAGATAGAGAAGCTTTGACCAAATTTTAGTATTTTATTAATTTCTAGAACTGATTTACAAAAATTTAAAGTTTTGGCGCGAAATTTAAAATTTAAATTTTGATAGTGCAAATTTTGAGCTAAAACTTTACAGCCTTAAAAATTGCTACTAATATAATGAAGCTTACAAAGAAAGTACCCAACCTGCAACTCTCAGGATTAGCTCAAAATTTTTACATTGGTTCTTTGTATTACCAATAGCACATATAAAAAATTTTAGCTTGCGGTTTTAAGTTTTAAAATTAATATATTTAATTTTCCCGCCAATTTGGCAAATTTGGCATTGTGTTTCAAGCACTTTTTTCGACTTTCCAGCCAAGCTAAACTTACAAATTTAAAAATGTAGGTTCATTTAAAGGTTTTTTACTAGCATATTAAAGAAAAATTATTAAACGTCAAAAAATGGCACAGTTATAAGCTTGAAACACAATGCCAATTTGGCGGGAAATTCAAAACGCGATTTTTTGATCTCGATTTTCTCAAGACTGGCTGCAAACCGCAACTTAGAATTTTGCATAACATCTTACATTTACGTGACCTTTCAATAAAAAAAGTTTGAACGAAATCTGAGCGTTGCAGGTCGGGTACCTTCCTTTTTAGCATAAAAATGATTTTCTAGACCCGTTTAGCCATGTATGATAACCATCGATAGTATATTTCAAAAGTTATTGCACTTTCTGTTAATTTTAGCTTGCACCGTGCAAAATAACTAATAAGGTGCAATATCTTTTGTAATAACAAACATAGTAAGAATTCCGTTGCTACGTGTCCAGGCCGCAGAGTAACACCTCCGGAATAAGACCGTCTTTTCTTTTTTTTCGTTCGAAACACGGTTTTTTTTGCAAAATCTCGCCGCTCTCGACTTCCACCTGTAGGAGAGAGCAACAGAACCATGGATAAGGTGGAAGAAACCCCAAAAGATATTCGAATTCCTTCACGTTGGCTGTTAAATTATTTTTGTGGATAGAGAGACTTGTTCTGGGCTTAAAAATATAAAATTTTGATTTTTTTTTGAATTTTTAAAATTTAAAAATTTTTGGCGCGAAATTTAAAATTATTAATTAAAAAAATTTTTTTTTAAAAGGGTAAAAGTTATACTTTCTTTTTGTTTCATTTACAATATTTTTTGCATAAAAGCTTTTAAACACGTTTTTAATCTTTATATGTCACATCTTGTAGGTATAGGCCTTTTAGCAAACAAAAAGCCCATTTTATACAAGAGTTAATAAAATTTTAAAACTAGAGTTAAATTAAAATTTTTAAACTTATTTTACAATTTATTTTATTATGTTTTACTGGAAAAAACGTATTTTTGTATTTTACAGTTAAAAATATTATTTACTCATCCTGCAGCCTGCGCCAAATTGGGCGCGGACCGCGCGATAAAATATTTTCGGAAAAATAAAAATATTTTCTGTGTAACTTGTTAATTACTCCATAATTAACTGTAAAACCATTATTTTGAGTTGAAATTTATTTATAAAATACGATATTTATTACCTTTACTATTTAAAAAGATTTTTTCTTGCAACAATGTTTTGAACCACTTTCCCGCCTGTTTTCACTCACTAAAGCAACGTTGTTTTAACAAAATTCGTGTCAAACGTGTCGTACTCAATCCGAAAATTGTTGTTTTTGCGATATTGTTATTTTCAACACATTGAGACTTTAATTACAAAGAGTTTTGTTGAATTTGGAACGATTTTCAGCACACTTGGGGACCTGAAAACGGGTAGTGATGGCGAAGAAGGTGAATAAAACCAAGGTAAGTGGTCATTTTTCGAAGGGTTTTGTTTGCTTTGAGATGTTTGTTATGTGAGGGAGCTTATGAATATGTTTTTGGTAGGTTTTTGAAATGTTATTGAGATTGTTTTTGGGTTTAAATAGAAGGGGGATTAGATTTTGTAGGTATTGATGGAGTAGGTGGGAATATTATTGATTTGAAGGTAAAATACGACATGTTCAAGCGCAGTTTTAGGTCAAAATGAAGCTTAAAGTCAATAGAATGTTATTCTAAAAGAAGTGTTAGTTTCCTTTTTTAATTTTTACAAAAATGATTTTTTTAGGAACAAGCACCTTCAAATCGCCGCCTTTTCTCATGGCCATGCCTCTTTCTATTTACAGCCGCAGCTATTGGTCTAGGAATCTACACAACTGATGTCAAGTCTATAGACGATATTATCAGACGATTTACAGATAGTAAAGTAAAGCAAGCACCACAAAAGCCAACTGCGATAATATACAATGGACCAAAGCGGATATTAGAAGCTAAGTTGGAAGATTTGGACGAAATTGATCAAAGACTGAAGAAAGAGATTGGTCATTTCAATTATGATCTATATGGACCTGGATTACACAATGTACCAGTAAAATTGCCTGCGGAGTTGAAGGCGAAATCGGAAGCAAGGTTTGGGGAGAACAACTTTGATGTAGTGGTATCGGACTTGGTTTCGATCAATCGACAACTTACTGACGTTAGAAACAAAGCGTTTGTTGTTTATTATATTTAAAATACATCCATCTTGAAGTTGCTAACATGATTTGTTTGTTTTAATGAAGGAGAACGGCGAAAATGAGCTTTAAAATTAATTTTAGCTAGTATACGTTATTTTGAATCTAAATTGATCAAGTTTCAGATGTCAACGAAGATTTACGATGGCTAGCACTCCAAAAGATCTTCCAAAAGCTTCTCTGATCATTGTTTTCCATAATGAAGCGTTCAGCACTTTGATTAGGACCTTACATTCCATCATAACAAGGACTCCAACTTACCTTATCCATGAGATTGTGTTGGTCGACGATTTGAGCGATAGAGGTAAATTTAGCATTTCAATTAATTTTTTACTACTATATTATTGTAGGCGAACGTCTTGTTGATGTGTTTGCAAAAAATCAAAGTTGTGGCTTTAGTTTTTAAAAAGTTATAACGATATTGTGTTAGATAGGCACATCTTTTAAGATTTTTTAGGGATATAGTTTCTAATATCAATTTTAATGAAAATTCTTTTAGATTGGCTCCAAGAACCTTTGGAACGATACATAAAAGAGTTTCCCTTCAAAAACATCAAGTTGATCAGGTTACCAGAGAGGAGTGGATTGATCAAGGCTCGTTTGGTGGCTAGCGAAGCTTCTTCTGGGGATGTAAGTGGTTTTCTCTAATATATATTTATTGAAAGTTGTTTATAAAGTATTTCTAATATTTTTTGAATATATTTTTGTTCATTTTGTTTGAGAACTGAAGAGTTTGACTAAAAACAGCCATGGATAATATTGTTTTGATGTTTTTCGCAGTTTTTTAATATTCCGACCCTTTTTTGGTTGAAAATAGTTATTGTTCATTTGGAATATTATTTTATAGTATATATATTATGATATGGAACAATTAAGCCGATTATAAACTTGATTTTCGCATAAAAACGTCATGGATAATATATTTTTTGGTGTTCTTCACATGTTTTTATTTATTTAATGCCTTTTTTGGTCTAAATTATGTAATATTTTTACAAAATATGATATCATAAGGTGTTTTGTATAACATAAATATTTAAACTTGCTAAAAAATAAAAAGTTTTGACGAAAAACACCAAAAAATCAAGGCAAAGACACCATTTTTCTCTCCCGAAAAAGCGCGCCCCGCGTCAAATAGGAAACGAAGAGGAAGAGCTGCCGGCCCAAGTAGTATAGTGGTTAGTACTCCACGTTGTGGCCGTGGCGACATCGGTTCGATTCCGGTCTTGGGCAGCCTCTTTTTTTGGAGTTTTTTAGTTGGAAAAAGGGTTGGTATGGGTAGGGGTGGGTTGTAAAATACGGATGCTTTTTTCGTTGATTTATAAATGGTTTGAGAACGTTTTTTATACAATCCTAGGGTGTTTTGATTGAAAAAATGATGAAAAACGTCAAAAATTATTGTTTTAGGCTATAAATGGCAAAATAACGACAATTTGTTTAAAAAAACCAATTCAATGCGATTTATAATATTTTATGGCACTTTCAATATATTCTTGCGTCAAAAATTGCATTTTTTGTTAATTTTCACAAAAATCTTGTAGGTATTGCTATTCCTGGACGCTCATATTGAAGTAACCAAAAACTGGATTCAACCACTGTTAATTCGTGTAAAAGAAGAACCGAACGTCTTAGTAGCGCCACTGATTGATGTGATAGACTTGGACAACTTTGAGTATCGTACAACGATCGATGGTCTAGTTGGGGCCTTCAATTGGCGGCTGACCTATAGCTGGACTAATATCGATGAAGTGGAAAATAAGAGAAGAGGAGGAGATAAGGCTGCTCCTGTTAAGTAAGCTTTTGAGGGTATTTGGCATTAAAAACTAAAATTTTTTAAATTTTGAAATTTGGTTTTTTTCATTCTTTTAAAGCTAAAATAAGGTCAAGCTTATAGACATTAATATTTATAGGACACCAGTGATTGCCGGAGGTCTTTTTGCCATCAGAAGAGACTACTTTTATGAACTGGGAACGTACGATGAAGATATGAAGGTTTGGGGAGGAGAAAACGTCGAAATTTCAATGCGGGTAAGGTGGAAACAAAGTTTTTGCAAAAAAATGAAAAATGTATAAAATAGATGTTGGAAAGAAAGTTCTTGCAGAATTTCTTTGAAATTTTGATTTTTGAGAAAAATCACGGTTTTTGGGACTGTAAAGAACGTTTTTGCAGATTTAAAAAAGTTGGTTTTTGGAGAGAATTTTGGTTTGTAAAGAAAGTTATTGCGGATTTAAAAAAACTTAATTTTAAAATTTCAAAAAAAGTTAAAGTATTTCAAAATTTTAGGCTTGGCGATGTGGAGGCCAACTAGAAATTCATCCATGCTCAAGAGTAGGTCATGTCTTCCGCAAAGTCACCCCATACACATTCCCGGGCGGCGTGGAGGAAATGATCTCTCACAATGAGATCAGAACGGCCAAGGTTTGGCTAGATGAATATCAACCCTTCTACTTTAACACTCATCCTTGTGAGTTGATTTTTGAAGGTTTGGGGTGTTTTTTAATAGTATTTTGATAGTTTTATTACATATTGAATTGAGAAAGTAATTTTGGTTAAGAGCGGGAGTAAAATCGATATTAAACTTTGCACGGTGCAAAAAAAAAACAAAACAAAAAATTTTTGAAATTATATTTTTGGCTATTAGAAATGAAAAATATAATAAATATTGAATGTTTTAAAAAAAGAATTATCAATTTTGGTTTAGTATAACAAAAGTTATGGAAATTTGAAATTTTAAAGGTTTCTTTTTAAAATAATTTTTTAAGATTTAGATTTTTCTGTTTGGGAATGAAAATTTTGATTAACGTTATGATTTTGAAAACTGGAGTCAGATGATTTTGTCAACTTTATCAAAAGTTATAACAATTTAAATTTTCGAACTTTTTCGCACCGTGCAAAAATTTAAAATCAAAATTTTTTTTGTTTTAAAAGTTTGATGCCTAAAAATATATAAGAGAAACAATTTTAAGGTTTTTGAAAAAAGGAACGACAGTTTTGGTTCATTTTGGCAATAGTTATGGCTATTTGAAATTTTTAAACTTTATGCCATTTTATCTTATTTTAGCCTTGAAAACATCAATTTTATCTCATTTCAGTCTCGAAAAAGGTTAAAGTAGGCTCGGTGGAGAAGCGGCTAGCCCTGAAAGACAAGCTGAACTGCAAATCGTTCCGTTGGTATATCAAAAACATCTATAGAATGTCACCGTTCCCATTAGAATACCAGTTTATGGGCCGAATTCGAAGCACCACCGACAACTTTTGTGTAGATTCACGGCAACAAAAGCAGGGAAAACTGTTTATAGCAGAGCTGGAAGACTTTGGTAACCATCAGTTGTGGGTATTGGACAACGAAGGTGTGTTGTATAACGACCACGCTTGTATCAAGTTCAATGGATATGAAGCGGAAGTGATTCCTTTCGAATACACTAAGAATGGATGTGCCAGATTTGATTATAATCCAGAGGTAAGAGGGGAATTTAGTTGTGAAGCTGATGTTAGGGTTTGGGTGTTTTGGATTTTAAGGACTTTTTTTAAAAATCAAGAAGTAATATTATAGTAGGCTCGGTGGTGGGTCTTATTCTTTTTGTTGTAACTTTTTTGAAAATATAGGTAGAGACTTGAAATTTAATGATATGGTAGACTAGTCTAGTGGCCAAGTAACGGTTGTTAAAGGTTTTTGAAACCTCGAGCCGTTTTAATGTTACAGTATAGAATTTTAACCCCATGATTCTTGTTTTTTTTTGAAAAATTGAAAATTTTATGTTTGGTCAACTTTATAGTGTAAATCTTTACTTTTAGACCAAACAATTCACGGAACGCTCTACCGGTATGTGCTTAGCTCGAAATAACATCCTCGGCTGGCTTGACTACTGTTCCCACCAGGAAAACACGCAATGGAACGTCGAAGTCCTCGTCAAACCTGAGAGTACATCAGATGAATAAGAATACCTTGCTCTAATCAGATGGAAAAATTCCTCTACGGTTAATATTTTATAATATATATTGTTGTTGTGGTTAATATCAGAGTTTTTAATACCAATTAAATTATTTGTTTTGAAAGGAAAGTCTTCGGAACAGCTAATGGTTTATTAACACCTTAGGCTTATTTTTTGTTTTTTTTTATTTTTATTATTTGGCGTGGGTTCGTGTTTGCGTTTTTTTGGTTCTTAACTTTTTTTTTATTTTTTTTTAATATATCGACCAGTTGATAAAATTAACAATTGAAAGTTTTTTGACATATGATATTATGAAATAACTTCCGCTTTGACGTTTGAGTGGAGGATGTATCCGTATCATAAGGTTTTTATTTATTATTAAAGTTGTAGCTTGTAAACTTTATCAGAGTTATGGTCTTTCCCGACCATCGGCGGAATCATAACTTATTATTAGGTTGTCTCAAAGTAGTGGGACATAGTTAATGTCTGATTGCCTTGTATAAGGCTCATTAATTCTTTTTTTTTCTTGGAAGCAATTACTGATTTTTCTCGGCTTCAGACCACTCTTGAGGTTGAAATTGGGCTGCTTGACCACACGGGAACCATGACCAAGGCTTATTTTTTGATTTTTATCGAAAGCCTTGATCATAAATACATTTCTGGTACCATAACGAAATCTCTCGGGCATCACATTGAAATTTCTGATCTAACATATCTAATGAAAATAATGATCCTATATTCACAACGTAAACAATTAAAATATAATATGAGAAACAATTAATGAATTTACAAATAATTTATTGATAAAACACCATACAAAAATTAAAAATTAAGTTTTACAAAATTTGAGCTTGTTAAAAGTCTGAAAATTTACTCGACACTAAATCGGCGAATTTGTCTTGATATGACAATTCATGTTTATCAATTTTTACATATTTTCTGATGAATAAGGAACTTTTAAAGACACAATGGACACTATTGTACGTAGCGGTTGTTGGCTCAAAGATATTTGAGCGTTGTTGGATTATTAGTAGTGTGAGGTGCAGCAGTAGTGTCAGGTGCACCAGTAGTTTTTCAAGCCCAAATCACTTTCCTATAGAATTTTACCTCATTTTTTAAACCTAAAACTTGTAACTTTAAAACTACTTATCCAAATTACTTCAAACTTTGCAGAATTGTAAAACGTGACACATAAACACAGATAAACACAATTTTTTAATTTTTATTTTAGTTATCATCCGTATATACTCAGTTACTGTGGTATCTTTTGACTTTACATACAGTAACTTTGTTATCAGGTGATAAAAATTCACCAAACTTTGTATGTATACTACTGATACACTGTAAAAAACAGTAGTGACAATATTTTGACTAAACTTTAACAAAAATTTGAATTCCCGCCAAATTGGCAAATCTTGGCATTGTGTTTTTCGGGCTTTTACAGTAAAGATAAAACAAAATTTGTTTTAAATTTAGCTTTTTTAGATCAAACTGCATATGATAGCATTTTAAAATTTTTAAATTGGTCAACTTTTACCAAAATTACTATTTTTTCAAGCCCAAATCACTTTCCTATAGAATTTTACCTCATTTTTTGAACCTAAAACTTGTAACTTTAAAACTACTTATCCAAATTACTTCAAACTTTGCAGTATTGTAAAACTTAACAAATAAACACTAACAAAAATCGTATTTCTGATTTTTACTTTAGTTATCATCCGTATATACTCAGTTACTGTGGTATCTTTTGACTTTACATACAGTAACTTTGTTTCGGTTGGTAAAAGTTTACTAAAATTTGAAGTCAAAATACTTATACAACACAAAAACCAACACAATTAACATTTAAACAAAATTTTGTCAAAAATTTAAATTCCCGCCAAATTGGCGAATCTTGGCATTGCGTTTTTCTACCATTTAAGGTGATGATAGAACAAAACGGTTTTCAGATTTGGAGTTTTCAGGTTGAAATGCATATAAAACCATTTTAAAATTTTAAAATTAGTTGGTTTTTGTCAAAATTATAATTTTTATAAGTCCACGTCAGTTTCCTATAGTAGTTGACACGGTTTTCGAAAAATACACTCTTTTTTTAACCATAAAAATGTAAAAGTTAAAAAAAACCAAATTTAACAAAAAAATTTTTTCTATTACTTTGATGTTACTTTAGGCTTAAATAGACCCTAGTAATATTGACAGTTTACATAAATATTGCCAAATCCATAGTATTTACTATATATCTCCACCCGCGAAGTGTCCATACTTTATGGACACTTCGTTGGTTCCCGCGAAGTGGAACATCCCAACTCGCGGGTGCCCCCGCGAAGTGTCCACCCGCGAAGTGTCCGTTCCCCGTAGTGTCAGGTGCACCAGTAGTGTCAGGTGCTGCAGTAGTGTCAGGTGAACGAGTAGTGTCAGGTGCAGCAGTAGTGTCAGGTGCTGCAGTAGTGTCAGGTGAACGAGTAGTGTCAGGTGCAGCAGTAGTGTCAGGTGCTGCAGTAGTGTCAGGTGCACCAGTAGTGTCAGGTGCACCAGTAGTGTCAGGTGCTGCAGTAGTGTCAGGTGAAAGAGTAGTGTCAGGTGTTGCAGTAGTGTCAGGTGCACCAGTAGTGTCAGGTGCACCAGTAGTGTCAGGTGCTGCAGTAGTGTCAGGTGAACGAGTAGTGTCAGGTGCTGCAGTAGTGTCAGGTGCACCAGTAGTGTCAGGTGCTGCAGTAGTGTCAGGTGCACCAGTAGTGTCAGGTGCACCAGTAGTGTCAGGTGTTGTACCACCACTAGTGGCAGTTGTTGTACCATCAGTTGTGATACCACTAGTAGTGTCGGTTTTTGGACCACTCGTGGTGTCTGGCTTAGCTGTTGTATAAGGCTGAATGGTTGTTTTGTCAGGCCTTTTTGTGGTTGTATATGGCACGATGGCTGTCGTATGAGGCGCTTTGGTTTTCGTGTAAATTTCAGTGGTTGTTTTATAAGGCACTTCTGTGGTTGTATGAGACACCTTGGTTGTTTTAATAGACTCAGTGGTTGTTTTGTTTATGAAAGGCCAGGTTGTAGTTGCTGATGCGGTTTGTAAGCGTATCGTGTCTGGAAAGCCGAAAAGTGATTGAAATTCCATGCCAAATTTGCTTAATTGGCAGGAAAGCAAAATAATTCAAAATTAATACTCAATGGCTCGAGCTAAACTTTTTTATGGGTGCTATTGGTGGTACAAAAAATCCATAAAAATTTTGAGCTGACGTTAAGCGGGGCAGATTGGGTGCTTTCAGCTTTGTAAGTTTCAAAAGTAGTTCAGAATTTTTGTAAATGTTAGTATACGTAAACTAAAAAAATATATACAAAAAGTCAAAGAAAATACTTACCATTATAATGAAAAACATAGAACAACGCAAAAAATATAAGAGTCAGTAAAATAAGTGTTAGTAGCGCAATAACGACTACGATTAGCGTTTTCTTTCGCTTCTTGCCATCGTCAATTCCAATAGGTAACGATTCTTCCATTTTTGAATCTGGAAAGTCAATAATGTTTCAGTATACTAATTAAGGCTTTGTAGTTTGTTGTAGTTGGCTCTACAGTTGTTCTAGGCTTGGTAGTCGTAGTAGTAGAATCTGGCCCTGCCGTTGTTGTAGTGTTATATTTAGTTTAAATAGTAGATATATGGCTTTGCAGTTGTTGTAGTTGGCTCTGCAAGCTTTACAGCTGTAGTAAACATTATAATAACTTTGGAAAATCAAAATAATATGTTTGGCAAACGACCAAAAATAAGAATCAGCTCAAACCGCCTTAAAAGGTTGTACTTTGGAAATGTACGTCAAGAAAGTGATACACCAGCATCGAAGCAGTTTTGGCAGAAAAATAAAATTTATGTAAAAGTTGTGAGCAATCTTCTAAAAAACTTATTATTTATAACAATAAGGCCTGAACATAAATTAGAAGACATTGTTCAGACAATAGAAAAGAATTGTCAGCTTTTTCAATGACCGAATTGAAATTTTGACTATTCAAAATGTTAAATTTTTGAAACGAAACGATGTTGTAAATTCGTCATTTTTGATTTTTTACTTTGTGTTTTTGACAAGAATAATTCTGTAACATTTTTGGAAAAAGCAGTTTTTCCTATCAATCTACAAGGAAAGTATCGAACCTGCCTCGCTCATGATCAGCTGAAAATTTTTATATAAGTGTTTTTTACCATCAATATGTATTCTTTGTGACACTATATAATAGTACTCATTAAACATTTTAGCTTGCGCTTTTGTTTTATGTAAATTTTAAACATTGGAGTTTCCTGCCAACTTGGAAAATTTTGTATTGTGTTTCAACCACTTTTTTCGACTTTTCAGACTAGCTAAGCTTACAAATTTAAAAATTTAGGTTTATTATCATGTCTTTTACCAGTATATCAAAGAAAAATTCTTAAAAGTTAAAAAATGACAAAGTTATGAGCTTGAAACACAATTCCAATTTGGAAAGATATTCAAAACGTTATTTTTTGATTTTTAATTTTCTAAGAAAATATTTTGTCTAAATAAATTAAAATACATTTATTAACCATAAAATCTGTCTCAAATGTTATATCGAAAATTATGAGAAAAGTTTAATACTGCCGTTGTTAGTTATTGTACTAGTAGTAGTTGATGACTCTACGGTCGTACTAGTAGTAGTCGAGGGCTCTGTTGTTGTACTAGTAGTAGTCGAGGGCTCTGTTGTTGTAATAGTAGTAGTCGATGGCTCAACTGTTGTACTAGTAGTAGTCGATGGCTTTATTGTTGTACTAGTAGTAGTCGATGGCTCTGTTGTTGTACTGGTAGTACTCGATGGCTCAACTGTTGTACTAGTAGTAGTCGATGGCTCTACGGTCGTACTAGTAGTAGTCGAGGGCTCTGTTGTTGTACTAGTAGTAGTCGATGGCTCTACGGTCGTACTAGTAGTAGTCGAGGGCTCTGTTGTTGTACTAGTAGTAGTCGATGGCTCTGTTGTTGTACTGGTAGTAGTCGATGGCTCTACGGTCGTACTAGTAGTAGTCGAGGGCTCTGTTGTTGTACTAGTAGTAGTCGATGGCTCTGTTGTTGTACTGGTAGTAGTCGATGGCTCTACGGTCGTACTAGTAGTAGTCGAGGGCTCTGTTGTTGTACTAGTAGTAGTCGATGGCTCTACGGTCGTACTAGTAGTAGTCGATGGCTCTACGGTTGTACTAGTAGTAGTCGAGGGCTCTGTTGTTGTAATAGTAGTAGTCGAGGGCTCTGTTGTTGTACTAGTAGTAGTCGATGGCTCTACGGTTGTACTAGTAGTAGTTGATGGCTCTATTGTTGTACTAGTAGTAGTCGATGGCTCTGTTGTTGTACTAGTAGTAGTCGAGGGCTCTGTTGTTGTACTAGTAGTAGTCGAGGGCTCTGCTGTTGTACTAGTAGTAGTCGATGGCTCTACGGTCGTACTAGTAGTAGTCGATGGCTCAACTGTTGTACTAGTAGTAGTCGATGGCTCTACGGTCGTACTAGTAGTAGTCGAGGGCTCTGTTGTTGTACTAGTAGTAGTCGATGGCTCTATTGTTGTACTAGTAGTAGTCGATGGCTCTACGGTCGTACTAGTAGTAGTCGATGGCTCTGTTGTTGTACTGGTAGTAGTCGATGGCTCTGTTGTTGTACTAGTAGTAGTCGAGGGCTCTGTTGTTGTACTAGTAGTAGTCGATGGCTCTATTGTTGTACTAGTAGTAGTCGAGGGCTCTACTGTCGTACTAGTAGTAGTCGATGGCTCTGTTGTTGTACTGGTAGTAGTCGATGGCTCTGTTGTTGTACTAGTAGTAGTCGAGGGCTCAACTGTTGTACTAGTAGTAGTCGATGGCTCTACGGTCGTACTAGTAGTAGTCGAGGGCTCTGTTGTTGTACTAGTAGTAGTCGATGGCTCTACGGTCGTACTAGTAGTAGTCGAGGGCTCTGTTGTTGTACTAGTAGTAGTCGAGGGCTCAACTGTTGTACTAGTAGTAGTCGAGGGCTCTACTGTCGTACTAGTAGTAGTCGATGGCTCTGTTGTTGTACTGGTAGTAGTCGATGGCTCTGTTGTTGTACTGGTAGTAGTCGATGGCTCAACTGTTGTACTAGTAGTAGTCGATGGCTCAACTGTTGTACTAGTAGTAGTCGAGGGCTCTGTTGTTGTACTAGTAGTAGTCGATGGCTCTGTTGTTGTACTAGTAGTAGTCGAGGGCTCTGTTGTTGTACTAGTAGTAGTCGAGGGCTCTGTTGTTGTACTAGTAGTAGTCGATGGCTCTATTGTTGTACTAGTAGTAGTCGAGGGCTCTACTGTCGTACTAGTAGTAGTCGATGGCTCTGTTGTTGTACTAGTAGTAGTCGATGGCTCTGTTGTTGTACTGGTAGTAGTCGATGGCTCAACTGTTGTACTAGTAGTAGTCGAGGGCTCTGTTGTTGTACTAGTAGTAGTCGAGGGCTCTGTTGTTGTACTAGTAGTAGTCGAGGGCTCTGTTGTTGTACTAGTAGTAGTCGATGGCTCTGTTGTTGTACTAGTAGTAGTCGATGGCTCTACGGTTGTACTAGTAGTAGTCGAGGGCTCTACTGTCGTACTAGTAGTAGTCGATGGCTCTGTTGTTGTACTAGTAGTAGTCGATGGCTCTGTTGTTGTACTAGTAGTAGTCGATGGCTCTGTTGTTGTACTGGTAGTAGTCGATGGCTCTGTTGTTGTACTGGTAGTAGTCGATGGCTCAACTGTTGTACTAGTAGTAGTCGATGGCTCTACGGTCGTACTAGTAGTAGTCGATGGCTCTGTTGTTGTACTAGTAGTAGTCGATGGCTCTGTTGTTGTACTGGTAGTAGTCGATGGCTCAACTGTTGTACTAGTAGTAGTCGATGGCTCTACGGTCGTACTAGTAGTAGTCGAGGGCTCTGTTGTTGTACTAGTAGTAGTCGATGGCTCTATTGTTGTACTAGTAGTAGTCGATGGCTCTGCTGTTGTACTAGTAGTAGTCGATGGCTCTACGGTCGTACTAGTAGTAGTCGAGGGCTCTGTTGTTGTACTAGTAGTAGTCGATGGCTCTACGGTCGTACTAGTAGTAGTCGATGGCTCTGTTGTTGTACTAGTAGTAGTCGATGGCTCTGTTGTTGTACTGGTAGTAGTCGATGGCTCAACTGTTGTACTAGTAGTAGTCGAGGGCTCTACTGTCGTACTAGTAGTAGTCGATGGTTCTACGGTCGTACTAGTAGTAGTCGATGGCTCTACGGTCGTACTAGTAGTAGTCGAGGGCTCTGTTGTTGTACTAGTAGTAGTCGAGGGCTCTGTTGTTGTACTAGTAGTAGTTGATGGCTCTATTGTTGTACTAGTAGTAGTCGATGGCTCTACGGTTGTACTAGTAGTAGTCGATGGCTCAACTGTTGTACTAGTAGTAGTCGAGGGCTCTGCTGTTGTACTAGTAGTAGTCGAGGGCTCTGTTGTTGTACTTGTAGTAGTCGAGGGCTCTGTTGTTGTACTAGTAGTAGTCGAGGGCTCTGTTGTTGTAATAGTAGTAGTCGAGGGCTCTGTTGTTGTACTAGTAGTAGTCGATGGCTCTACGGTTGTACTAGTAGTAGTCGATGGCTCTGTTGTTGTACTGGTAGTAGTCGATGGCTCTGTTGTTGTACTAGTAGTAGTCGAGGGCTCAACTGTTGTACTAGTAGTAGTCGATGGCTCAACTGTTGTACTAGTAGTAGTCGAGGGCTCTGCTGTTGTACTAGTAGTAGTCGAGGGCTCTGTTGTTGTACTAGTAGTAGTCGAGGGCTCTGTTGTTGTACTAGTAGTAGTTGATGGCTCTATTGTTGTACTAGTAGTAGTCGAGGGCTCAACTGTTGTACTAGTAGTAGTCGATGGCTCAACTGTTGTACTAGTAGTAGTCGAGGGCTCTGCTGTTGTACTAGTAGTAGTCGAGGGCTCTGTTGTTGTACTTGTAGTAGTCGAGGGCTCTGTTGTTGTACTAGTAGTAGTCGAGGGCTTTGCTGTTGTACTAGTAGTAGTCGAGGGCTCTGTTGTTGTACTTGTAGTAGTCGAGGGCTCTGTTGTTGTACTAGTAGTAGTCGATGGCTCTACGGTTGTACTAGTAGTAGTCGAGGGCTCTGTTGTTGTAATAGTAGTAGTCGAGGGCTCTGTTGTTGTACTAGTAGTAGTCGATGGCTCTACGGTTGTACTAGTAGTAGTCGAGGGCTCTGTTGTTGTAATAGTAGTAGTCGAGGGCTCTGTTGTTGTACTAGTAGTAGTCGATGGCTCTACGGTTGTACTAGTAGTAGTTGATGGCTCTATTGTTGTACTAGTAGTAGTCGATGGCTCAACTGTTGTACTAGTAGTAGTCGAGGGCTCTGCTGTTGTACTAGTAGTAGTCGATGGCTCTACGGTTGTACTAGTAGTAGTCGAGGGCTCTGTTGTTGTAATAGTAGTAGTCGAGGGCTCTGTTGTTGTACTAGTAGTAGTCGATGGCTCTACGGTTGTACTAGTAGTAGTCGAGGGCTCTGTTGTTGTACTAGTAGTAGTCGATGGCTCTACGGTCGTACTAGTAGTAGTCGAGGGCTCTGTTGTTGTACTAGTAGTAGTCGAGGGCTCTGTTGTTGTACTAGTAGTAGTTGATGGCTCTATTGTTGTACTAGTAGTAGTCGATGGCTCTACGGTTGTACTAGTAGTAGTCGATGGCTCAACTGTTGTACTAGTAGTAGTCGAGGGCTCTGCTGTTGTACTAGTAGTAGTCGAGGGCTCTGTTGTTGTAATAGTAGTAGTCGAGGGCTCTGTTGTTGTACTAGTAGTAGTCGAGGGCTCTGTTGTTGTAATAGTAGTAGTCGAGGGCTCTGTTGTTGTACTAGTAGTAGTCGATGGCTCTACGGTTGTACTAGTAGTAGTCGATGGCTCTGTTGTTGTACTGGTAGTAGTCGATGGCTCTGTTGTTGTACTAGTAGTAGTCGAGGGCTCAACTGTTGTACTAGTAGTAGTCGATGGCTCAACTGTTGTACTAGTAGTAGTCGAGGGCTCTGCTGTTGTACTAGTAGTAGTCGAGGGCTCTGTTGTTGTACTAGTAGTAGTCGAGGGCTCTGTTGTTGTACTAGTAGTAGTTGATGGCTCTATTGTTGTACTAGTAGTAGTCGAGGGCTCAACTGTTGTACTAGTAGTAGTCGAGGGCTCTGCTGTTGTACTAGTAGTAGTCGAGGGCTCTGTTGTTGTACTTGTAGTAGTCGAGGGCTCTGTTGTTGTACTAGTAGTAGTCGAGGGCTCTGTTGTTGTACTAGTAGTAGTCGATGGCTCTACGGTCGTACTAGTAGTAGTCGAGGGCTCTGTTGTTGTACTAGTAGTAGTCGATGGCTCTATTGTTGTACTAGTAGTAGTCGATGGCTCTGCTGTTGTACTAGTAGTAGTCGATGGCTCTACGGTCGTACTAGTAGTAGTCGAGGGCTCTGTTGTTGTACTAGTAGTAGTCGATGGCTCTACGGTCGTACTAGTAGTAGTCGATGGCTCTGTTGTTGTACTAGTAGTAGTCGATGGCTCTGTTGTTGTACTGGTAGTAGTCGATGGCTCAACTGTTGTACTAGTAGTAGTCGAGGGCTCTACTGTCGTACTAGTAGTAGTCGATGGTTCTACGGTCGTACTAGTAGTAGTCGAGGGCTCTACTGTCGTACTACTAGTAGTCGAGGGCTCTGTTGTTGTACTAGTAGTAGTCGAGGGCTCTGTTGTTGTACTAGTAGTAGTGGTTGGCTCTACTGTTGTACTAGTAGTAGTCGATGGCTCAACTGTTGTACTAGTAGTAGTGGATGGCTCAACTGTTGTACTAGTAGTAGTCGAGGGCTCTGTTGTTGTACTAGTAGTAGTGGTTGGTGCTGCTGTCGTTGTAGTACTTGGTTCAGCTGTTGTTGTAGTGCTAGACTCAGTCGTAGTGGTGGTAGGCTGAGTCGTAGTGGTGGTAGGCTCAGTCGTAGTGGTGGTAGTAGTTGTTGTTGCGAATGGTTTCTCGGGGTCTAAACATTTAATTATTTTTTTTAATCTATAATTACTACGTGTCAAATACATTGCGTTTTTACTCCGTTATTTTTTTCTTACCTAATTTTTCAACAATATCGTCTATTTTGTTTTCAGCGTCATCAACTACGGTAGCAGAATCATCGAGCCCGTAATCTTCCTTCATTTTGTCATCCTTTTCAACGTTTACCAACACCAGTTGTGGTACATTCTTGAGCAGTTTACCGACCTCTTGACGATCCTTTTTGATGGCTTCTGGTGAGCTGGAATGGGTGAGGTGGGTGATCAGTTTTATCATAATTATGAAGTTTTTTTAAATTTGAAACTGTTTTAAAATTTAAAAATGTATGAAAAGAGGACCAATTAAGGTCTTATAAAGAAAGGGAGTAATGGTCGGAACAAGGTGATAATGATAATAGAAAGAAAAAGGTAACACGGTAATAGTAAAATGAGTTATAGTTCTTTTGTAATATACTGTGGCAGTAATGAAATAATCACATTATAAAATTGATGATATTGACTTACCTGTACAATTCACTTGGTGGAGAAAAGAAAAACATACGATTAGTATCGGCATTTACATTGGAGCTGTTTTGATTTACAAAAGTCATGGCGCTGAAAATAAAAAATTTTTAATTTAGGAAAGATTTGGTAAAAACTTAGAGGGGATATGAAATGACAGTTCGAAAACTTTTTAATTTCGGCATTTTTTACTCTATAGCTTTCAAATTTTTGTAAAATTTTGTATTATTTTTTAGCTTTCAACCAATACTAGACCTGTAAGAAGGACGGGTTAGTTTTTCGGCCCGGTTCCATTAAAATTTTTATCAGCCCGGCCCGGCCTTTCATATGAATGTGTTATAACAATACCTAGGACAATATATATCGTACTGCTTGCGTGCCTTGAGTAATCAACAATTTAACGATTTAAATTTCAAAAATGATTTTAATATTATTCTTAAGTAAATAGCATGAATATCAGGCTGGTTTTACACTGTTTGTGCAAATTAAAACTTTCGTTGCGGGATCTAAGCTAGGACCCTCTGCCTTGGTTTGGGCCTCAGTCTTCCTGCTCAAATGTGCCGGCTTGGGTATTCTAGATTTGCTTTGGTTGATCTCGTTCCAGGGCCGGGCCGTGTCTTGTGATCACCTTTTTTGGTCTAGTCAAATAGGATCTTTTTGAAATTTTAAAATTAAATTTGTTTCGGCATGTGCTTGGGCTACTTTTCTGGTCTCCTACTTATTTATAGTTTTTTTGGGAAAAATTTTTTGTTTTTCCTTTTTTTAAATTAAAAACTTGGCTTGGAACTTATAGTAGCAACAAAATGGAAGCTAAACATGGTACAATAAAGCTGAATTTCAAAAGAAGTAGAAAGTCAAAACAAATCGTATAACATTGAAAAGTCTTACTGAAATGTAAAACTTTTAGATAATCCTGCTCACTTTTGTTGCGACGGGTCATTTCGAATGAGATAATTGCCATTGAAAAGTTGAATAATTTTGTCTTTTAAAGCTGGTAAATTCTGGAATGATAAGGCTTGGCTCTCGAGCACTTCCTCACTGTAAGGCACTATTTTGACGGCTAATTCGTTGGCCTCGAAGCTGTCTTTCAATTTGTCAAAACTTTTTAGTAACACGGATTTTATCTGAAATTGGCATAATTAGGCTTATCTTTAGAGTTGACATAATTAGTCTTGTCTAGGCTTGGAGGGGGGCTTTTGCAGTTCTAGTCTTATACCATTAGCAGGTATCTGAAGCTAGAATCCTCGTGCTACAGGTTTAGTCCGATCCCAATATTAGGTTACTGAATCTAGAATTCTCACTTTTTCTTGATTATTGTTGTCATCCTGAAACAAGTAGTTGATACCACGTCGAACTCGGAATGACTTTGCTTCTCTGTGTCCCACAGGGAAAACCGCGAATACAGTGGTTAGGTTTTGGGCCGGTTTTGGCTTATCATCGTCGGCTAAAATACAAAGATTTGCGGGTTGAAAAGGAGCTTTAATGGCATAAAAGTTAAACATTGTATTATTTTTTTGGTTTTGCTTTAGGCAAAATTTGAAAAAAAGGTTTTTGAAATGAATGTTTGGTGCTTTAGACATAAGTAAGGACTTTGTAGGCTTGGTTTTGGCTTAGTTAAGCCTAGTAATAGAAAAGTAGGTAGCTGTACCTAGAGAAAAGGTCATTCTGAAGGCCTAATTCAATACACTTTTTTCAAAATTAGGTCTATTTTATCAGACTAAAGTTTGATACGAACTTACACTTGCTATTTAACCCAAAAACCAGCCCAAATATTAAGCCAAGCAGTAGTAACAACGTCAAGATTGCAATGCCAACACCAATCAATATTTTCTTTTTGCTATACCGATATTGCCAATAGGCGTATCGTCGGCTGAACGGTGTTCTTTCCATTTGTCATCCGCTGAAATTTCTGGGCTTGTATAATTTTTCAAATTTGGAAGGGATCAGGTTATATATAGCAATACGAGTAGGCTTATATAGTACTATTAATCGGCTTATATAGTATTATGGTCCGGCTTATACAGTAATATGATTAGGCTACAATTTTAATACGAGTAGGCTCACATAGTGCTATTAATAGGCTTATACAGTAATATGAGTAGACTACACTCTTAACACCATTAGGCTACACTTTGTGCTTTTAAGGTAGCAATCAATTTTAATTGTTAGGGCTTACAATTTGTAGCACATAGACCTATAAAGGGGCTGTGTCGGACCTGATGTTTTGGCTCCGCGTAATCTTTTGAATTTTCTTTGGAACGGCCCGTTCCGGTTGTTTATATAGCCTTTATAATGTGCTCCCTTTTAGGTTTAGTGGTAAAAACTTGATTTTGGGGCATAAAGCCAGCAGATAGGGCCAAAAAGCTGTGTTTAGACCCCAAAAGCTGTCTTGACAAAAATGGTTTGTCCTATGAGCTGGGCGTAGGCTAAAAAATGGCTTTGAAAACTGGATTGACAAAAGAGCTAGTCTTAGGCTAAAAACTGGATTGTCTTGTGAGCTAGGCTAAAACTAAAAATTGGCTTGGCCTAAGATTTATACCTATAGCAAAAAAAAGGCTGGCTTATGAGCAAGGCGTTTTAAGAGCTATACTTAGAATAAAAACTTGATAGGCCTACAAGTTAGGCTTACAATTAGACTAAAAAAGGATTTGCTTAAGAGCTAATTTTTGTGTAAAACCTGGATTGCCTTAAGATTTTGATTAAAAATTGGCTTAGGAGCTGGGCCTAGATTAAAAATTGAATTGGTAAGACTAAAACTAGGCTTGGCTGAAAAGCCAAGCGTAGACCGTAAATTGGTTTGGCCTATGAGCTTTGTGTTGACTAAAAAATGGCTTGTTTTAAGGTTCTGACTAAAAATTGGCTTAGGAGCTGGACCTAGACTAAAAATTGACTCGATAAGAGTAAAACTAGGCTTGGTTGAAGAGCTAGACGTAGACCGTAAATTGGCTTGGCTTAAGCTAGGCCTATCTACAATTTTTGAGTTTATAGCGTTATCACTGATCAGGCAGGGGAAAAAATCTTTAAAAAATTGAAATTTTAAAATATTTTAAGAAACAATGACACGTCTTTTTTCAAACTTTAAAAAAAGGATAGTATTCGAAACGTGTCTTCCAAAAGACCTGTAACAAACTTTGCCAAAATCGGAACCTTAACTGTTAAGAAACACCTAAAGCTGCAGGGCAAACAATCAGGCTTAATTTTTGATTTGTGACGTTCTATGAAAGTATTAAAACGTAGTTCTTTGTTTAAAAAATGGCAAAAAAATCATGAAAAAAATCCAAACATTTTTTTAAAAATAAAATTGGTATGAAAAAGACTTGTCGTTTTTGTGCGTACAAATGCATGGAACATAGCGACAAGACTTTTTTTGATATTTTAAATATAACCCGGCTGATTACTATGGATAAGTGATTGTTTGAAAATAGGAAAAAAGTCTTGTCGTTTTAGACCGTGTTAAAATATGTAAATTGACGACAAGACTTTTTTCGGGTTTTATTTGAAAGGGCTGGTTTTTTCGATTATAAAACATACTTGGTGTTCAGAAATCAAGTATTAGGTTGTTCACATAATTCTGCGCACCTGTACCCCACAAATTTGCTTTGAGAAAGGGCGCAGAATTAAGTGAACAACCTAATATAATTTAATTTACTTGTTGGTTTCACTTTAAAGTATAATACACTTCGTAATTTTACATTTAATTATACTATACTTGATGATAAAGAGACTCTACTGTTCATAAAAATTTAAGCTCAACAAAACATATTGTAGTAAAAACATATAAAAACCGAAACTTTTTTTTGTTTGCAAAATTAGGGATTGGTCGCGAACAAAATGAACGAATTGTGAAGCGCCATTGTTAAGCCAGGCGTTTTATGAACAATTCAAAGAAGTTATAGTATTGTTGTAGCAGTTACTCTTAATGAAAAGACTTGGCATTCAAAATTTAAAAGTTTAGTTTAGGCATTGTATAAGGCTTGATTGTGGGAATAAAAAAAATGAACCAAAATAAAGTTTTTGAATTGATCAGTCATTGTTGTTAATCTTAATGATCGGAAAATTTAAAAGTGGCGATAGTAACACGTTTTTAAAGTTGAGGGCCGACTTGACCGACGTTTATACGGTGGAGTAGGGCAGGGTAGAATAAGGTAGAGCTAGGCAAGACAAGGAATGGCAAGGGTAGCGAATGGTAGAGTAGGCTAGAGTAGGTTATGGTAAAGCAAGGTAGGGGAATGTATGGTAGGATAAAGTAGAGTAGAGTAGAGTAGAGTAGAGTAGAGTAGAGTAGAGTACAGTAGAGTACAGTAGAGTAGAGTAGAGTGGAGTAGAGTAGAGTAGGGTAGGGTAGAGCAAGTTAGAATAGAGAAAGTCAAGGTAGGGTAGGGTAGCAGCGCAAGATAGGGTATGGAAGAAAGAGTAGAGTAGAGTAAGATAGGGAAATGCAAGCCAATCTAAGGTGTGGTAGAGCAAGGCAAGGCAAAGCCAGCTAGTTTTTGGACAGGTTAAAGCAAAGCAGAGTAGAGCAAGGTAGGGAAGGTGCAGGGTTGGCCCATGGCCTAGCCTGAATTTTGAAAAAAAATATAATGACTGTTCTTTTTTTGCTTTTTTCCCTTCTTCTCCATGCAAACCAGCAAAATTTACCCGCTCAGTCACTAGCAAAGTGAAAAAGTGAAATTTTTTTTAAATTGCGAAAAGTTTTACAAAATGATGAAATTACTATTGGTACTCTTGAAGCCTTAATATTTTTAAATATTAAGGTATTTGAAAACAAATGAATGATTAAACGGTAAAGATTATAAAAAATGACTAAACTCTAATCAGTACTTGACTCAGAACCAAACAAGAATTATGAAATTAACTTTTTTAAATAGGGCGGAGACTTAAAACTATAACATCAACTTTTTTTACTATCAATTTTTAAAAAGTAGCCTTAACAGTCAAAGTCATGATAAAAACATTGCGTTGGCGTGCTATGAATACGCATTGTAAAATAATAAAATCAAGAAATTTGTAGTTATCATTAGTTTGTTTTCAAGGTTTTCGAAGGTACGTCGATAAGGTATTGTTCCATAAACCCGCCAGGAGGATTATAAACTGCGTAATCAGGGCGTTGTCGCTCCTTAAACTTGTTTCAACTCGAAATTGTGGCAGTAAAGAGACTTATTGATATTTTTATAGTAATTATAGTACAAAACTTGAGTTTTGATGCTGAAAATTGATTTTTGGTTAGCAAGTTTGAAATTTAACTAATTTTGAAGAAGGTTTTGACTCTACGTATCCAGATTTTTCGACTGGGTTGGTTTGCACCTAGTGGAAGTGGTATTATTGAGCAGTAGGCCTAAAAGATGGCCTATAGTCCCGGCACTGACCCGGTCCGAGCCAATACAAATTTGAAAAGGGGTTTCTGGAATGCGAGGCTGGGCCTAAATACAGGTTTTAGGGACTCAGCTTATTTTTGAAACGAAAAATTTTATTTAGAACACAGAGCCGTACGATACAAGTTTTATTATACTTGTATCAGTTATTGCTTTAATAAACTTTTATAAATGATCGGGCGGAAGCAATTTTGAAAAAGGGCCGGGCCGAAAAACAAATTTTAAAGGGCTGGACTGTAAGAAAAAAAACTTTACGGGTCTATTGTGTAGGGTTGCGTAGGATACTATAGGCTAGTTAAAAAAAGAGTTAAAGTTTTGTTTCTTCTATATCATTCTACACTACTGTGTGTTGGCTCGCTTTACTCTGTCCATTTAGTGCAACCTAAGTGGTATTGAAAGTTAAGTGTTCGTTCAGCCAAGCTTGTTTTTAAAATTGGTTTGTTTCTAGATCTGAATGAGAGCCTAGGCAGTGCTTCCAGTCTTAAAAGAGGTCCGGTCTTGGGCCGAGCCGACGACAGCGATCCCGAGAGCCAGAGTTCAAATTGAGGTCTGGTTCGTGGGTCGGGCCAGTAAATTGGGCTCGGACAGGCTCTTGCAAATACAGTGCTTTCTCCATATAAGCATCCCCAAGGGACCGACATTTTGTGTTTACTATAAGGGGTGTTGCAACATTTCTGACAACATGTTGTCTTTACAGAGACTTTTTAGTGCAAAGTGACTTGACGGGGCCAAATTTCTTATTTACTATAAGGAGAGTTGCTTATACAGATGGTTCACTATATAGAGAGACCACTGTATGATTGTATCAGTTAAAACTTTCCAGACTGTTGTAAAAATTTTAACTCTAAGCCCTCTTTTGGCCGAAAGTGCTTTTTTAAATCGCGCGCTTTGCATTTGGTACAGTAATCAAAGAACAGATAAAACAAACGCACAACACCCACTACATTATTACAGTGGAACTCATGTATAACGAACTCTTCTATATCGAAAAATTTGTATAACGAACAACTTTTTAATTTTTGTCCTACACTACATAGTAAATTTAAAACTTCTCTATACCGAAACCCTTTTATAACGAACAAATTTTAAATCCGATTTGTTAGACTGGAGCTCCCTAAAGTAAAAACTATAAAATACGAAAATGTAAATAAAATATTTGTGCAAATGTTCACAAACAAACAACTACATAATAACTTACGAATTGAATTTGATTACGTTCCTAGGAAGTTACGTTATCAGTAAAACCTGCAAATACACTTTGTGCTCAATGTAAATGAGCAAGGATACATCTTGTTATGAACATGTTGCGATAAGAGTTAAAACTTATTGTTAGACTACAAAAGATAACTTTTTTTTGGATTTTAATGATTAGAGTTTTAAAAAATAAAAAAAATATGAATTTTTGATTTTGATCAATATTGTAACACTTTATATTGAAATTTTGGTTTGGAGTTGGAATTTTTTTTAAAAAAATTTAAATTTAAACTGTGGTTATTGCTTTGAAAGCCGGGTTATAAATAATAAAAATCTGACTTTGTAGATTACGTTTTGGACTAGGCAGTATATGGGAAGGATATCATGCTCTAGAACTTGGATCTAGAGCATGACAAAATACAATAAAACTCCTGTATAACAAACTACTTCATAACCAAAATTTCGTATAACGAACAACTTTCAATTCTTTGGCTAACACTACGAAGTGCCTTTAACTTCTGTACTGTGGAACCAATTTAACAAATCGCTGGGGGATTTAAAATTTGTTCGTTATGAAGAGGTTCCGTTATACAGGGGTTTTAAATGCACTGTGTAGTGCTTGCCGGGGATTCGAAAGTTGTTCGTTTCGTATACGGAGGTTCCACTAGGTTTCGTATACGGAGGTTCCACTGTATATTGAATCACTTTTACAGCGAAGAACTTTGAAATCTTTTAGCGATTTGTTATACAGGGATTCTAATGTACCATCCCTCTCCTTAGCGATAAACATGCCTGGTATTTATAGGATTTTGGTTTTCAAGGAGGAATTACTGTATCTCGAAAATGCAGTGCAACCTATATATAACGAATTGCTGGTGGGGGGATGTAAAATTTGTTCGTTATGAAGAGGTATCGTTAAACAGAGGTTTTAAATCCACTGTGTAGTGCTCGCCGGGGATTCAAAAGTTGTTTGTAATACGGCGGTTTCGTTATATAGTGGGTTCCACAGTAAATGCAAATATTAACTATGCTTTGTTTATCATCAGTTGACAAAATAAATCATAGGCTCCAAAAACACATATTAATCTAATTGTTTTGAATCAAGTTTTTTGATAAAAGGTATAATTAATAAATGGATTTTTTAAAGAAATTTAATGATTACTGTATCTTACTGTATTAATCTTTATGGTTTCAGGGAAGATTCGTATTTTATGTCAACTTCTACGGATCTAGCCACCAATGCATTGGCCAATGGTCAACTATTGGTTTGAAGAATCTGAAGGAGTGGTACAACATGGGGGTTTACTGGAATGGTAAGTGGATACTGCAGCTTACTGTGTTTTTTAAATAAGAATTGTTTTTAATATCCTATTTTTTTGTGATAAGAATTTTTTTGGCTTCAATATGAGTAGAGTAGAGTATAGCAGGGCAGGTTAGGGAATTAGGGTAGGTTGGGTAAGACAGGAAAGAGTACGGTAGAGTAGGGTCATGTATGGTAGCGGAGGGCAAAGTAGGGTAGGGTAGAATATGGTCTGGTGAGGCAAGAGCGTATTGTATGGTATAACGATGACCGTTTAAACGTCTAATTTCATTTAATTTTTACTGTTTGGCGCTTTTCTGATTCGATGGCACGGCACATTGACCTTGGGAACGGCGAGACTTTTGTTGCGTCTCTTTTTGCATTTTAATACCGCAATTTTGGTTTGGGGTAAAATACGTTTAGACGTCTATTTAAGGCATTATCAGTAAAAAAAGTTCTTTTCATTTTCTGTTTTGTAAAGAAAGTTTTTGCCATTTTATGTTCTGTAACGAAAGTTTTTGCTATTTTTTGTTTTGTAAACAGAGTTCTTGCCATTTTTTGTTTTGTAAAGAAAGTTCTTGTCATTTTTTCTTTTGTAAAGAAATTTCTTGCCATTTATATTCGCCTTAGAGTTCAATCCAAACCAATTCTCACTTTATTTTATTACTTTTGTGTTGTGACGATTACCTTCGGAACGCATTCTTTCGCTGTAAAAGGGTAATTTAACAAAGTTTCGGTTCAATTTGTATCTGTTTACAAGTTTGTTTTCTTTTAATCATTGTAATAGTTATTAGCAATGGTAATTTACCATGTGATCTCGGCTTAAAGTTTAAAATTTCGATTATTTAAAATTTTTTTCGGAAAAATTAACAGGGGGACTAAGCCAAGTTTTTTGAAAAAGTTGAAAAAGTTTTTTGTGTGAGAGGGGTTAATATGTTTTTTTTAAATTGTCATTGTTTAAAAACACGTATTTTACAAAGTTTTTGCGGAACACATAACCTTTTTAAATAGTTTAAAAAATATTTTAACAGGCGGGACCAAGCTCAAGTTTTTAGAAAAAGTCAAAAATTTTTTTTTGGATCGGAGGGGTAAAAATATATTTTTGGGATCTTGTTTTCGATAGAAATATTGATTTTTCAAAATTTTTTGATTTGTTTTGGTTTTGCATTGGAAATGAGGATTTTAAATTTTTTGAACTAACAGATCAAGGTAAACACTTTTATGAAAAAAATGATAAAAGGAGGTAAAAAATTATTTATTTAGCTTACAATGGTAGGCTAGCCAAAGAGAAAGGTCGTATTTTACAAACTGTTTTGCAAAATTCTAACTTGTTTTTTGAAAATTTAAAAAATAGTTTAACAGGGGGGACCAAGCTCATTTTTTTGAAAAAAAAATTAATTTTAAAGGGTGGAGGGGTAAAAAAATAATTTTTTGCTAATTTTCAGCTTCTCAGTTGTAATATGCACTAATTTTTCATATTTTTTCCTATTTTTATTGTTCACCCTTCTATGAACTTATTTACGACTTCTTATTATTCCACCTTGATTTGCTATTTCATATTCAATGCCTAGCAAATTCGGGTGCCTCTTGCAACAAAAAGAGCAAAAATAAGCGAATTCGACAACCTTAAAAACAATTCCTGTCTTGTTCTGTTCGTTTAAAGAACAATTCTGACTTTAAACGGACATTCATCTCATATTACACTTGCCGGAAACGCATGTTATACAAGTTTTTGGGTCGTAAAACTTGAATTATGGCGGGACAAATTGGTGTAATAGGTTTTTGAGGTATTTTGGGTCAGGATTGTAACATTTGAAGGTTGTTTTTGAGGTTTTGTTTTGAGAAAACGGCAAAATTTGAAGGTTTTTTTGGGCGTTTTTGGGTAAAATTTGGTAATTTCGGCTAATTTCTTGAAAAATTTAATGAAAATTATGGTTGTTGAACGAAATTTGTGTTTAAAATGATATTTTAAAGGTTTAAGGATATGTTTAGAATACTAAAAGATTGTTTTCAATTTAAAAAGTTACCTAAAAATGTCCAAAAAAGCATTTGCATTGGCCGGGAATCGAACCCGGGTCGCCCGCGTGGCAGGCGAGCATTCTACCACTGAACCACCAATGCGCGCATTTTGTTCCGCTGATCTTCGATGATATTTCTTTATATAATGAGCTGATAGAAGCTTCCTTAATGTTTTTTTTTATTTTTGGCGCAAACAAAAAGTTTTTTTCGTTGATTATTTACTTTCGCAGCTGATCGTGTTGATATATTGCTCTCTTCTCACTCGGCATTGATAAATCGGCGTCTATGGGTGAGGACACGCTTTTCGAGGTGACAGTTGACAGGTCAAGGCTTAATTAAGGATTTTAGGGTTAATTTTTTGAATGATTTTGGGAGTTAATTGTTTGTAATAGTGTAATGAGTGGCTTTTTAATAATTTTGATGGAAAATCATTTGGACCTGATTTCTAAGTGAAACAACTTTTGAACCGCTTTTTTAAAATTTATGAAATTTGGTACGAAAGTAGCTAAAAGCATCTTTATTCAACATAAATAAGTATTCTCTTCATATTGTTTTTAGAAAGTTTTAAAATTTAAAAAAAATTAAAATTTTGCTAAAAATTTGGGCAAATTTTCAAATATTCTTCGAATTAAAAATAATTGTGTTAAAAGGACCTTTGGACTAGTACATGGTTAAAAAGAGCTTACTTTTAGCTATTAATATCTGTAATTTTAAAAAGTTTGGAACAGTACTTTTTGTTTTATGAAGCAGCAAAGTGCCGGTATATGTGACAAAACCTTCGCACGCTGACTTCTCTTATTATACTTTGAAGTGCGATAACTTTTAGTGTTTTTCAAAAGTAAGTGAAACTTGGCAATATTATAGAGTAAAGTGTAAACTTTTGAACTATCAAAGTATTTTTGCCATTTTTTTACAAAAATGTTAAAAAATAAAAAATATTTTTATAAATTTCAAAGACGTTTTTCATAGTTTTTTTGATTTTTATGGTAAAATACAATTATTTACCTCAAACTAGGCACACTATATTCTGCTAAGAAATACTCTTAAACACAAGCCAAAACAAATTATCATTTAGTCTAATTCATTAGCATTTCTTGAAGACTTAAACAATATGGCTGTAAAAGATCTCTAAGATAATGTTTTATAGTCTTCACTTTGTTACAATATGTCTTGGTATGAAATTACAAAAAAAGACAAGCCTATACCGGTTGGTTTATATATAAAAATATGGGTTTGGGGGTTTTTATAAATTTTATATTTTATAGGGAAGGGTAATGTAATTTAGGTAAGGGAGGATAAAGTAAGGTAGAGTTAGGTAGGTTAAATAAGGGTAGGGTATAGTAGAGTAAGATAGGGTTGAGTGGGGTATGTTAAGATAGTTTAGGGTAGAGTAGGACAAGGTAGGGTCGGAAAGAGCAGAGTAGGGAAAAGAAAGGGCAAGCCAAGCCAATTCGGATAGTTTAAATGGTGGTAATGTAGGGTAAGGTAGAGAATAGTAGGGCGGGGTAGAGTAGGGTAGGGAAAAGTAGAGTAACGTGGGGTAGGCTAGGCTAGTATAGGCTATCTTTCGATGTCTATCTCGTTTCGTTTTGTTTGTTTTTAATGCCCGAATTGGCCTTTACAACACGAAACTGGTTGAATCATTTGTTTCGTTTTCAGAACGTTGGAACGGCATTCACTTTTTGACTATTCGAATACTCTCGATCTCAAAGTGGCAGTTTATGGTGGTTAATTTGGGGGATTATGGTAAGTTTTTTTGAACATGGAGGATGGTTTTTAACATTTTTAAAAATTTTAAATTTAAGTTGTTGGGAAGTGTAAAATAAATTTTGGATGGGCGGGGTAAAATAAGGTAAAATTTTTAATTTGGGTTGGATTTTGTTTGGTTAGGGCATGATAGGGTAGGGTAGGGCATGGTAGGCTAGGGTAGAGTATGATAAGGTAAAGTAGGTTAATTAAAGGCTGGGTAGGGTAAGAAAAAATAAATTAAGTTAGACTTAGGTACTGTAAAGTACGGTAATGCCAGTAAAAAGCCAGGACGTGGTAAAAACCGGGTTGCTATGAAAAAACAAGATTTTTCAAAAATATTATAGTAGAATAGACGTCTATTACTCTATAATACGATTATTTGGAACAGTATTGTTTAATATTTGGGTTTGTTGACTGCTTATCTCTACCGTGAAGGTTAATATAAACTTGTTTTTTTTCGGAAAAAAGTAGGCAAATAGAATGAATTGAGGATTGATAAGATAGTTGTTGATGTACTTTTTGATCAATTTATTGTTGTCAATACTGTTTTACTGGGACGTGTGGATGGGTTATAGGGAGGGGTAAGGTAAAATTTAGATTTTTTTGGTTAAGGGGTGGATTTTTTGGATTGTGTAGGGTGGGCAGGGTAAGGTAAAAGTTTTTTTTTAAATAGGGGGTGGTTTTCAAGATAGGGTATGGTAGGGCAGGGTAAGTTAGATTTTTAGGTAGGGAGAGGTTTTTCTTGGGTGAATACATCAGGGTAGGTACAGTAGGTTGGGTAGTGTAAGATAGGGTAGGGTAAGATAAGTTAAAGTAAGTTAGGGCATTTTAAGACTAAGACAACGCATGATATGGCTTCTTTTACACTTTTTCATACCTAAAATACTATAATTGATAACTAAAACAATATAACCCCAAACCTTTCAGAAGTTCCGTCCAACAGTCCACTTCACCATCCTAGACGAGTCCTCTGACACTCGATCCTACGTCCAAGTCAGTACGTTAACCGCACCAAATAGCACCGTACTCAAAGCCCTACACGACGTACTAAACGAATCAGGAATGTCCGTAGCCGAATACGATGTGATAAAGACCTACAGTAACGGAAAGAATGTAAAATACGATACGAAAGTGAAGGATCATCAGGATATTGATGTAGTGATAAGAAGGAAAAGGCACAAGAATCGACCGAAAGGCAAGAAAGTGGCACCAATGCTGATGACAGTGGTGAGGACGGTGATCGAGGAGATCGTGGATGAGATCAAGCCTCCGAAGACGTATTTCAGCGAGGTCGAGGAGATTGGTGGGCCTATTGCGGTGAGCTTATTTGATAGTTGTGGCATGAGTAACATAGCCTTAGGTTTGAAATTTGAAAATTTTTTGGTTGATTTGAGTTATATAGGTATAGATAAGGTATGGTAGGGTAGGGCAGGGTAGGGTAGGGTAGGGTACTATACGGTAAGGTATGGTCAAATACTGATATAATTTTCAATTTTTTTCAATTTCAGACCACCTCCAGCATCACAGTCCACCTCCGAGTAAAGACTGTCCGACCGGAAACTATCGACCTGGTCGATGAATATCCCTGGGTCAAACTCAGCTCCTCCCCCTGGCACATAACAGCAGATACCACAGCAGTCCAGTTTGTTACTCAGCTAGTCAAGAAAGGCTTCCTAAACGAACTTATGGAGTTTAAGTTGGTGGATTCAGATGGCCAGCTACAAGACATTTCAATGAATTCGTTGCTGAAAAATGGCGCTATTTACTCGGCGGTGGCGAAGAAGGGCGTACCAAGAGAACTAAAAACGGATGCGGAGATGATATTGAAATCGGATGCTGAAATGATGATAAATTCTGGTGATCAAATGATTTACACCAAAAAACCGGTTGAAATTTAAAATTTTTCAAAATGCAATTTTAATAAATATGTAAATATTTACATAATTTTGGGCTTTTTACTTTATTTACTAGAGCGAAGGCTGCTGTGATGTTTAAATCATTTTACATAAAAATAAAAAAAATTACTTCAAAAATAAAAAGTTAACACATTTTTCCTATTAAGAATAAAAAGTTATGACAAATACCGTTTAATTATAATTGAAAAATACGCAGAATATAATAATAAATCAATCCTGAAAGTTTCATCAAATTCCATCAACCCAGTCCAAAGTTATGGCCATTTCCTTATTCCTCCGTATGACCTCCCTTTCGTCTCTCTGTACTCTTTCTCTCTCGCGCACTTCTTTCCCTTTCTTTATCACCTTCCCTAACCCCTCTCTGCTTTTCCCGCGCTCTCTCTTTTGCCGCGCCCTTTGATCAAGCCGCTCTCTACCCGCTCTCCACTTTTTACGCGCTCTCTCTTTCTCTCTCCGATTTTTTGTATTACCAAATCAGTCTCTAACTAAAAAAATATGTCTCTCAAATAATAATACTCCCTCATTTTTTGTCTAACCGAGACTTCTCTGGCCACTCTCTTCATTTCATATGATGGGTTCCTCCAAAATTCCCTTTTTCGGGTTCCCTCCTCTTTTCGCGTAATCTTTTCTTTCTCTGACTCGGCCGTCTCTCACTTTTATAAAGTCTTTTTTCCGAACCGCGTGAAAAAGGCCGAAAATGGCTCAATACTTAATGAACAAATTCGTCAAAAAATCGCGAAAAAAAGTTTGAAATTTGTAGAAAAATGGTCAAATTTTTGCAGTTTTTGGCTCCAAAAGTACTATTAATGACGGAGTTCAGATTTGGTTTATACACCATAGTAAAGCTTGGTATCTTGGCTACATTTTCAACTATACGACGCTGGTTTTCTACTACGGTAACATGGAGATACGACGCGTCAACGCCACAACAGTCTAGCGGTCACGACTTACTGTAAAGTAAGTTATTGTGCTTCAAAGTCAGCTCACTATCTATTGAAACAACAATTCACGTTTAGGCTGCAAATCTTATTTTTTACACTATAACTGTCGTATCTTATTAAAGTTATTTTTATACTTAATATGTTATAATACTATGGTATTTCTACTATATGTACATATGCATCACTATAAGGAGACGTCACTGTAAAGAAAGTTATGACGCTTTAAAGTAGACCATGTTGGTCTTTTTACGAAAAAACATCGCAGAATACTGACTATACTTTGTGGTACTGTAACCATCGTATCTTTATAAAGTAAAAAATTTTGCTAGACAACTTTGTAGAGTAGGTCATGTGCTACATGATAGTATGTTCCGCTATAAGGAGACGTCACTGTAAAGAAAGTTCTTTCTTCTTAAAGTTTGCACTGTCTAATATGTACATGTAAACTTTACTATAGTATTTTACTATGTTAAACTCAAAATATCAAAAATTCCTGGAAGTGCTGTCTGGAGAATACGATAAAATAGCATGGTAAATGTTCATTTTTTATTTTTGTTATCATCGACCGGTCGAAAAGTGGCTGTAAAGTCGCGACCGCCCGACTGTTGTATCTTTGACGCGTCGTATCTCCATGTTACCGTAGTAAAAAATCAGCGTCGTATAATTGGAAATGTAGCCAACTTACCAAGCTTTACTATAGTGTATAAACCAAATCTGAACTCCGTCATTAATGGTACTTTTGGATCCAAAAACCTCAAAAATTTGACCGTTTTTCGACAAATTTCAATCGTTTTTTCGCGATTTTTTGACGAATTTGTTCATTAAGTATTGAGCCATTTTTGGCCTTTTTCACGCGGTTCGGAAAAAAGACTGCATAAAAGTGAGAGACGGCCGGGTCAGAGAAAGAAAAGTGAATGCAAAAAGAGGACGGAACCCGAAAAAGGGAATTTTGGAGGAACCCATCATATGAAATGAAGAGAGTGGCCAGAGAAGTCTCGGTTAGACAAAAAATGAGGGAGTATTATTATTTGAGAGACATATTTTTTTAGTTAGAGACTGATTTGGTAATACAAAAAATCGGAGAGAGAAAGAGAGAGTGCGTAAAAAGTGGAGGGCGGGTAGAAGGCGGCTCGATCAAAGGGCGCGGCGAAAGAGAGAGCGCGTGGAATAAGGAGAGGGGTTAGAGAGAGTGATGAAGAAGGGGAAAAAAGCGCGCGAGAGAGAAAGGGAATGAAGAGACGGAAGGGAGTGCATACGGAGGGGTAGAAAAATGGCTATAACTTTGGATTCGGTCGATGGAATTTTATGAAACTTTCAGGATTGATTTATTATTATATTCTGCGTATTTTCAAACCAAAATTAGTTAAACTTTGTCGTAATTTTTTGCATTTTAAAAAGATTTAACAAAACTGCCCGTATTTTACAAATAAAAGATTTTTATTATAATATTGAAATATTAACGTATAAAAATCAAGGTTTTAACTTAAAACTTGATAAAATTGTGCCTTTAGTCACGGCAGAAGCAGTACCAAATAGCGTGGATGACACTTGGAAAACTGAAAAAAGTTAAAATTATTAAAAATTTTTAAAAAAGTAAGTAAGTAATGCCCTATCCTATCCTTTCCTGTCCTCTCATGACCTGCCCTCCCGTACCCAGCCCTGTCCTCATCATATCCTACCCCAACTTACACAAACAACAAAAGTAGAATAAGGTTGATGCAGACATGGGCAGAACAACCATTGCCATTCATTCTGTCCTTCCACCAGACGGCTAGCGGCTGAAATTATCAAAATTTTTAGAAAATAAGTTTTAAAATTAAAAAAAAGTTTAAAATTTTTCAATTTGAAAATGTAGAAAAATTAAAAATTTTAAAACTTCAATTATTAAAAACTTGCCGGAAGGAACAAGATGAAGACTATCATTATGATGTCATCAGCTGATCCGGTTTTTGGTCTAAAAATAAAAGGAGCATTGTTATCTCGGTCAAAAAGTATATAGAATTTGCTTTCTGAATCCTCAAAGTCCCTAACATTAGATAACAATGTTATTCAAGTCAAAAAGTACATAGAATTAGATTATTCAGGTCAAGAAACACATACAGTAGAATTAGCTTTCAAAATACTCAAAGTTTAAAAAATATTATTCTACGTACTTTTTGACCAAAGAGCTATCATAAAATGCTTTAAAATCAAACTTACGATGTCATTTTTGATCACAATATAAAATCCTAATTTTTTTTTCCAAAAATTAGTCGATAAAACAAGAAAAATAAAGGCTTTACAACACTGCAAGAAGGTCGATTCTCTTCCTCGGGTAAAGTCTTTGAAACAAAACTAGAATTTTTTGAAAATCAAGGTGTGTTTGCCACAAATGATTCACTTTCTTTCCCAGAATTCAATTTTCAAGACTACAAAGCTGGCTTAAATCGTAGTATCATAGCCATATTTGTTTTAGAAATTAAGACGTTCTATCATATTTGATTCAGTGGAACTCCTGAATAACAAACTCCACTATAACAAAGCCCTCTATAATAAGCTCATGTGTAACGAACCCCTCTATAAAAAACCCATCAATAACGTACTCCTCTATTAACAAAACCCGCTTTAAAGCTACAAAAGATTCAAAAATAATACATTTCAACATAAGAATCCTTTACTTTACATTAAAATTAACACTCGTAACATCGGCCGAGAAGCGATGAATCGGTTGAAATTGGCATGATTGAATAGTTTTACATAGTGAATCAGTTGGAAAACTTTAAAGAATAGTTTTTTAGGCAAAAAAGCGAATTCTCCCATCCCTTAACATGCCCTAGTCTACTCCGTCCAGCCCTCTCCTATCCTGTCCGGGTGTTGTCTTACCTATCATACCCTACCCTATTCTTCTCTAGGGGTGAGAAACGGGCCGGCCTTGAGCTAAAATTGAAACGGGCCGGGCCCAAAGGTTAGGCCCGGCCCGCGGGCCGGACTTAAAAATTGGGCCCGGGCCCAAAAAAAACTTTTTTAATTTTTAAAAATTTTATATTTTAATCCCCGTTGATGTTTTTTGATTTTGTTGGGTACCATGATACATAAATGATCTAAAAGAACAATGCAAAGCCAAACTTCCGTTTATTTTTTAAGTTTTAAAATTTTTAAAATTTTTTAAAACGGGCCGGGCCTAGAAATTTTCTGACCGGGCCGGCCTGAGAGAAAATTGAAAACGGGCCGGGCCTAAACGTTGGGCCCCGGGCCTGGGCCGGGCCCAAAAGTGGGCCCGGCCCGGCCCGTTTCTCACCCCTATTCTTCTCTACCCGACCCTATGCGACACTACCCAACTTTACCCTACCCTTCTTTTTCCGCCCTGCGCTGCACTTCCTTTATCTTTGCTCTATCCTAACCTTACCCTGTTCAAAATTTTATTCTTGCAACAACTACCGATTCCTAACCATGATACCATACAAAAAACCTTTGTTAAACCAAAGATACTTAAAATTTTTAAAGTTTTAAGAAAGCAATGTTTATTATATACCAAACCTGTGCAAATGATTCATAAATTTGAAAATGAAGTTATAAATAATATATAATTTTTTAATTATTATAATAATTATTATAAATGAGTTTTAAAAAAGAGAAGTGATTTGACCTTTTAACCACGGCAGAAACAGTACCAAACGGCGTGAATCAAAGCAGGGAAGCTAAAAATAATCAATTTGAAAAATTTCAATTTTAAATCCACTATCAACAAAAAATGCGTATTTTACTCAGTTATCACGCAAAAACATGATGTTTGAGCCTTTAAAAGCCGTTTAAACATTAAATTAAACCTTTTTCAACAAACTATTTCTCAAATTTTACTTTGAAACTATTAAACAGCTTCGTATTTTACCTAAACTCCATAATTTTTCAAAACAAAATAGACTTACACAAAGAAGAAGAGCAGGATAATGTTGACACAGACGTGACAACTGCAGCCTTCACCTTCCAATCTGTCCTTCCACCACACGGCCAGGGGCTAAAATACGAAAATATATTTATCAAATCTATAAAAATTTTGAAATTTAAAAAATTTCGAAACTTAAAAAATTTTTTTTAAACTTTTTTAATTTCAAAAATTTTTCAAAAAAATGCAGAAATTGAGTAAAATACGACATCAATAATCCCTGCAATTAAAAAATAAAAAATATCCAAAATTTAAAAACTTACCGGCAAGAACAAGCAAAGAATGATCATAATAATGTCATCAGAGTTTCCCGTCCTAAAAATATTAGATCTACAGAGTAAAATTTGTATTTGCAACATAATAATGATTGTAAAATACGTAAAACTTCAAAAAATGACAATTTTTATTTAAAAAACGACTTACTGCGTCATTTTGGCAAGATTTCAAGGCTTTTGGCGTAATTGAGTAGATGGATTAGTTGAATTCTGAAAAAAAAATATTGCTTTTATAAAAAAAGTTTGATAGTTAAAAATATGCGCCAAGAGTTCTTTATAACGAACAAATTTTATATTCAGGAGCGGGCGGGGACTTTTGGTCTGGGGGCGGAGGTAGACATGAGAAACGGGCCGGGCCCAATTTTCAGGCCCGGCCCGATCGAAATTTTACTCAAGGCCGGCCCAGCCCAATGGCAGGCCCGGCCCGTTTCTCATGTCTAGGCGGAGGTCGAAAAAATTTTTTCAAAAAATCCACAGGGGGGACCACGTTCAACTTTTTTCGAAATTTTTTTTCTAAAGGGGGGGGGGGGGGGTTCCTCCCTCCCCCCGTCCCCCCCCCCGGTCCTACTTATATCCACAACTAATTCGTTATACAAAAGTTCCACTGTATCATCCACACTGAAAAACACAATCCCCTTCCGCCCTTCACGACGAAATATATATGATCCCCTCGAAAGCCAAGCCATGGCCAAACAAAAACTTGACCCCTTATATAGACATAAGAGGTCGTTGTCGAGCGAAAGCTCAAGACAATATAGTCAATTATGAATTTTTTTTTTTTGAAAATACATACTAATTGTAAGCTACAATAGGCCCGTGCTTTAAACCAAAAATTCCCACCAATTCCGCATTTTTTTAAAACCCTTCCTTAATTTTTTACACATGCCACCCCTTTAAATGTTTTTCAAAAACACCTCCCCTTTCAAATTTCTTTTTAAAATATTTACCCCTCCTTCCAAAGATTTTTCTCGAAATTACCCCCCCCCCTCCAACTTTTTTTCAAAATCATACTTTCCTTTAAAAAATTGCCCGTCCGGAACTGCTTGACCCTCCCCCGCTATGGTTTTTCCACCTTTCACAAAACAAAGCCACCTGTCCAGTCAAAAACTACGCAGTCTAGATCTGTAAAGAGACCAAGTAGGGGTGAGAAAAAGGGCCGGGCCTATTTTTTCAGGCCCGTGGCCCGCCGTTCAAGCCCGGCCCGTTTTCATTTTTTTCTCAAGCTGGCCCGGCCCGGTCCGTTTTAAAAAATTTTAAAACAAAAAATAACTTTCAAGCCCGGCCCGTTTCAATTTTAGCTCAAGGCCGGCCCGTCCCGATCGTATGGCGGAGCCGGATATAGACGGCCCGTTTCTCACCCCTAGGGCCATGCAAAACTTTTCGGCCCAACCCAACCCTTACTTTGAGCTCTCGAATCCACATGTGCCGGTCTGTTCCCTTTCAAACTTGTTTCGGCCCGTCCCCACCCTTTCAGATCCACCCCATCCACTATGTAATGTTTCAAAGAAACCTATTAACTAAGTTAGTGTTTCTCATCAACTTCACTCTCCTCCCCCACCCGCATTATTAAACTTTCCATTGAAAAACGTATCATTTGTCGCCAAAGCTCTCTCCTGTAAGTTAACCCTCTTCTGTTTGTTGTGGCAACCATTTTCATTCCATTTCTTACCCCAAAAAAGAATTTTTATCTAGCTAGCAATCTTTTATTTGTATCAAAAACAGGGTGTAACCTTTGGTAAAGAGCAGGAAATGACTCATACTGATTGTTATCAATATTAGCCATAAGTTGTGATGGCGGTTAAGCGTTTTATTACATTGGCTTTAGTCTTAATGACACTCTTCGAATTCTGTAGTTAATTTATATGAAACTAGCACTAAATTAGGTATCAATAATACTATAAAAGTACTAATTTAAGTATGAATAGTACTATAAAAACACAAATTTAGGTATGAACTTACTATTTTGCTTACAATTTGTACTACTTGACATAAAATTAGAGCCAAGCAAAAAACTCCCTCCAGGGCAGGTAGCAAAAATATTTTAAAAAATCTCTCCTCCCCCTACCACCGCCTTCTGAAAAATAAAAAATATTGCCATGCCCAAAAATTTTTTTATTTTCCTTTTCCCCTCCTTATCCACCCATTGACTTCCAAAAAAAATTTACCACGCCTTCTCTCACCCCCCCCCCTCTGAAAAATGCTGCCATGCCCATATTTTTTTTTGCTTTTTCTTTCATCTCCTGCTTATATAAACCCACCCTCATTCAAAAAATTTTACACATTTTACCCCGCCCCCCCCCCTTTCAAAAAATATTGCCATGCCCAAAATTTTTTTCTGGTTTTCTTTTCACCCTTTCCTTCTTTTTTGTTTGGCCGCCATCTCCACCACCTCCCCTTTTATATCTTCGTTCAGAACTACTCTAATCCAAAATCTAGTACTATTCCAAATCCAAATTAGTACCAAAGTGCAAGTTTGACAAGAATTAGTACCAAAATATTATACTATTTCAAAGCTAGTCAGTAACATAGTATTATTCCAAACCCGATTAGTACCAGAGTGGCATTTAAACCAAACCCTGTTAGTATTATAGTTCTATTCACACAAAAGCAGTACCAAAGCACTATTCCAAAACCAATTAGTACCAGAGTGCCACTTTAACCAAATCCAGTCATTAACATAGTACTATACACACGAAATCAGTACCGATCTACTACTCCAAACCCAACTTGATACCATAGTACTATTCCAAAACCAATTAGAAACGAGTGCCATTTTAACCAAATCCAGTCAGTACCATAGTACTATACACACAAAATCAGCATCAAACTACTGTTCCAAAACCAGTTAGTACCATAGTACTATTCACACAAAATCAGCACCAACTTACTATTACAACCCAATTAGTACCAATTAAAAAATGCCCTGCCCAACAAAAAGCGACAAGCCCAAATGCTCACAAACTGCCCATTCTCTTGCCAAATTCGTTTCTGAATCAGCGTAAACAACTTCAGAAGGGCAATGAAGAAAAGGGCTACTATTAGAAAAGGCCAAGTGTTTAGGAAATGACTCATTTCTCTAAAGTTTTATTGCAAAATGCGTCACGAATTTGAATTTTGTGACAATAGGGCGTGACTAATCATTGTAGATCGAAAGTATTGAAAAGACATGACAAGTAGCTAGCTAATGTCAAGTATTGTGATCCATAATTGATACTTTAACACTTTGATCTTATGAACAGTTGACAAATATTGAAAGATTATCATCAATAGATATCAAAGTTCAGAAAAAATTGAAATTATTGTAAGTGGTAAAGTCGCCCATTGCTGGGTAAGCAATTTTCCAGATTCGCTTTACACTTTTTGCAAAACAAATCTTTCGTGGCAAGACTTAAGCTCCCCAAATCAAAAGTAATAGCCAGAAATTGATTATATACAGTACTCTCTCTATATATGCAACCCGAAGGGATTGACATTTTATGTTTACTACAGTGGTCTTTCTATACAGTGAACCATCTGTATAAGCAACTCTCCTTATAGTAAACAAGAAATTTGGCACCGAGAATTCAATTTGCACTAAAAATCACTCTGTAAAGACAACACCCCCTATAGTAAACAAAAAGTGTCGGTCCCTTCGGGTTGCTTATATAGAGAGAGCACTGTATTAAGGTGTTCACTTAATTCTGCGCTCCTTCTCAAAACAAATTTGTGAAGTACGGAGCGCAGAATTATGTGAACAACCTAATACAAGGGGTGCTGTCATTACAAAGAGACTTTTTAGTGCAAATTGACTTGGCGGGGCCGAATTACTTGTTTACTATAAGAAGAGATTCTTATACAGATGGTTCACCATATAGAGAGACCACTGTATCATGATACTCTTTAATCCTGGTACATAACAAAGTTTTGCCAACGCCCATCCCCCGCCCTTCTCATGCATCTATCTAACAAAATAAGTCGTTTTAAGTATTAGGTGCCGCCATAAAGAACCCGCCATACTTTCCTGTAAGCTCGTGTAAAAAATGGTGGGTTCTTTATGTCGGCACCTAATAGAACAAACATGACCCAGAAATGTCAACGTACTTTTCAAGCAATACTGAATCACTTGGTCATCGCTATTGATTCATTTCTCCACGAGTAGGTACATGTATGTTCTCCTTCTAGGAAACACTTGTAGCCGTCCCTGCTTGATCATGTACCTTCATATAAACCTCTTTCCATAACCATCACTTCTGATCCATAAGGTAAACACAAATAGCTGAAACCAAACTAAACAACCAAAACTATATTAACCTGCGGGATATACCACAAACAAAAAAATCCTCATTAAAACATTAATAATCAACAAAATTTATTTGAAAACATTAACAGTCAACAAGTATAGTAATAATCAACAAAAATAAAGTCAAAATTCGGTCGAAGTAAGGCTTGGAAAGTCAAGAAACAGGCCAAAACTTTTCGACCAAACCCCGTTCCCCCAAGACTTATCGACCAAATCAATATCAACTCTCAATATTAATCATCATTCTTTTTGCGTTTGGAGAAGCGTTTGTATGGTATTCCCTTCCGTTTCCTTGTTTGAGCTTCCACCGCCTTGATATCACTGTAGCGTTTCTTGTTCTTCTGTAGCACTTTGTAGTCGTCCATTATCTCTTCAACCATAGTTTGTTTTCGTTCTTTTTTAGTCATTCGACTTGAATAGAAGTCAACATGATTGTCAACCACTCTGCCGGTCTGGAAATCATGGTTTATCATATATGAATACATATTGGTTGGACCAAAAGTAGCGGGACACTTTGCATTTATTTTTCAACTAAAAAGTGCCCCACTACTTGTTCTTATATGATTTTACATAAAAAATTGAGTTGGAGGGAGAGGAGAAGGTAAATTTAATAGTAGTTTGTTCAAATAATCATGTGCCCATCTATAGGCACTACCATCAAAAATTTGCTTTGTTCAGAGGCACAGAATTATATGAACAGCCTGATATAACAGTAAAAAGTAAAAACCTCAGATTTTCCAAAAAATTTTAGTTTTTCGTTACAGAGCGGGGTAAATTTGAAAAAAAAATTTTTTTTTAAATTTAAAGATTTTTTACATTTTTTAATTAAATTTTGAAATTTAAAAAAAAATTTTGATAATCATCTCCCCCCTCCCCCTTCATCGACCCTGCCTGAATAAAACCAAAACCGCATTCACCTTGATCTTAACCACCTTTCCCCTTAAAATCCCTAAAAAACCCAAAAATCGATCAAAACCGTTACCTGGAAGTACTTTGGCAGAACCGCCAAATCATTCCTTCGATAATGTGCAGTCGGATCAATTGAGCCTCTGATCTGTAGCAGCTCCAAATCACGTTTCCGTTCTTCCGTGAGTTCTGTAGCCGGCATTCCGAACCATCCTTTGCCTTTCGTCGCTTCTTTCTCCACTTTACGTTCTCTTTTCAGCTGACGTATGCTCTTCTTCTGAATCTCTTGAATCGCCTTCTTGTCGTAGTCTTCGTCGACCACGGCTTTTTGTAACATCTGGAAGAAGGTATAGAGGTAAATAAATTGAGGCAGATATTGAAGTATTAAAGACATATATCTTATCAAAACAAAACTTCAAGGTTAGAAGGCACAGAATTATTTAAACAACCTGATAGTAAAAGGATCTCTTAGATATTTTATAAAATTGTTTAATATCATGCCATCTATCAAGGCCATCCACCCTCACCTCTTTAACCCTGTCTTCATCAATATCAGGTAATGGATCCCACACTTCTTTCACAACATCCACTTTCTCTCCTTGCTTATCACTGTTATCTTCTCCATCTTCTTCCACAACTTCAGTTGGTTCAGCGTCTTCGAAGAACAGATCATCATCCTCAACATCATCATCTTGATCGAGATTATTAATATCAAATACCTTGCCTGCCTCTTCTGTTTCTTGTCTGACAACTTCTTCCAATTTTTGTGATACTTCAGATGCAATTGGGAATTTCCTCGCGGTTTTGAAGCATTCAATGTGAAAACCTATAACAATATAATTAAAAATTTTTAAATTTTTTTGCAAAAGTAAAATACGTGTTCTCAAACCAAGATATAATAAAATAAACCATAAAAGATTTAAATTGCCTAAAACAATATCAAAACTCACCAAGCTTCTCCTCATCTTTTATCTTCTTATCACCTTCTTCCAGGACGATTTTGGCCAATTCTAGATTTAAAACGCTGTCATTTCGTGAAACAAAAATTTCTGCTGTTTCTTTTTCTTCAGCTTCACCTGCTTTCTTATTACTTTCTGTTGACTCAGCTTCATCTTCATGTTCTACATCTTCTGGCTTTACGTCTTTACCCAGCAAAATGTCTCGACGATCTGATATGCTAAAATCATTATTTTTGAATTTGAAATAACCCTATTTACTTAATATAAAGCTAACAATAGTTCTAGATAATCAAAATAAGCCATAAGAAACTTTAAAACAATAGCATTGGTTCACCATAGTTAATATAACTGTGAATATTGATAAAATCAAACTCAATAATTCAAAAATTAAAATCCAAAAGCAAGAAAAATGCCTAACGTAACCTATACAATCAAAATCTAAATCAATCATATTAGTTTTTACTCAAAACACAACAATTTTTAAAAATTCAGCTAACAGTTGACCATGTACAATATAAAGCTACATTCTAAAGCAAAATCAATGTAATACTTTACAATTTTCTTTTAAACAACACAAACACTAGCTATATCAACTTTTATTACCTATGTACAGCTATCAAAAGCTATTTTCATCAAATAAACCATCAATTTCTAGACATTATCCTATCAGCTGATCATGCACAATATTTAGATCAATTTAGGCAAACTACAACAACATACGACTGAATCTTATGTCTACTATCTTAAAAATAGTCTTCTCTAACTAGTTTTATTAACTGCACATTCATTATCATCTTTCTTCACCTAAAAACCAACAAATATAACTCTAAAGACTTACTATTGTGCATAACGGCATTCGACAGCAAAGAACTCTTTGTACAACTCTACAGATTCTGGGAACTTTCTAAGACCAATTTGAACCAACGTCCTTGCTCCGGGCGTATTCTTATTCTTTTTGGACTCAAAATTCGCGGCTTCGGCGAACAATTCTGGTTTAGTGTTGTGAATCTGAAGAATAATATAAATATTAACAAATTAGAGTCTATTTTTACCTGTAACATCCTTCCATATGCAATACTGGCATCTTTGTATAACGCTTCAAACTTTGCACAATACCTGGCTCCTTCTAACGAGTGTTCTAGTTTCTGAAAGATAATATAATAGTATATCAAGTTGCATATATTGATGTAAAAGCTTAAATATAAGAAAAATAAAGCTTGTCAATTTTAACTCACACTAGACCTCTGACTCCATGTTCTATACAACCAAGCAATTTTCTTCTGAATCAGCAGATAAACCACATTCTTCTTCACCAATGTCTGTGTTTCATCCAACTTTAGCTTCCAATAAGCCAAAAACTGCTTCAGATACTTGATATAATCCTTCCAATCATTCTCGCGTTTTATCTAAACACAAAACAATATAAAGAAGAAACAAAAACAACTTACCCTCTTTTGAAAACGGTATTCATAACGTCTGCATCGACTTATAAACTCTTTTACGTGCTCTTTCGATATTAACTTTGAGTTGGCTACAACTTCAAAAGCTGGAAGAAGCTTTTCCAAGTATTCTTCAGCATATTCGGCCATGTTTTAGGCTTATTTTTGCACTAAAACTTGCTGAAATTCAAGAAAAGGTCTAAAATTTTAGAAATTTTCAAAAAAATAATAGTTAAAACAGAATGCCAAAAATTGTTTGTTTTCGTGGTGGAACCAAACATCTAGTAAAGTGTGATGAAAAATACGTTGTACGTTCCATAGCAAATTACATTTTAAGAAACCTTTCACCACTCTTTACTTTTTTTATTGCAAAAATCTCAAAAGTTTACAATTTCGTGACAATTGCTTCTTTCTTATTACATAGGTATTCATAGTCCTTCTGGATGGTTCCTCGTCGACTTTTGTTGTAAACAAACACGCATAATACAATAAATATTTCTAGAATTGTAAAGTAGACTTTAAAAAATTTATCGACCATATTCTTTGCCGTATAGATGTGTATTACCGCGCTCGTGTAGCTTATAAAGATATTGAAGAAGGCACTGTAGATCAGGGCTTTCTGAAAGGTTGTATTGCCATTTTTTGATAAACTTTTTATATCAAAATGTAATGCATAGGCTTCTTTTCGACATAATAAAAGAAAGACTTCGTAGCGTATCTGAGAACAAAGATATAGGGCTTTATATCATGTTATCCTACCTGAACCAGAAGGTAAAATAAATAAAACCTTCGTTGCCGCAGGCGATTGCCAATTATAACCTGAATGGAAGCTATGATCAAGGCTACTGTTGTTGCGAATTGTATAAACCAGTTCAGTTGCCCATTATATTTCTGGCAACGTTTATATAAGACGGTGGAGTACATGATAACATCGGCTATTGTTATGTAAAACGTGGCAGGCTAAAAATTTAAAAAACGAAATTTTTAGAATAAAAATTGTTTTATCATGCTAATAGTAATGTAAGTAACAAATAAATTTCGAAAAATCCTCTATTCCAATGCAAAATCGGGTAATTTACTTTTTGATACCTATAACTTACATGAATATGAAGATTAAGAGTAAAAAGTATACAAAATGGTACAGGAAAGTATCTTCTGTATATCTTTTTCGTCTCTTTATCATCGTACTTTGTAAAACAACATTTAGCGCGGTATAAACACATCTTTCGTTATCGTGGGTAATATAATGATCATGGATAAGATGACTCAAACTTGATGTTATAACTATCAATATTAACAAATAACATTTGATTTACATATTAAAGGCTAGCCTGAGTAATAATTTGTTTTAATATTAAAAAGTAAAGCCATAATATAATGATTGTTCATAACTTGAGGCTACTGATAAGACCAGCTTATAAGACAAGGTTTATTTATAAAATAAACATGGAAGACCGGTCAAAAACTAAGCGAACCATAAACTTTATACAAAATAACTTTATTTTAGACAATATTCAATACAATTAAAGTCCAAATTCTTTAATAACGTTATCATTTTAAAAGGTTTAACCCGTTAAAAGTCCAAATCTGGTCAATTTTCGCTCGCCTTCAGCCGAATTTTCTGTCGTTTCTTGTACAAATCCATTGACTTTAGTATATTTTCCAGGATATCAGTTGTCGACACTCCTGGCGTTCGTTCTGTTGCCAAGAATCGATCAGCTTGTTTGAAGGGCAGGTAACAATCGTCAATTTCTTCCCCGATTTCGTATGGAATTGCATCGTGAGCTACTAGGTCGCACTGAAATGAGAAGTTGCATTAAATTTTAAGCTTAAAGCCGACCAAAAAGAAGCTCGTATTTTACACAAGAATAATATAAAAATTTTTTAAAAAATATTTGTTTTGTTTAAGTGCACTTTTAAAGAATTTAAATTTAAAAAACAATGAATTCATCTAAAAACCATCAATTTTTCCGGAACTTTTGCTATTTTCCTCAAGTATACTTGGTGAAAATAAAACCTTTTAGCATATGTAAATCAAAAAATATGTCATAATTAATGTAAAAGTAGTTCTAAACCTTTTAAACTGTCAAAAAACCTTAAAAGAAGCCAAAATAGCCGGCCGGGTTCGAACCTTTTAAAAACGAACAACTTTCGCTCAACCCACTCGGCCACGTCGCACATTTTGCAAACCTCTTTTAAAACGACCCAAAAGGTAAAAGCGATTACATGGACTCAGTGTTTTGCCCGGACCGGTCCGGAGCGTTTTTCACCGGTCCGGTCCGGCGATTTTTTGGGTCCGGTCCGGTCCAAACTTCAAATTTTTGGGTCCGGTCCGGTCCGCAAAAACATTTTTTTTAATTTTTAAAAAACGCAAGGATCGCTAAAACTGCTTTCTTTTTGCTTAGAAACTCCTAAAAATATGTTTTATTTGCAATTTTTAAAACAGTTTTCTTAAAATAAAAAAAAAAATTTTCTTCCGGACCGGTCCAGAGCTTTTTCTTCGGTGCGGGTCCGCAGGTTTTTGGGTCCGGTCCGGTCCGCAAAAATTTCTGTTTCGGTCCGTCCGGTCCGGATCGGACCGGCAAAACACTGCATGGACTGGTAAAATAGTGAAAAAATTAAAATTATTAAAAAATTTAATTAAAAAGTTGTCGACTTCAAACTTTAACCTACAAACCAAAACTTCAACAAAAAATCCTAAAATACGACCTCCTTCAAGTTACTCAAAACCTCACCTTGATGTTGTTAACAAACTCCAAAGTGGGGTAAAACGGTGGATTCAGGTAAACCTCGTCCACATATCGACATTGACTAACCATGGCAGCGCGATTTTCCTCCGAAATCACTGTTTTTCCTCCCTTGTATTTTAGAGTGTCACTGTCTGATACTACTGTAATATTCGAAGTTTACACAGTAAAACATGACGTCAAAATTGAAAAAAATATCATTTTTATATCTTTTTGGTATTGGCCTTTAAAATTATGGACTTTAAATTACAAATTTTGACCTAAAATCATTGAAAACACCTTATTTTTGGCTAAAATACCTACTATAATATAGAAAAATATGCTTTTTTCAAAACCATATTAAAAAAAATTAAAACAGTTAGTTTCTCTATGAAAATATTAAAATAAAAAGCCTAAAAACTCACCTCCAACGATCAAATAGCATCCAGGAAGCATCTGTTTGATTTGAGCAAATTGTTGTACATGACCAATGTGAAACAAGTCGAAGACTCCATCAGCATAGACCCGTATTTTAGCTTCTGACAAAGAATCCAGTTTGTTTAAAGTTGGTTTTGTCTTCTGAAGCATGGATAAAGTTGGGTTAGCCTTCTGAACCGATCGAGTTGAGTTTACCTCCTGAATCTCTAAAAAGTTTGGTTCCAGCTTCTGAATCTTTGATAAAGTCTTTGGCTTCCAATTTCTAAGATCTTTGAGGTTATTCTTTGCCAAAGGACTACTTGAATATGGAGCTGGAGTATTCGTTGACGTGGCCATAGTAGATGGACATGAACTTGATGGGAATTGGCTAAAGTAGATGAATATTTAGCTGAAGTCACGTCTAATGATAACTGGCGAGTAGACGATAGAACGACTGACCGGTCCGTGCCTTCGAATTGAGTGAATGGTGAGTTTAGTCAAGTGAAGGAACGATAAATTTGCATACTCATTAAAATTATCACTGTTTCTCAGCCCGGTCTAAAAATAAATATCACGGTAAAATAACACGATAAAAACACAAAAAAAAATGATTTTAAAAATAAAAAATTCAGTAAAAAATAGAGGAAACACCTCATACCAGAGACGTCACTACAGATCTTTTCTGACAAAAGAAGAGGCTACTGCTAAAAACTTCTGAATAATGAATAAGAATGATGATTAATATCCAGATTTCATTTTGGTTTAGTCAAAAAGTTTCGGTGGACAGTGGTCCCCCTATATAGTGAACCATCTTTATAAGCAATACTCCTTATAGCAAACACAAAATGGTAGTCCCTTCGGGTTGCTTATATAGAGAGTACAGTGTAATGTTTGGACAAGAATTGTAGTCATTATCCACCATTGCACCCACTTCCTAAAAAAACTTTTCCCAATTTTCCACGTATTATACAGGCACCTACCTGCCTGTGGAAATTTTTTCGAAAAAAGTTTATCCACCCCCATTTACCCCCCCCCCTTCCACTCAAAACACGTCGTTCTTGCCTCATACTAAACAAAACAAGAAGAATTTTCCCCTTTTTTTTCAGTTTAAAATCCACCTCTACCTTTGTTATTCTTCTTCCAAAAAAAGTGGCCTCGTGCCAGTTTTAGCGCAAATAATTATTATTCGTGCTCCGATGAACTTTCAACGTGCTGTTTTTTGGTTTTTTAAAAACACACAACTATCAAAACGATTAGATGAATACAAACAGGTATCTTCGGCTAAATATGATATAGGAAACGACCTTTAGAATTAGTTTCCATATAAGAATAGAAGAATACAATAGAACTTCTGTACAACAAACTCCTATATAACCAGTGTTTTGTCCAAACCGGTGAAGAGCGTTTTTCACCAGCCCGGTTTAGCGAATTTTGGGTTCGGTCCAAACTTCGACTTTTTTGGTCCTGTGCTAGGACCGATTTTTTTGGACTGACCCGGAGCTTTTTGTTGGGTCCGTCCGGAAAAATCCGGTAAAACAATGTAAACAACGAAAAATTTTATAGCGACAAAGCTTTGCAAAGGTTTAACTGTACAAGAAATTTCAATAAAAAATTTTTTTTCTCAAAAAAGTAAGTGAAAAATTATAAATTTGCCAATTTGAAATGAACCTGCCCAAATTGTAACCAAAAAAATTAATTTTGAAATTTCCTGAATTTTGACATAGAATACCAACGTTTAGCTAGGACATTTCGTAGTCCTTTAAAATGGTTGTTTACTAGCCAACCAGTCCTTGTCAATGCTCAAAGTAAAACAAATACTGTATATTTTATCAAAATCCTTTTAAAAAAACAAAAAGATAACAACACGTAAATGATAAAACTTTATTTATAAAGCACTTTATTAGACTAGCTTTAGATTTTGCATTCAGTGCTGGGCAGGGACTTTCGGTCTAGGGGCGGGGGTCAAAAAAACCCACAGGGGGGACCAAGTGCAACTTTTTTCGAAATTTTTTTTCAGGAAGGGCGTTCCCCTGCTTGCATCACGTTTATTGGATTGGCCAATTTTTAATGCGCGCTTTATAAATTTGGGTAATTTCAAAAAATTAAAATATAATATTATTTTATAGTTTAATCACTTTTATATTTAGCATGATCTGGAGGTATATTACAGCTGTACAATACCGCTCTAAACACTATAGGTACAAAAAACATTAAAAAAACAAAAATTGTTCCAAAAACTATGGCAAAAACATCAAACGAATGGACTACAAATGGATTCAGATGAACTGACGGTAGCTGTAGATACTCGGCAACTTCTGGAAATTTGGCTGCAAATTCTACCGATTCTATAAATGTTTTTCTAGGCTTATTTGGAGATGATTTCACTGCGTTTGACAACTTTTCAGCATTCTTTTTGTAGCTCGGTTTCGACAATAAATGGTCGAGAATGTAATGTAGATTCTCTATGGTTAAGTTGTTCTTTTGAAGTTGTAGACCAATGCCTAGACTAACTACTGAAGCTGCGTTTACATGTTGATCTACGGCTAGTGGAATGGTTAGTACGGGCACACCATGAAGTGTAAATTCGGAAAAAGAGTTCATACCACAATGGGTTATGAACAATTTGAGTCTTTGATCAGCTGCAATTTCAAATTTTTTTTTAAATCTGAAGAAATTGAGACAGAGTAAAATTGCCCTACTCGGAGTGATTTGTTGGGTCGTTTTACAGGGGCAAATATTATAAAAATTAAAAATATTGCGTAAGAAAAATTGCGTAACAAAATTTTTTTGCAATTTACCTAAGGCGTTTTAATTAGACAAACTTATAAAATCATATGAGAAATATCGGAATAATTTTTTTAATCAAAAAATCGACAAAAAGCGGTCAGTCTTCCAAAAATGACCAAAATCTAAAAATCGAACGGAATGATAATGATATGAGATTCACTACACTTTTAGCCTAAAACTTAAAAACAATGGCAATCCAAATCATATTACTAAGCTATTAAAAAAAACTGTGCCCTTTAATATCGGCAGTCTAGAACCTGATCAAACTTAAACAGACCTAAATATTAAGTTGTTAACATAATTCTTTGCCCCCTTTCAAAGCAAATTTTTGAGGTTAGAGAGCTCAGAATTAATTGAACAACCTAATATTAAACTCACCCATCCCAACTCAAAAGAATTACTAAAAAAGAAAAGGAAAAAAGTCTTGTCGTTTTTCACCGTGCAAATAGATTGACTTTGACGACAAGACTTTTTTCGGCAACCAAGTACAGGCCTTTTCAAAACAATTTTAGCGTATATTTCAAACTCGAAACCCACCTAAAAGCTGCTTTTGAGGTAGCCATTCCTCAGCAAACACATTATCAGCTTCTTTTAGTTCTACTTCATCGTCTTCTTTGTTGTCATGCTTCCATATGAAAGTGTATTCAGGGAATTGTTTAAAGGTTTCGATAAACACGTTCCTCACATCTTTTGGAACCACGTTAGTACTGGCAGTGGTACCGAACGAGAATAGGACAGCTCCTTTTGGGGTTCTGGCCAACAGCTTGTCGTATTTCTAAAAATGAGCGAATTTTAAGTAATATTAAGGTAGATATGGTGGTTTATATGTCGCTAAAGCTGTCATTGTATCTTGCAGGTTTATAAACGCTAAAAACGTTTTGAAAAAATCGCAAAAACTTTGTTTACAGCCCTGTTTTCGACCAAAAACGCTAATTTCCGAGCCGAATACCCCAAATAATCAGCCAAAACTTTATTTATAAGCCCCAACCAAAAATAAATATCTTACAGAGTCCAACTTCTTAGCCGTATCCTCATGATGTAGCTGAATTCCACCGATAAACTTCACTTTTCCAGATATCGGACGTCCAGTATCAAGTAGCTCGTTATGGTTAACAAAGAAGTACGATGCATTCCTGAACAATTGTAACGGTGTTGGAGCTTCCGGATAGTACTTCAAGATCAGCTTACGTTCATCTTGAAACAAATTCTGAGCTGTGAAGTAGGTCTTGTAGTATTGGATGGCGTTTATGAAGCGCTCTTTGAAGGTATAGTACTTGGAGACGGAGATTGGGGCGATTCCATCTGGAATTTAGAAAAATTTTAATGCTAAAATAGGTAATATACACTCTTCTAAACTTAAAAATTACTGCCAAACACAATAAACACAATACGAAAGCTCAAAAACAATAAAAAATGCCAACCTATAACCAAAATCTAGAAAAAACTTCAAAAAATAAGTTATTTTTGGCAATATTTATATAAACCACACATTTTAAAAAAGTAAAAAGTATAAAAATATAACGAAATTAACGTAAAATACTATTGAGCCTATTAAAAACAGGTTTATGAAGAATAAAGCCAAGAAAAACTCCTTGCACTCGACGGGATTCGAACCAAGATGCTTCCGTGCACAATATCTAAACACAAACCTTGCTGCTACGCGGTTAAAACAAATTAACTGCAATGTTTAAAAAAATCATTATGGACCAGAATTTTATGCTGATTTCAAATATCTACCTCATTTTGTAACGTCATAACAATTAAAAAAGATAAAGCCATTTGTTTCATAATCAGACCTAATTGTTGAAGGAAAAACGCTGCGAATCAATTAAAATTGCCCAATTCGCCATTTTATAAGCTGAATACTTAGAGATTTTCAAATCTTATAAACATAAAACGTGTTCAAATCAATCGTCTTTCCATTTTATTACCTAAAATCAAAAAACAACTTCAAAAACCCACCAGTAACAAAGCTTGGTGGTGCTGGAATGCCCAAGGTTTCCATGACAAAGAATGTTGGTGGTGTGGCCGAGAATAAAGCGGTCGATTTGATGCCTAATCTATGAAACAATGTCAGTCCACAAGAATCGTATGGTGGTGCTAGACCAATGTCGTATTTTTGGGCTTTCAATTCGGCTAGCAACTTGTTATCTTTGAGGATTTTTTCACAAAATATTAATCTTGAGGTATCGAACAATGAATGCATATCAGCTTTTTGATTTGTGTCGAATGGGCGAAGGTAAGCGGCCTGGAAAAATTGGTTTTTTAGGATTGTAAAAGGTGGTTTACTATAATTTTTGTGGGCTGGACTTCAAGTTTTAGGCCTTTTTCATTGTCTACCCCTAAAAACAATTCATTTTCCATCATCCACCCCTAAAGCAAATCAATTTTCCCCACTCCACTCCAAAAACAAATCCTTTTATCCACCTACCCCTCCAAGCGGAGCATTTTCAATTTCAACCCGCCAAACTTTAGTTGCCTTTTTAGTGCCATTTATGGCTGATATTGGGTTCCAAACCGACAATAACAAGTCAGCTTCATGTCCATACTCAACTAGAGCATCTACCATAGCACCAGAGAACATAAAATGACTTTTACCAATCCCAATATTGTACACCAAGGCCCTTAGGGCTTGACATACTGTTAGGTATGTGCTTAGGATTATTAAAATTTTCATTTTTGGCCGCTAGCTGAATAGAAAATAAAATGTAGATAATTAAAAAGTTGTGTTAAAAATGGTTAGATAAATTTAAAAATAATTCGAAAATTAGTGGTAGCATTAACAGACGCTTATCATTATTGTGAGGGAGTCTGGCAGCTCTTAAAAAGACGTCCAGATAAGAGGTGTTATCAAGCAAAGTTGGTGCGGAACATGATCAAAATACGTTCTGGACTAGTCTTCAAGATATTGATACCTTTTACCTTAGAATATTGAATTTTGACCCCAAGAAATTGGTACCTTTTTACCGCAAGATATTGATATGTTTTACCTCAACCAAATTGATACTTTTTGCCATTTCTAGTTTTATATTGGCTAACCTTTCAATGTTTTTATGGCATTTCCCTAGCTATTTTGTATTAGAAAATGATTAAAAATAGCTCTTTTGAACCAAACAATGATTAAAAAAGTACTATAAAGTACCAGTGCTCATGAATTGATAACGATTAACCAATGTTCAAGAATTGATAACATTTAAGAGTCAAAAAAAGTTCTGTCCGTAGTTTGTACATATTTGCACGCCGAGGAACGACAAGACTTTTTCACAGCCAAAAACTAAAGTTTTGAGCTACGTTTAAGCTTATATAGCTCAAAACGTCAGTTTTTTGCAATAATAATCTTTCAAACGTTAATATCAGTAATAATTTGTAATCGATTACGTATAACTTGACCGCCAATGAAAGGTCAAGAAAGACCTGTGGGTTTAATAAGGTTTAAAGTTTAAAAAAAGACCGTCAACTGCATTCTTTATACCTTTATTTCACTCAAACTTATAACTGTACTTTAAGGTTGATTTTGTAATTTTAAATATTGATCAGAAAGCACCCATCGCTTTACCAATAGAAGGTCTTTGATACACCAAGACAACGAGATTGATATCACAGTACAAGTTTGTTTGTGTTGATCGATTAAACTAGCAAACATTATATTATTACTTATCACATATTTTTTTATTTTACGTCAACAACAATATCACAAACCAGAAGTCACAAATTTTCAGCACATACCAACTAACATCGATTTTTTTGTGGTTGTTTAAATCTTTTAGCCTAAAGTGTATTATTAATATAATTCAACTACAACTCATAGCCCAGATATTCTCGCAAAGCTTGCGCACTGATTACAAATGCAAGTTTAATAAATACGTTGCTTTTGAATGGAAAAGTCTTGTACTTTTTGAATGTGTTCGATAAGTTCACGACTCATAGAGAATTGTCTATAAGACAGTTGTTGACAGCCGAATATCATTCATGATTGTTTTTCAATGACCAAAATTGGCATGCATGTGTGGCGTGGTAAATAATTTAAGCTGGGTTGGATTCTGTTGTTGATAATATGATATTATTTGGTTGATATGAGTTTTAATTGTTGGGTACGGTATTATTATTTTCGAAATTTAGGCGGTAGTGGTTTGGTGTGGAGTAGACCTGAATCACGTCTTCGTCTGTTAATGTCCCTGTTATTCATAAACCAATAATACCACTACGTTCAGTCTTACTTACTAATCATTTTCGACCAAGTTAACTAGTAATTGTCATTTACTGTTGATTGTAAGCCATTTGGCTTTTTTCCAAACCCAGTTTTTCGGTTCTTTGTTTTGACTAATTTTAAAATGTCTGGGAGATTTGCTTTGTAAACTTCAAGTACGTGTGATGTTCAGTAAATAAAACACAGACAAATTGACAAGGACATAACGTCTTCTTCAAACCAACACTGTAAACCTGTCACCGTTCTTGGAACGTTTCTTTGAAGTATTTTACCTTATTGAGAGTATTTTGTAATTCGTCAAAGTTCAACCATAATACGATAGTATTGAAGTAATCATTGAGCATTTTAATACCACTTCATAGTATAATTAATTCTACGTAAATCTGTGAAGGAGCCGGGCCCGATTTTTCGGGCCGTTCCAAGGTCTGGACCGTGGTTTTTTCACATAAGTTTCGTTTTACCCTTTCATAAGTCAAATCTTTTGTTGCAAGGCCTAACCTAGGTCCCTGAGGGCCTTAGTTTAGGCACGGTCTGACCCAGACCAGGCTTAGTTGGCTCGCTTTCAAGTCTAGTTTAGTACACTTATTTTCATTTTTCATTGTACTACAATAATGCCCGGACTATGACATTGACTGCACTATAACAACTTTACTGTATTGTGCGTTTCATATAATACTATTCTCGTTCCTGCCTTCCTTCTTCCACATACCCATACTTATATTTTTAAGTGTAGCTTAAGATTGAATATATTAATTATTCACGTTATTTTCCAGTTCTTCTCACATTTTGTCAACGTCTTAAATTACATGTGAGAACGATTGAGTTAATTATATATGAGTTTTAAGTTTAGTGGTAGTTTCTACTAATATCTGAAGATGTCTTTCACTTTTATATTCTCTATGACATCGTGAAATTCTGTTGAAATAGCTTAGAAACTTGTCATTTGATCAGCGACCGTAAAAATCCCTTCCCTGTTAGTTTTTATTCATTAACTATATATATATATATTATCATGGATACGTAGATATATATATCATCATAAATACCATAAATTTAGCCAGCACCCAGTACTTCTTACAAGCAACATTTTTTGATATAAAAGCTAGACATGAGGAACGGGCCGGACCTTGATTTTCAAGCCCGGCCCGTTCCTCATGTGTAGTAATATTAGGTTGGCCCAAAAGTAGTAGGACACTTTTCATATTCGCCATAGGCCTGTTACCTAATTTTATAGAAGCCTTTTCTCTGCCATTTTTAATTTGACTATAACAACAGATCTTATACACTAGATAGATTACATCTAACTCCATATACACAATAGGTGATATATGTTATGTGAATGGCTAAAAAATTAACATAATATATATATAAGGCTATTAGTTTAGGTATAAAAAATTTTAAGGTTAACGCGAAACTTGTAAAGGTTTGGATCTACTGTAAACGTTCTAAGACTACCAGAATAGGTAAGACGGTTTATCAGGTTTCTAGAACAGGTATGAAAGGCTGAACCTACTAAAAAGATTTTAAAGCCAGTGGAGTAAGTATGAATGGTCTAAAAGCTAACAGAGTAAATATAACAGCAGATCAGTATCTACTCAGGCATTCTAAACCGAGAATTTTTTCTGAGCGTCATTACAAAGAATCAAAGTTACTCTGTTAGTTTTCAGACCATTCGTACCTTCTTCATTAATTTTAAAACCTTTCTAGTAAGTTCAAACCTTCATACCTACCATAGAATAACGAAAAACCGTCATACCTATGCTAAGAGCCTTAAAACCTTTCTAGTAGATCCAACCCTTCATACATTCCACATTAACCTTAAAAACCTTCATACCTACTCTAGAAGCCTGTTAAGCCTTCATAACCATGCTGGTAACCTTAACACATTTCCAGTACTTCCAAACCTTTATCATTAATCTAGTAGCCTTACACAAAAGTAAGAAACCTAAAACATCAAGTTATTTATAGCCCTTCAGATAACCTATATTTACACATATTGTTCCCAATCTAAGCCTGGCTCTAAATAAGACGTCCGTATGACGAATGTAATCCGGCGTGTACAGCGTTGATACCATGAAAGTAATCAACTCCGTCTAGGGTCACAACAAGACCTCGTTTGACAACTTTTGACCGAATTTCCGATTCCCACTCCCATTCGACATGAACCTTGTTTTTATGCATATAAAGGAGCAGAAGTTGGTTCCGAAAAAACTTTGTCGCCATTCATTAAGCGGCCTTAATTTTGGATTCGGACCGCGAGGCCCAGTCACATCGTCGGCCGAATCTTATTACTAATAAATAATATTTTTGGCATTTAATTGCTCGTCTTTGACAAAGCCTGTTTTTTGTGAATAATTAAGCCAAAAATTTTTGTTTTTAGCTGGACTGCCTGCGTCGGTAAAATTATTATTCCAAACTGGCCGTATTTGCGGAATGTTGTTTGTTTGTTTGGCAATGAGGCGGGCAAAAGGGTATGGGGGTAATGCATGCGTTTTGGTGCTTTAGAGGACGAGCCGGGGGTGGGTGGGGAAGGTTTTTTATGGTTGAGATAGTTGTGATAAGTTATTATTTCTTCTTGACGATAAACAAACTTGTAGATTAGAATAAACATGTGTTTTGAAGGCATTTTTTAGGCTAAAAATTTCTTTTGTAAGCATTTTTGCTAGTCTAAACATGCTTTGTACTAGCCCTTTTGTGTCGGTTCTTGCTTTGACTTCTCAAACGGTTCTTTCAAGCCAAGGCGGTACCATTAAGAGTGAGGAGACAAACCAGGTAAGCAAATTTAACACAAAGTCCCTTCAAGCCAGCTTGACTAATTTTTTCGCAGCCCTCACTATCTTAGACTACCTTAGCCAAAAATTAAAGAAAAAGTTCGGTTGACCCTATAGACAAGCGAGCTGCGCCGACTTAACCCCCCTCCCAATGCCCGACCAACCCAGGCTATAACCAAATCCCACTGTACTAGACTTCTAAAGCGACCGGGCCAAGCCTGGCGTCTTTCAGTTATACTCTGTAAATCCAAATATACTGTACTTTATTTACGTTAAGTGTGACATTACCAGCTTCTCAACAAATTGCACGCTAACCAAATTATGTCCAAATTCTGTTTTCAAGATTTCAACAAAAGCAGCATGTTTTTGCAAACAAACCAGAAACCTAAAGCATGACCAAAACAGTACGCCTTCCAATGATCAAACTAATATTAACCCCCTTCTTCCCAGAAAAAAGCATTATCCGCGTGGATAAAGAAAGGGGTTTCGAACTGGGCGGTTCACAAAGAAGTCAGCCCAAATAAGGAAGTTGTTATGGATATTAATTGGGTCTCAAAACGCTTGTTTGTTTTTGGATGGTTCAGGGCGTTCTTTCAGGTCATCCTTAACTTAATTTTCCTATTCAAACACTGTCCTGTTAGCACGTTTTCCAACGTCAACATGGGTTTCGTTAATTTGGAAATCTTGTTAACACTTTATTGTGTAGTTTACTATACATTATGAAATTTGACCTGAACGTACTTTTAGACATTTGATATTAGTCTAGTACTTCAACACATTGTGTGGTTCGTTCTGTTTTTGATAGCATTTGCTACAGTACAGTCTAGATCTAAATATGGCTTTTGGGTATGACCTATGCAAAATTAGGTCTCGATGTCGTATTTTAAAAAAGAATCTAAGTTTCTGGTACCACAGACTCCCGTTATAAGCAACACCAAATAAAAAGCATTTTGTTTTAACTATAGCAAAAGTTTTTTATCGGTAAACCTCTAAAGGGGCTGGATCCAATTTTAAGCTTGGCCCCGGCTTTGGTTTGGATCCCGACCGTCGGACACACATGTATCTGCCCGACCCGTTTCAAATTTGCTTCACCAAGGCCGGGTTTGTTTTTTTCAAGTCAACATATCGACCATAGTTTACATAGAGTTGTTGGTAATAGATCTTCTATTGAATAGCTATTGTTCATTGTTTTGTGGTTTTTAACAAGCTTTTAACGAATACCATTCTTTCATATGAAAGATAATCATAATCTTCTTTTGCCCTTCAATTTACAGTGTTTTCACTTTGCAAACTTGCATTTCAATTTTCTGAACTTTTCATTTCAATTCGCCGATTCCAATCATAAACTTCATTATACTTGCCAGTAAAAACAGATTTCGAAAGTTGCCACTTCAACTTTGGTCTTTTTCCTTCACAGTTTTACATAATTTAATATGTTGGCGGACACTTGAAGAACATGTATGGCCAATTATGTAAATAACAATACAACTTTTTCACGTTTCGAACACAATTTCTTTTAGTCGGAGACGTTTTAGAACCCTCGGACCATATGGCTCTCGGGGGCATCAAAGTTTGAGTCTAACTGGAACGTATAGTATAATATACAGAACTGCGAAGATTCTATCTATAATACGATAGGTTGCAATTCTTCGACACGGTCCCTTTAATGTTTTATTCGCTCCGGCCCAGGTCCAGTCCTATTGGGATCTTTTGGCTTAATTATAGTTATTGTAGAGAAGCCTTTTGTTCTATTTTATTGTACTGTAAAGGTAGCGGTTTGTACTAAATTTGTTTTTTGATTGAGCAAGTGTTTTTAAAATCTGATATGTTTTTCTTTGATAATCTGATATAGCATTGTGTGCTACAGTAATATGTGTATTTGTGTACTCCCTTTATTGGCTGTTTCTTAAATACCATATCCTAATTTACTTTGTCCTACCCATCCCATCAATTTGTGCCATACGTTCCATGTCATCATATATTTTACTTAAATACCGTTTTTGAAATCACTTTTTTCATACAAGTCTTATTGTGCAGTGACTTATATATACTATAATATAAGCCTTTACTTTATAGTGCTTACTTTGTGATATAAATATGTAAAACAACGGTAGTTTCTATATAAAAAGTAATATTTTAAGCAAAATGATGAACTACATGCATCCAGCAAGAGACCCTAACGGTAAGCAAAGTCGCCGTTATGAGAGTGTAAAGCAAGTTATGGACAATTCAGGCGATTACAAATGTTGTTTCGACCTTTTTGATGTACATGTAAGTCATCGTTTCCTTTTGTTTATCATTTTCTTTTAACTACAACAAAAAAAAGTTATTAAGTCGTTCAAGTAATTCTGTGCCCAAACTTAAAGCAAATTTTAAAAGTTTAGGTAAAGGCTCAGAATTAGTTGAACAACCTAAAACCTTAACAACTTCGTATTGCCTGTTAGTTAGTATATATTTAATTTGAGACTTTACAGTAATCACTAATTTTGAATACAGTACTTTTTAACTTACAATTATCTACTAATAGCTATTAGTGTACCACTTATACTATAAGTAGCTATAAGTGTACAACTTACTTACTTATTACTTACATATTAACTTACATTGTTAATATGCTCCGAAGTTCCCAAACTTTAATAATCACAAAAATTGAGCCCAAAATCCTTTTTCAAAAATTCCATTTCAGTTCGGCACATTTATAATTGGTCACCTTGGCATAGCCATCAGTATAGTCGAAGCGTTTATTGTCAGTACAGTACATGAACATGATTATGCTCCAAGTTTATGTATTGTCTTCATACTGACAGCTTTCTCCTACCTCGCCCTCATGATTTCGAATCGCATGAAAAAGCGGAATATTTATGTTGTACATATGGTCGTTAATGTAAGTTTTGCCATTACCTTATAAGACCATGTTATTACAGTGTTTTATAGGGTTTGTCATTAATTGTGACAGTATTCCTGACATATGTCATGAGTTTCGTTCTTTAATCGTACTGCCACTACCAGTCGTACTGTATAGTACATTAAGTATATAACGATTGCTCAAGCAGTATATCCCATAAGAAATGTCATTTTACCTTCTAACTCTTAAATTTTCAGTGCTTTTTCATTCTGATGACATACATGTTAGGATTCGCATTCATCAAAAAGTCAGTGTATGATCTGCGCAGATCCTACGAAATCGACTTTTCATTTCAAGCGCTAGCCGTTGGAGTATCGGCCGTTATTTCCTCGACTGTGTACACGTATTTTTGGATTATCGTATATTGGGACTACAACTATCTTGGCCAATGGAGACGACTAGAGAGACGACAGGAATTCGTCAAACATGTATTTGTTTTGTTTTGATATCGGTTTTTACTTCATAAACTTATTTTTACAGTGACTTAAGGTTTTGATGCAAATATTATTATGAAATTTTGTTAGCATTCCTAACAAGACTTCATATGCCTATCTACAGGATCTAAAAGCCGAGGGATATTTATTGCAACTCTCTTATTAAGCAAAAAGCGCCTTTATATAAGCCTACAACAGCCGTGAACCGTAACAAAATGCTGTTATACCATAACAAAACGTCATTAAAAGTATTTAGATAGCCGTATCAAACCCACAGTTTGTTCAAAAAACCAAAAAGTCTTCAACTGTAAAAAGACATCCTACTACAACATTTTTCATTATCACCAAAAACCTTGTAAAACAAGGAAGCAAGTCTCATCATGTCACCTATAAATGATACCTCCTAAACTGTCATACGGTGCGACGCGTTTTTTTTTAAACCTGACATCGTTTTTTCGGCCTTACGTGATAACCCCACTGTCTCCGCCACCTCACCTTGATTAATTCTAATCAAGTTAATAGCCAAAAATAAGTGAAAAATGAACACGACCCGCTTATCAGGCCCCCGGAGGAGAAGAATTCAATTTTAAATTTTGCATTTTTCCCTGATATTCCGCTTGCTACATCGATCGGCTCACTTGCATTATCAAGGTGTCTATGACAGTGGATCTTTGTTCTCGTTTAACAAGTGTTTAGCTTTGATTTACTTAGGTTTTTGAGCTTAATCCTATTAATAACTGACAGCATTTGTTACCTTACAATATTGCTTTTAAACGTACGTATACCGACCGTATTTTACTGTCTAAAAGTGACAATAAAAGCCAAACTACCCTTGTATAACGTAAACTTCGGCTGCTTTGAGCAAGAAAACTTATAAACTCTTTGAAAAGATCTAGATTACTTGCTTATCTAAATAAAACCGTCGTATTTTACAAGTATTATTTATTGTTCTTAACTCTACAATCTGTCCAAATACAGCTGATACTAATATACAAATTATCTACTAATAGCTATTAGTGTACCACTTATACTATAAGTAGCTATAAGTGTACCTAATACACAAACTTTTAATGATGAACCTAACAGACGCAATAACCCATCAATGGGGCTCTGAATCCCTGCTACAAGGTCCATGGGACTACTTGAGGTTCAACTATGGTGATTACCTTAGATCTCCGCTGTTTCCAGTAGTATTCGCCTTATCTATTGATTACTTTTGGGTGGCATTGTTTACTTGTAAGTTAATTTTTGTATAGAAATGTCAATTCGTATTTTACTGACTGCTGAGACTTAAAATACATTAAATTTCCGCTTGGATTTTTGAATTAAAGCTTGAATTGCCAAACTACAGTACTAAAAAAGCCCTATAGCAGTCTTAATTACAACTTCAAGGTCGTTCAAATGCTTCAAATTTTCAAAAACATCAAATCCAAAGCTATAAAGCACTTTGCCAATATTATACTTTTAAATATTTGCCAGAAAAAAAACAGCTTAAATATTCTTTCAGTTATTGATTTGTTCTGCTATGACATGCCATTCATCAAAGAAGCCAAAATCCAGAAGCACATCCCAGTAACGTGGAAGTTGGTCAAAGAAACTTTGAGTTTGCAGCTTTTAAATCAATTCTTGTGGTAAGAACTAGCCTTTTCTTCACAAGGTTGAACCATCTTTTACTTATTTTAGAAAAACTACAACAAATATTACGTTGTTTGAATAATTCTGTGCTCACTTCAAAGCAGATTTTCAGCGTTAAAGGTACAGAATTGCGTGAACAACCTAATAGTATAGCTATGAAGACAAAATCCCAGTAAACCGTGTTGCTATAAAGAAAGCCTAGACCGTGTTACTGTCTTATTTCCAATGATATAAAGAAAGCCTAGACCGTGTTACTGTCATAATCCTAAATATTATAATTTGAATTTAATCCACACCTTTTCAGGATATGGCCAATGGCATTAGTGCAAATCATCTGGGTACCTGAAGAGGTATTACCCGAGAAAGCGCCTTCACTATTTGAAATGTGTTGGCAAAACCTGTTGTTCTTCTGTATGTTCGACACTGGCTACTTTGCCTTCCATGTTATGAGTCACAAGGTAAAATATGCGACTTTTTGCTATGCAAGTTAAAAAAATTCAAGTCTTTTGTAAAAGACATCAATTTTATTCAGTAAGCAAAAAATAGTGCTAGAAAAGTAATTTTAATTACATATGGGTATGATATCTTGCGGTTTAACAAATCCTTGTCAACAAAAAATCTTTCTAATACATTCCTTTTAGATCCGCTGGCTATACCGATGGTGTCATTCGGTTCACCACATGTATTCTTCGCCATTTGCCGCTGCTGCTCAGCATTTACATCCGTTTGAGCTGTTCTTTACTGGAACATTCATTACATGTTGTCCATGGCCTTTCAAAGTAAATTTAATTTTATTTTTTACTGTGTAACAAAGTAGCGATTTATTAGGTATATTTACTTATCATTTATATACTATAGAGAGTATCTTTACATGTCTTTTACATACTATAAATAGTATCTTCACTTATCTTGTACATGCCACAGCGAGCGTCTTTACTTATCGTTTACTGTGTAACATAGTATCGATTTATTACTGCGCGGCAAAAAATGGCTGCGTATATGAATGTACATAGACCAAACCCATTTTCAGCCCCACTGCTTGACCTACTGGGTATGGTTCGTAATCGCTCAAACCGTATCCTATGAAGTTCATCTTGGCTACGATTTCCCCTTTATGCTACACAGATTCCTACCGTTTTACGCCGGCGCACCAGCACATGATATGCACCATGTTCGGCCGTTGACCTGTTTCCAACCTTGGTTCAATCACTTGGACAAACTTTTCGGCTATTACATCAGCTACGACGATGTGAAAAAGATGAACAAAGCCATGTTGGAGCGTTACGGTAAATACAGCGACGAAGATGTTAAGGGTCTTAAACAGTTGAATTGAGCTCTATTGGCTTCGTTTGGCTTCTTGTTTTGATTATAACACAGTATTATCTTTTACAAAGTTGTAGTATATAACTTATAACACTCTGTTCGTTAATTTATAGAATGTTTAAAGTATATTGTATGGCTATTGTGCCAACTGTACCAAACTCTGTGATGTTTTATAACTTGATACAGTATTGTATATTCTATTGTACTTTATTCATAACAAAATAAAAATCCTCAAAAATAACGAAAAAGATGTAATATTAAATGGCAATAACCAAAAGATAACTCAAGTTAGATGCCGTTGCCATTAGATGACATAAATCGTAAGCTACTAGCAATAAACGGCCAAAACTAGCTTCCACCTACATTAAATGCTATAACTTATAAGATATTACCACTAAATGTCATAACTGATAAGCCGGTAACACTAGATACCATAACTCACAAGGTTTTGACACTAAATGTCATAACTTATAAGCTACTAACACTAAATGCCATAACAAACCACTAACACAATACAGCCCCTTGAAGCTTATCATCAATGTTAGATGGTGGGCTAGTCACATCGAAAGTGAAAGCATTAAAAGCCAGCTGTTTTAGTAGATTTACATCCACATTGTTGTTCAAACCAATCAACGATACGTGAGCGTATTGTTGTATATCGGAGTAGAACTCTTTCGTATCATCGACCATGTCTTGGTCGATGGCCGAGGTAAATATGATGATAGTTTGTTCGGTTATTTCAGTGTTGTATGGTCGACGTGAGAAATAGTCGTATACTCTACAAAAGTAGGTGTTTATTTGGGTTTATGTTATAGTAGGTTGTTCAAATAATTCTGTGCCCTCTAAGCGCAAAAATTTGCTTTAGCAGGAGCTCGGAATCATTTCAGCAACCTAATCGTGGTTTTTGGTAAAAGTGTTCTTATTTTATAGTGCTTGAGGTAAAACTGTGCTTGTATTACTTTAGTCTATTTTATAGTCTTTTGAGTACAAAATTAAATTCTTCATATTATAGTTAACATTTAGGTATAATTTTTCAATTTACATCCATGTTTTAGTGTTCTATGTGAATTGTTTGTAAACTAGAGTAAAGGATTTTATATTTCGGTTGCTGCACACAGTGTTAAAGCCTTCATATAATAATCAAACACAACATATATTGTTGTAAGTAAGTAAGTGTACCTAGATAGTTAAGCCAGTAAAAATAATATATAAAACTAGCACAAAATTCTTTCCGCTAGCTAAAAAGCTAGTCCAAAATGTGCCAGACAACCCCAGATTTAAAGGTTTTTAAAACATGTTGTAGGCCCATCTTTATCGAATAGAAAAAAAAAACATTGGGCCCTTTCTTTCGCTTAAACAAGCTTTAAACTTTGCCAACCCAAACCTCATAATCAGCCAGACCAAGTCACAATATTCCCCAACTTTCCTAATAAGACCTTCTCAACAAATATTACAGGTACACCTTCTACCATAAACAAAAATGTCCACTCACCTTCTCAACATAGGCTTCCGTCCCATTTGGTTCGAGTTCCGATTGATTGTGTCCAATTCGTCTTTGACCGCATTGATGCTCTTAAAAGTGCCTGGAGAGTTGATGTTAGGTAACTCATCGTAATGCCCAATAGAAATACGTTCAAAGTGGTTGAAGGTAGAGAGCAGTTTGTTCACAATGACATCTTTTTGGGCCTGAAATATTATAATTTTCAATTTAGCCTAAAACATTTAAATTTTAGCCAATTTTAAAAACTTTTACAACTTTTCCGGTCAAATAGTCCATAGAAAACACTGTTTTGACCAAAAAAATCATCCATAATTAACCAAAGTATAATTTTTAATAAAAATAATACTATAATAACAAAATCCCAAGCCACTTACATTAAACTGAGCTTCAGTTTGACCTCCAGATGAATCTACAACAATATAAACCTGCTTCCGGCATGGCTCATAGGGAGCACTTGGGTCACTTGTGGTAGTGGTAGTACGGATTGTAGTCGTGGTTGTGGGCACATTAGTTGTTGTGGTTGGCCCATTTGGTGGATTTCCTCCTGAAATTTTAAAATTTTTAAAATTTCAAAAAAAAATTTTCGCAAAAATTTAAATTTCATTTCATTTTCCCTTGGAAAACTTAAGTTTAACAAATTAAAAGCCTCTAAACATACCGCAGCCATACGCCGACCAAAAGCTCTTCTCCCAGTTCGATGGTGCATATTGTCCCCGATCCCATTGAATCACATCCGGAGTCAACTTCTTCAATAATCCAACGTCAGCTCCATTCACAGCAACAAATGTCAATTTGTCGCCTCGGAAATCCTTGACATATGGTTGAACTTCGTCCACAATCTGTTGTGTAATCTCACTGACGAATACGATGTAATATTGTGGTAGATGACTGATGCGTTGATGAGATCCTCCATCTACTATCTCTTTCAGGGCTCTGAAAGTTGGATTATTTAATTTTCAATCATTTGATTCAAATTTGACTGTTAAAAACATCAGTTTTGATATCAAAACAATCAAAATCCCATCAAAGATACCTACAACAACTTCAGAAACTCTCTAAATACAGAAAGAACAATATTTTTAAATAAAAACTTACAATCTAATATTAGACTTTGTTTTAGCTTGCTTCAATTCATCAAACCAGTTGTCAATGTGCTTGGAGTTGACGATTCGTCCGGGAGCTTCGACCAATGCCAAATTGTTATAGTAGCCAAGGATGAGCCGTTCCAAGTGAGTCCATCCGTAAAGCAACTGGCTTGTGAAGAATGTCTTTTGCTTCTGAAACATCAAACTTATTTTAAATTATATTTGGAGATTTTAATGAGCTTAACAAGGATAATATACCGCGTTTTCGAATAAAACCCTGAGATTTTTAGAAAAAATGAGAGTATGGCTATGGCTTTTGAGTATAAAAGAAAGTAAAGTAAATTAAAACACCTAGATTTGTTATATATAGTTAGAATAGATTATGATGCTTCTTTTAAGCTCAATTTTAGCCCAGTTTGTCCAAAAAATGAGAGTTCTAGAGCAAAAAATATTATAGGTATCACTTACATCAAAGTCAAAACAATTTCATAAATTTTTTGAATCTGATCAATTAAAAGAAATATGTTACTAATATAAACCAAATCCATAATATTTTAGCTCTTATAACCTAGATTCTAGGCTAATATTACCTAAAACACTAAAAACTTAAAAACGTTCATTTATACCTAAAATATAATAAAAGTTAAAGACAATTAAAAAAACAAAAATAGAAGTCATAAACAGACTCTAAACAGTTTTAATAAATCAAAAGGAAGTTGCCAAGATTTAAAAAAAATATTAACCTTTACCGATAAAAATTAACCTTTTTATACGCAGAAAGGTAGTCGCACGCTGAAGAGAAAAAATGTAAAAACAAGACCTCCAGCTTGAAATTTTACATTTTGCGGTCAAGCTGATAAGTTTTTTTATCTCTCAATACTTACATTAAAATCGTCTTCTGAAATATCGCTTGAAGTGTCCAAAATGAAGCTGATTTGGCCTTTGCATGGGGTCCAGTTATCGTCGTCTTTGGCCAATGCTTCAAAATCAACACTTCTCTTTGACCTTACAATAACATTCTTTTCTTCAACATTATTTTCCCCTTCTTTTTGTTTATAATTGTTAGCATTCTTACAGTTATAAATGTCATAAAACAGCTTTTCATATTCATCTCGATTGCTGTTGGCGTCCACAACAACAACATTAGCTCCAATGGATTTTTTGATTTCTTCCAAGTTGGATACCTTCTCTAATGATACTATGGTAACACCACCAGATTTTTGTAAAGTTTCCGTCCATTCTGAAGCATCTTCCACCTTTTCTAACGTCAAGTTCGAAGCAAACACTATGAATTGAAGGTTTTTTTCGTTGATTTCAAGGTTCGTTAGCTCTTTTAGGGCTCTGAAAGTATCATTTAAAGGTTACTTTTTGAATTAAGATGGAGATATGATATTTTTTTATAATCTTATATAAAGAAATATAACATTGTCTCATAAAATGATATAAAAGAACTAAAAGAAAATGTTATCCTTACGTTCTCAATGGACTATTTTCGTTAGCATTTTGGGTGTGACCATTCAAATAGTCCTGGACGCTTTGCAAGTTCTTGAAAAATCCAGGGTTTTCAACACTAGCCAAATGTGAGTATGTGCCCAAAGTCAAGCGTTCGAAGTGGTTGAAGTTTCCGGTAAACAACTTGTTTGATACAAAGTCGATTTGGCTCTGAAAAGTAATGTTTTACGATAGTATGATGGGTTTTATAGTTAGACTTATGTAGCTCTATCTTACCCTACCCTACTTTACCCTAGCCTATCTTACCTTATCTTACCTTGCCTTATTTTACCTTACTCTACCCTGACCCCTAATCGACCGACCCTACCCAAGCTTGCTGTACAACATAAGCCATTCCCTTACTTTAAACACCTCTTCACTGCCTTTTCCATAATCCAACATAAACACAAACGTTCCCTCGCATGGAGCATAAGTATCGTTTGGTATTGGTCTATGAGTAGTGGTCGTAGTTACAGGGCCATCAGTTGTTGTAGAAGAACCACCTGATGTAGTAGTACCATCTGAGGTTGTAGTAGTTGTGTCATCGTTATTTGGAGTTGAAGGCTTGCACAACTGTTGGTCAATTGAATTTGGAACGAAAGAAGAGTCTAAAAGATTGTATCAAGAAACTAAAAACTGAAAATTACGGCTTTCATGTTTTCGTGGTGGGACCCAAAACAAATTCTCAAAAAAGTTATCAAATGCAAAAAAAGAAAATTGCAAGTACAGCATCCTCACCGTATAAGTTATTAACAACAAAGTTTCCGTCTTCAAATTTCTTTGTCAATACGGCTTTGTTTGGAGCTTCAGATCCAGGATAAGATATTGACAATATTGCTCTTGGAGAGTCGTTGGCTTCGAATCCGCGGCTCCAAACTTGAGAAGAAGATTTTGAAAGGCCTAGGCTGTAAAATTTTTTGCTATATTTTCAAAATTTTAAATTTTTTTTTCGAAAACTTTTTTAATTTTTGAATTTAAAAAAAAATAATTTTTGAAATTTTTTTGGATTTTAAGGGATTTCATATATTTTTGACCATTATTTTTCAAATATTTGAAAAAAAGTCCAATTTTATATTATGAGTGTCATCTTTCGTATAACTTGTCTTCTGCAGGCTGCAGATCTTTAAAACAAAATAAAATGTCATTTTAAAGCTTTAAAATACACATTTTAGAATTAAAATCAATTTAAAAAACTAAATTTAAACTCTAAAGATCACAAGAAAGTTAAACTTACACAATAACATCACCAGTTTTGCCAACTACCCCTAACACTGTTTCTTTAACACTGTTCACAGCATTACTATAATCATTCAAGTCATCATTCGTAACATTGGGTACTCGTACATTGAGAACAAACAACTTGCTGTTTGAATCACTTCTACTTTCATTTAGTTTCGATATTCCAATGCCAAGCATGATTGAGCCGGCTATCAAGATGAGCAAGGAGAACAGTAGAAGACAGCCAATCACGGCGGTTCGCCGTGGGCCACCGATTGCGTCCACTACGGCCAAACCCATTCTGAAACGAGCTCTGTTTAAGAATGTTTTATGGTTTTTGACTAACGGTCAAAAAGCGTGTAGAACCTCAAAAATTAGAGATTTTGAGCCACGATCACACAAGATGTTAAGGCAGAACAATCAAAAGATAAAACCTTCTGAAGTTCACAAGTAAGATGAGTATTAAAAAAAAGTGGATTCTACAAACTTTTGGACCCAAAAAACGTATAAAACTTTGCAAAACAATATTTTATGACAAAGAGTAGCCTAACCATCCTAAAACTAGTCTCTTACGTAAAACAGTTGATAACAACTGCAAAAAAATATCTTTTATTGAACTTTTATTGTCATTTTAAATAAGAAAGTCATAAAGTTGTTGTAGGAAAATAAACAGAAGTCATTTGTCAGCAGCTTTTTTTATTTTACAAAAGTTTGACACTGCCTTGTATTACCTAGCTTTACACAACCCTACCCCATCTTACCTCTGCTTTGCCTCTGCTTTGCCTTTGCCCTGCCTTTGCCCTGCCTTTGCCCTGCCTTTGTTCTGCCTTTGCCCTGCCTTTGCCCTGCCTTTGCCCTGCCTTTGCCCTGCCTTTGCCCTGCCTTTGCCCTGCCTTTGCCCTGCCTTTGCCCTGCCTTTGCCCTGCCTTTGCCCTGCCTTTGCTCTGCCTTTGCCCTACCTTGCCGTGGCGTACCGTGCCATGCCTTCTATTCTACATATTGTACACATTTTAGAGGTGAATTAACCACGATATGCTACGGTATACTGTAGCAACCCTCTAATAAAGTTAAAGGTTGTGAACATAACTTCAAGATTTTGAAAACTACCCCGCCCGAAAAAGTTTTAAAGTGACTAAAGCCAGTATGTCTAAAATTACAATTTTAGCTTAGGCTACAAATTACCATACTCAAATATACCATACCCAAATAAAAACCAAAAAAAGAGTGCCAAACCTTTTTGCGATTATTCCAAAAGTCGTCAAACAAACTTGATTAGCCCATAAAAGTAATGGAACAATAATAACTTCGAAATATAGGCGTGAAATTTTACGAGTTTTAGATAAACATCCACTAATTAGTCATTAAAATTAGTTTTATGACAATTCATGTCCTACATGAAGTTTGTTTAAGCAAAGGGCATGGCGAGGACAAATTACAAGAAAGTTAAGCAAGTTTCATAAGAATTTTAAAAATTTTCTAAATTCCATATTATAATATTACATAAATTAATTTATATAAACAACACTAGTACTCTTGTATAACGACTTTTTATGAAGAATGATCTTGTAAATATAAAATCTTCAGCAAAGTACTAAATCGCGCTTTCCAGGAAAACTGGAGAAAATCGAGATTAAAAAATGACATTTTGAATTTTTCGTTAACTTGGCATTGTGTTTCAAGCTTATAACTTTGTCATTTTTTGATTTTTAATCATTTTTCTTTAATATACTAGTAGAAAACCTTTAAATGAACCTAGATTTTTAAATTTGTAAGCGTACCTTGACTGGAAAGCCGAAAAAAAGTGCTTGAAACACAATGCCAATTTGGCGAATTGGCGGGATAGCAAAATACTTTAAATTTAAAACTCAAGAGCGCAAGCTAAAATTTTTTATAAGTACTATTGGTAGTACAAAGAATCCATATAAAAATTTTGAGCAGGTTCCGAGCAGGGCAGGTAGGGTACTCTCCTTGTTAATTTGATACAGACCAAATTTTAAAATTGAGTCCGACCCCCTATTGTCCTTAAAAGTTACTTTTAAGTGTATTGGTTTGTCATATAGCAGGTAGGGTACTTCTTTCAAGGGGGGGGGGAGGACTTTGGAATTGGTCAGCTTATTAGTAAAAGTGTAACCTATAATAGTGGTTTCTTAGGCTTATGAAACATTATTATCCTTAAAAGTTACTTTTAAGTGTATTGGTTTGTCATATAGTGGGTAGTACTTCTTTCAAACGAAGGGGGGGGAGGATGGGACGTTGGACTTGGCCAGCTTATCATTACAGCTTCAGCATACTCTTCTGTAGCTAGAAATATTTTCAAACTGGTCTTAAGTTTATCACGGTAAAATTCATGCAGTTTATTACCTCGACAATCAGGTAGTTTATACTTTAAAGAGCTCCGGTTCATATCGATACCGATAGGAATGAACTAAAACGTTTAGAAAAAATTAAAGAATGCGCTCTTTGAAAAAGAAACAAAAATTGTTTTTTTAACTTTTCAACTACATTTGAACTATTATAATGCTTTGTTATAGTCACTAGCTTTTGTGACATTTCGTTGCTTTTTCCAATAAAGTTGTGGCATTTCGTTCAAGATCCTTTGGAGAATCGAATTCAAAGAGAAAATCCTTGAATTTCGCAATATTGTGACAGCTAGGTGCAGCTCTGTAAATATGAGGTTGTGAACAATTTTTTACTGAACCTTTACATTAAATTTACAAAAGAACGCTAGAATAGATGAGTGAAGCAAATATATCAACGTTTAAAGACGGGGAATCGATGAAAATCAACGATAAATTGGACACAAACCTTGATTATTTGGCCGTTTGTGTGTTCTTCAAATTCGGAAGGTAATCTGATTATTTTTTTATCTTTTCTTTTGGTTTTTGTTTCATCTTTTGTTATTTTAGCTATATTGTTGTATGTTTAGAGAACCTGACATCTCGTTCTGCCAGGATCGTCTAAAGAAGGGCCAAGGCTTCTATACATTAAAGACCAGGTCTTTGTCCAACTTTCAGATCAATCTTGAATTGATTGTAAGTTATTTTTGTTAATTTTAGCTTTATTTTTTGTAACAATCTCTGATATTTCAAGTATAAGATGCTTTTGATGCCTAACCTGTAACGTTTCAGATGAATCAAGTGGAGATATTGGAAATGGATTGGAATGACAACTTAGCAGTAGTCTACTAATGTTTTACGGTCGATTGCGACGTTTTAGATAATGTAATGGCGGCGTATTTCAGGAGAAAGGTGTTGTTGAACATGTTCAATCGGCTTTGGTAATATTTCATTATTTTTCGTTGGTTTTTAGGTAACATTCCTTGATAAAAGGTGAAAAAGAATGTGAAGAATATGTTTTTGTTGAGAATATTTAGATGGAATAAGGATAGGTCAGGTACTCCACCGTTTAGTTACCAAAAGAACAATGATAAGTTAGGATTTTGTTGTTTATTCTTCGTTTTTAGGTAATATTTGTTGCTAGAAGGTTGAAATGAAAAGGTCTTGAACAACATGCTTGGACACTAACAACGTCACGAAATGAAGACAAATGAGGTAATGGATTATAAATTAACCTTTAAAATACCAAAAAGAACAAGATTTTGCTGTTTTTCTTGTTTTTTAGGTAATGTTCATTGATGAAAGCGATATAAGATGTTGAGCAACTCGTTTTAAATACGAGAACTTCAATGGGCCATTGATTTTAGGTATGATTTTACTGTTTTTCATCGATCTTTAGGTATTATACGTCGCTGGAGCATTGTCCATGAGGAACATGTTATAAAGACAAACACTTGGATTAATTGCTGATAGATGAGGTAATGACCCGTCAATTCACCTATAAGCTACCAAAAACCCTGTGTATCTTCAGACGGATGCTTTTTCCAGCCGAAAGATGGCGAATATTGTGGTGAAATGGCGATAAACAAGCAACAAGATGGTAGGTAATATGTTAACTCAATTGCTTTTACTTTTTTTTTGTTTTTCCCTAAATGTTTTTTCATTCGAGTCGATTCTCGCGCAATATGAAGAAGACTCTTGACGTTAAAGGTTGTGTGGGAGTGATATTAATTTGGTTTATTACAAACCGTTTTGCTTACCGCTTTAGCAACTTTGTCTCTGAAGGTTGAGCAATATGTTGTGAATGATTTTTGTTACTTTGTACTTTGGGATTCCTTGATTTTTAAGGTTTTTTTAATGATTAAAAGTGGCATTTTTGTGGGTTTTGTTGGAAGAATTGATAAAATTCTTGATTTTTGATCAAAAAAGTAGTTGAATTGCTTGTTTTTGGTTTAAAAGTTGAGGGAAATGGTCTAAAAGTTGACGAGAAACTGAAGTTTTACGTTGATTGACTTACATGTAACCTTTCTTAGTCTTCCAGGTTCGGTTTGAAGCAAATTTAAGCCTAATTTGACCCAAAAACTGGGTTTACTTCAGTATAAAGTCTTCAAAAATAGATTCATAGACAAATATAGCACTTGAACACATTTTTACATTATGTTTTTCATTCCAGGGGTACCCCTACTTACTTTAACTCGAGTTAATTGTCTCAAGATTCCTTTCTTTTTGTTATTACCACGTGGTGAAAGTGAAAAACTAAAAATACCGGTTTCATCTCGAATTGTCGAGTGATTATTAAAGGGAATAGGGAGTAAAGATTATGGAATGTAAGGCGTAGTGGACTATTGTTATCTTTACTAGGTCTAGTACTCTTGCTATAAAACAGGTTGAGTGATGGGTATTTTGTGTTTACTATAGCGATAGTTTCTTAATTTTAGGCGTTTTTATATGAAAATAGGCTAAAATTTTGTGAAAAAGTCATGTTTTCATGTAAAAAAACGAATGACACAGAAAGTATTTGATATAGCTAACATAAGATATTGATCTTCTCGTGTCACTTATAATGACAAATTACTGTATTTTTTAAAAATACGGCCGTTTTATTGAAAAAAGTACGGTTAATCGACAAACTTTTCTATTTTTAAGGGCTTTTCAACCTTTTAAGGTCAATATATTATTAAAAACAAACTTTCCAGCACCATGCTGATCAACAAGAACTACTTGAGTAGTAACCATGGTATGTGCAAGATCTTGCACATCATTACCGGCTTCATCGTATCTTCATTACTGTGTGCCAATTGGTATGGAGGACGAAGTTGTTTCAGCGAAAAATTCATTTCCATCCCGGCTGGCATCAACATGGCCTTGGTGTTCATCAACATTGTTGTTTTCATCATGAACTTTATCGACTTTGGCAATAGAGTTGTGGTGAGTTAGGGTGGGTAAAGGGAGCTCTACCTTAATTTGGAGCTAACACTTATGTAAGGGGTTTTGACTGTCATTTTGGGTGTGATATGACGATCTATCTCTATATAATCCAGGATAATAAGGCTTTTTAAATTTTGGAGTTAAAAAAAGTCTTGTTGTCATTTTACATTGGTTTACTAGGAAACAGCAAATAATGAAAATCGAGTTATAACTAGTGGTATATATACAAACATAGCGCAAAAAAATCTAAGACTTATGGTGTAAAAATTTTTTGCCAACAATCTCTAGTTTTTGAGATATGGCAGGTCAAAGTTTGGTTTTTTAAACACTTTTGTCTCATGTTCGCTTTTTGAGCGCAGGGCATAAGCGCTTCAATAGCAGCGAGCGAGTGAGCCCGACTTGGACTCGGAACCTCAAGGGTTCGGTTCCCGTCGGCTTCCAAAGGCTAAAACACCTCAAAAATGGTTTTTATTTTTTTTCAATTTTATAGTTAATAACTACAGTCTTAAAACTAAACATAAGTAACATTTTGAACATATGAAAAAAGAATATAACAAAATTTAAACCTAAATAATTGATTAAAAATTTTCAACAATAGTTGTTCATAACATTTGTATTATTTCACTTTCACCGTTATGGTAGACATTAATATTATTGGTGGTCAAGTTGACGTCAGCTACTGATATTTCTAAAGCTATTAGAAGAGAAAAGACTTCTTTCCAAATTCTGTACAGTAAGTTGTTAATGTTGAGAGACTCTGATATCTTATTGCCAGAAAATTATGAAAATATGAACGAATTTTGGGATAGTGACGTACAAGAAATGGATAGTGACGTACAAGAAATGGATAGTGACGTACAAGAAATGGATAGTGACGTACAAGAAATGGATAGTGACGTACAAGAAATGGATAGTGACGTACAAGAAATGGATAGTGACGTACAAGAAATGGATAGTGACGTACAAGAAAAACCATTTCTTGTACGTCACTATCCCAAAATTCGTTCATATTTTCATAATTTTCTGGCAATAAGATATCAGAGTCTCTCAACATTAACAACTTACTGTACAGAATTTGGAAAGAAGTCTTTTCTCTTCTAATAGCTTTAGAAATATCAGTAGCTGACGTCAACTTGACCACCAATAATATTAATGTCTACCATAACGGTGAAAGTGAAATAATACAAATGTTATGAACAACTATTGTTGAAAATTTTTAATCAATTATTTAGGTTTAAATTTTGTTATATTCTTTTTTCATATGTTCAAAATGTTACTTATGTTTAGTTTTAAGACTGTAGTTATTAACTATAAAATTAAAAAAAATAAAAACCATTTTTGAGGCGTTTTAGCCTTTGGAAGCCGACGTGAACCGAACCCTTGAGCTTCCGAGCCCAAGTCGGGCTCACTCGCTCGCTGCTATTGAAGCGCTTATGCTCTGCGCTCAAAAAGCGAACATGAGACAAAAGTGTTTAAAAAACCAAACTTTGACCTGCCATATCTCAAAAACTAGAGATTGTTGGCAAAAAATTTTTACACCATAAGTCTTAGATTTTTTTGCTCTATGTTTGTATATATACCACTAGTTATAACTCGATTTTCATTATTTGCGGTTTCCTAGTTACACTATGAAAAACGACAAGACTTTTTTACTTCTGATTAACCAAAGGAAATGTCATTTTATATTAAACCGGATAAGAAAAATGACATTTTTCGTTAACAAAACTAAAGAAAAGACATTTTTCCTTCAGGAAAAGTACTACTCAATGTGCTGTGTAGTTCTGTACATACTCGGAATGGGCATTCTCATCTGGTACATGATTCAATTCCACAACCAACGTGGATGGCTAGCTGCTGCCGTGGTCTTGTTTGCGCTGAACACGTTCCTAGCCTTCTTCGACGTCAAAATTCTTCAAGGCGATATTGAGGATGATTAATTTTTTGAACTTATAAATTTTTATACTTTTTGAAATTTTAGGTAACTTTTTTTATTTTTGGTTGTAAATTGATATTATGGTTGTTGATATGGTTGAAAATTGAACTTCCATTATGGTTTAGGCTTGTTTTATTATTTAAACAATGAGTAATATTTAATTTTGAAAAAATTTTTGGAATTTTGGGTAAATTTTTTTTTACTTTTGCTTGTAATCTGTTTTGATGGTTAATGGTCTAGTTTAAAACTGACTTATCTGTAAGGTTTTGGCATACTTTGTTACTTAAATCATGAGAAACATCAAATTTTGTAAAATTTTTGAAATTTTAGGTAACAACTTTCTTTATTTTTGTGTGTAAATCAATTTTATAGCTTTTGTTAATGCTGTAAAAGGCATTTTGGTAAACATCTACGTCTGTTTTTTGATTTAAATCATGTATAACAACCAAATTTTAAAAATTTTGTTTATTCTTTACTCAAAAAAGGTCATTTTTACATAAAATTGTGCAATTTAAAAAATGCGAGCTTTACAAAAATTGATACAGATGTCGAGGAGTTGATCTACCAGTTGGAGGCTTCACCTTGCAAGATCTTGGAGTCCCACAAGAACAACAAGAATTGGACAACAATCAAGACGGTGATGGTGATGTAGCCTCCGCGGTGGTCGTTCACAACAATCAACCAGATCAACAAGATGGCGGCAATGAGGAACAGAACGGTACAGACGAAAGTGTAGATTCTTTCCTGAAAAATTAACGTCATTATGATGGGTTTTATAGAAGTTATGACGGATTTTGTGAAATGAGGGAGCTGATTGGTCATGGTGAATATAGTTTTTGATGTATAAAATAGAAGCGTTGATGTTTTTGTGAAATTTTTTGTTTTTAGGTATGAAATAGGTATGTTAAACTATTTTTAGCAGTATTTTGTCATCACTAGGTATTTACTTGTTCTTATGACAAATTTAATAGGGAACGGTATCTGATAGCCATGGTGAATACGGTTTTTGATGTATAAAGTAAACTAATAAATCTTTTTATAAAATTTTTGGATTTTTAGGTATTAAATAGACATTGTAAACTTATTTATAAATTTTTTTGTCAAAATTAAATTCTTACTGGGTCATATGACCATTTAAATCTAGGTAAGCCTATCAAAACACTATGAATAACATATTTTTCAATGTAAAAACGAAAAAACCTTACCAAACTAAGTTGGCTCAATTCCAACAAGTTGAGAATCAAGAAGACAATGTTGATGATCAAAACGACGCTGTTCAATCCAGAAGTGTACGAGATACGGCCTTCCTTGAAGCAGGATCCATGACCGAACACGTTACCACAAACCAACGATGTGATCACGATGCCGATGATGATTTGGGCAATCTTGATGATACCACGATGAGAGCTGAGGTAGTTGGTGTCCAAACCCATCTTGTTTTGAATTGGTTAAGTAGTTTTGGTTCTGGAATTTGAATAAATTTAAAATTTGTCATGAGTTTGGACTTTGAATTAAAATTGATAAGTGATAGCACGCAAGATGCAAAATAATATTCGTAATAACTTTCAAAACTACAAAATCCATAGCAAAATTAAAATTAAACAATAATATATCTAAAAGAATTTTTTAAAGTCAATTTTATGTTCAAGGTAAGTTTTACATACAAACTTGGTAATTTACATCATAGAAATACTGATAATCCTATTTTAAATCATTCCTGAAAATTTCATAAAATTCCATCGACCAAATCCAAAGTTATAACCATTTTTCTACCCCTCCGTATGCACTCCCTTCCGTCTCTTCATTCCCTTTCTCTCTCGCGCACTTCTTTCCCTTTCTTTATCACCTTCCCTAACCCCTCTCTTCTTTACCCGCGCTCTCCCTTTCGCCGCGCCCTTTGATCAAGCCGCTCTCTACCCGCTCTCCACTTTTTACGCGCTCTCTCTTTCTCTCTCCGATTTTTTGTATTAACAAATCAGCCTCTAATCAAAAATTTGTGTCTCTCAAATAATTATACTCCCTCATTTTTTGTCTAACCGAGACTTCTCTGGCCACTCTCTTCATTTCATATGATGGGTTCCCCTAAAATTTCCTTTTTCGGGTTCCGTCCTCTTTTCGCATTCACTTTTCTTTCTCTGACTCGGCCGTCTCTCACTTTTACACAGTCTTTTTTTCGAACCGCGTGAAAAAGGCCAAAAATGGCTCAATACTTAATGAACAAATTCGTCAAAAAATCGCGAAAAAACGATTGAAATTTGTCGAAAAACGGTCAAATTTTTGAGGTTTTTGGCTCCAAAAGTACCATTATTGACAGAGTTCAGGTTTGGTTTACATACCGTAGTAAAGATTAGTATCTTGGCTACATTTTCAACTATACGGCGCTGATTTTCTACTACGGTAACATGGAGATACGACGCGTCAAAGCCACAACAGTCGAGCGGCCACGACTTTACAGACACTTTTCGACCGGTCGATAATGATGAAAATGAAAAATGAACGTTTACCATGCTATTTCATGGTATTCCCCAGACAGCACTTCCAGGAATTTTTGATATTTTGAGTTTAACATAGTAAAATACTATAGTAAAGTTTACATGTACATATTAGACAGGGCAAACTTTAAGAAAAAACACCTTTCTTTACAGTGACGTCTCCTTATAGCGGAACATACCATCATGTAGCACATGACCTACTCTATAAAGTTGTCTAGCAAATTTTTTTACTTTATAAAGATACGATGGTTACAGTACGACCAAATATAGTCAGTATTCTGCGATGTTTTTTCGTAAAAAGACCATCATGGTCTACTTTAAAGCGTCATAACTTTCTTTACAGTAACGTCTCCTTATAGTAACGTTTATATACATGTAGTGAAAATACTGTATTTTAATGACATATCAATTTTGGAAATTACTTTGGTAAGATACCATAGTTATGGTGCAAAAACAAATATTTGCAGTCAAAAAATTTTTTTTTATATCAATTGTAAGCTGAGTTTAATGCTCAATAGCTTTCTTTACAGCCAAGTATCCTTATCGTGAAACATACCACGGTAATGCTTAGATTGCAAGCTATTTCACGGTTTTTTTGACTATGAGGAGACGTTACTTTAGAAGAAGTTATGGCGCTTTAAAATACAACTACTTCTCATTTTTTAAGAAAAATATAAATAGTGGTAAATACTGTTAAATACTGGTTATCATTCTACTATGATCGTACCCTGCGACAGTAAAACAAAAACTTACCATAATATTTTACTGCAGCATCTGTACTATGTTTAGATATATTTCATTATTGGGAGACGTTACTTTAAAGAAATTTATGACGCTTTAAAGTAGACCATGTTGGTCTTTTTACGAAAAATCATCGCAGAATACTGACTATATTTGGTCGTACTGTAACCATCGTATCATTATAAAGTGAAAAATTTTGCTAGCTTTGTAGAGTAGGTCATGTGCTACATGATGGTATGTTCCGCTATAAAGAGACGTCACTGTAAAGAAAGTTATTTCTTCTTAAATTTTGCACTGTCTAATATGTACACGTAAACTTTACTATAGTATTTTACTATGTTAAACATAAAATATCAAAAATTCCTGAAAGTGCTGTCTGGAGAATACGATGAAATAGCATGGTAAATGTTAATTTTTTATTTTTGTTATCATCGACCGGTCGAAAAGTGGCTGTAAAGTCGTGACCGCTTGACTGTGGTGGCTTTGACGCGTCGTATCTTTATGTTACCGTAGTAGAAAATCAGCGTCGTATAGTTGAAAATGTAGCCAAGATACTAATCTCTACTACGGTATGTAAACCAAGCCTGAACTCTGTCAATAATGGTACTTTTGGAGCCAAAAACCTCAAAAATTTGACCGTTTTTCGACAAATTTCAATCGTTTTTTCGCGATTTTTTGACGAATTTGTTCATTAAGTATTAAGCCATTTTTGGCCTTTTTCACGCGGTTCGGAAAAAAGACTGCATAAAAGTGAGAGACGGCCGAGTCAGAGAAAGAAAAGTGAATGCAAAAAAGAGGAGGGAACCCGAAAAAAGGGAATTTTGGAGGAACCCATCATATGAAATGAAGAGAGTGGGCAGAGAAGTCACGGTTAGGCAAAAAAGGAGATAGTATAATATTTGAGAGACATAAATTTTTGATTAGAGACTGATTTGGTAATACAAAAAATCGGAGTGAGAAAGAGAGAGTGCGTAAAAAGTGGAGGGCGGGTAGAAGGCGGCTCGATCAAAGGGCGCGGCGAAAGGGAGAGCGCGGGTAAAGAAGAGAGGGGTTAGGGAAGGTGATAAAGAAAGGGAAAAAAGCGCGCGAGAGAGAAAGGGAATGAAGAGACGGAAGGGAGTGCATACGGAGGGGTAGAAAAATGGCTATAACTTTGGATTTGGTCGATGGAATTTTATGAAATTTTCAGGAATGAATTAAAATATGATTATCCGTAATTTGCCACACGTAAAGTCACAGAAACCAAATAATCAAACTTTATAAATTTAAGATATAAAAAATACTATAAAGTTATCAACGACTGACGTATTTTACATATTGTTCTATTACATGTAGCTTAAAATGGCATAATCATAAAAGAAAGGCTAGAAAAGTGAAGTATGTTTAACTCATCGTATATTTATTAAAAACTATAGTAAAAAAAACGGGTTTTATATCAAATTGTAGCTAAGAACCAGAGGTTTCAAATGGTGTATAAATCAAAGTTTATTTTTATAAAAAACGTACAATACAACACGAAAAACAAACATAAGTATGTAATATGATAACAAATTTCAAATTTTAAAACATTTTTCAATTATTGCCAATTTCAAATCAACCAAAATATAAAATGTTCAACTTTCCTACAAACCCTTAAAACTTTACTGCTATCGCCAAGTTTACGGCCCTTAACAGTTGCGCGAAAGAACTAAAACAAAGTCAAGAAAATGCGTTTTTTTCGAAACCGCCCGCATCACGGGTTGACGTTATAACGCAATTAAGGCAGGGGTAAACAATCTTTACCGGCCGTCAAAAAGGTTTTTTATTTTGGACGGAAGCCACGCCTTCGATCATCGATGAGGCGTTGACGAAATTACAATCATAAGCTGCGATAAACAAAAAGTAACGTCAGCTTGGTTGGGTTGTCAAGAGTAATGTTAAACTGTGGAAAGAACAAAAGAAAAAAGTAGTTTATAGTAGTTTATAAACATGATTTTTAAAAATTTTGAAAACATCAAGTTGTAATGGTTAGAGAGGTGGCTTTATTTGGCCATAAAATGACTTAATATTGTGATAAAATAGTCATACATTGACAAAACCTAAAACTTTTATTTGTCAAATCTTTAAATAGAAAAAAGTAATCTCTGATGAGTTAAAAGTCATAGAAAATGACAGGTCAATCATTATCCATACCCCTATCTACCGCTACCCTTACTTCTAGCCCTACCTTAACACTGCCATTTTTTTTAGAGACCTGTCTCATTCCTACTCTGCTCCACCTTGCCCTGCCCTATTGTACTCTACATGATCCTATTGTAGAGTATAATAGGGCAGGGTAAGTCCTATCAATCCAAAAAGTCTTGTCGTTTTTAAAATACAAAGCAGTTGAAAAGCGACAAGACTTTCTTTGCCGTCTTAACAAAAATAAAGATAAAAAGAATGGCATAAAACGCCATATCATATCTCCGTGTTACCACAATAAAACATAAGACTTTTATAAATAAAATTACACCCAAGATACCAAGCTTTACTGTGATATATAACCTTAGTTAATATTCAAGATAACGATACCTTTAGGGCCATAATTTGTTGTAAGCAACTGAGAAACAAAAGAATAAGAAGTTTTCAAAAAATCACAAAATTCAAACCTCTTCGTCCAAACTACCTACCCTATCCTAACTGACTTGCCCTGCCTAGCTTTTGCCTTGCTTTGCCCTAACTTGCCTTGCACTAACCTTACCAACCCCACCCTCGGCCAAATCTTAGGTGCCGACATAAAAAACCCGCCATACTTTTCCTGTAAAAAATGGCGGGTTCTTTATGTCGGCACCTAATATTTATATTTCCTTCTCTGATAACTATATCAAATCTTCTTTAATACCTATATCAATTTAAAAATAGAACCATTTAAATTTCGTATTTTACCAAAATTAAATTTAAAACTTAAAAACAGTGCAATTCCTACCTAAACCTCCAGTTTGGCCCCACTTTAACCCCTGAAAAGCCGTAATTGTATCAAAGTTGTTCTCATCTCAAATGTGATTACAATTCATCTCAATCATGATGTAACATTCCTTTTACTTTCTCTTTCCAATTTATTTTTACAATTTTAGAACCCCATCAAGTTTTTTTTTCGAGATACCAACAAGTTAACGTGACTGATGAATCACCACAAACAGTAATTGCGACGCTGTTAATGGGGCTTAAAATTACAACGAATTACTACTTTTGTTACGTTCTGAACATGGAATGACAAAGTTGAAGAGAGTAGAGGGTTTGGAAAGAAAGTTATTGCCAATTTTCAAAACAAATTGAACAGAACGCTTCTCATGATCCATGAAAGGCTAAGGTAAGGTAAGATAAGGCATTTTAGAGGTGGTTATGAGATGGCAAGGGTAGAAGAGAGGTAGGGTAAGAGTGGAGTAAAGCAGGGCTAAGGCCGCGCTAGGGTAGAACTACTATATAAAGGTAGGTCCATGGCAAAAGTGAAAGTAAGGGTAAAGTTGGAGTAGGGGTAGGGGTAGGAAAAAACTTAAAGTAGAGTAAGGCTAAGGATAGAGGTAAAGATACTCCTATACCTAGACATGAGGAACGGGTCGACCGGGCCTAAAATCAAAGCCCGGCCCGTTTTCTCGTAAAAAAAATTCGGGCCGGACCTGAAAATTGGGCCCCGCCCGTTCCTCATGTCTACCTATACCTAGAGTGCTCTATCGCTGCAAAACTTCAAAATCAAGTTAAAAAATGGCATTTACTTACAAAAAAATTTTTGCCAACTTTAAATTTTCATACCCTAACCCTTTCTAACCTACCCCACCCAAAACCTGCCAAAAATAATAAGACAAACACACTAAAACCAACTTCTGAATCACTCCAAAACAAACTGTTGTTTATAACTCCCACGTTATAATCTCATAAAAAGCATGTGATAACACATTCCATTAGTCATAACGAGTGATAAAAACAAGACCGATGGCCTTGTTTTTAAAAGTTTCTTGCACTTTTACCGTTTGGCCATGATTGACATGAATTTTGATGGTTTTGGACATAAAATTTTTGATGATTTGGACAAAAAAAGACAGAAATGAACCAGTTAATGGCCTGTTTTTAGCTCGGTCTTAGCCCTACTCTATCTTGCTCGTATCCTAGTTGTATAAAACTGCACTGTGCAACCAAATTTAAAGCGCTTGAAAACATATTTTAAAAAAATTAATTTGTTTTGGTATTATATATCTAAAGATTAATCTTAACGAATGCCAATACTGTCTTAATTTTTTAAATTTCATTAAAATCTAAGGAAAATAAAAAATTTTCAAAGTTGCACCGTGCAGTCAAATTTGAAACTGCCATAACCTTTAATATACAAAACACAAAAAATTTTTAATGTGGCATATTAAAAAGCATTCTTGTGAGCATGCTAAAACTAGAGAAATTTTTAAAATTTCTTAATATTTTAAAGCCAATTATATAAGCTATAAAAATTGCACCGTGCAGCAAAATTTTAATTTGCCAAAATTTATACTAGTATTACATTTTTAATTTTTAAAGTTGACATACTGAAAAATCTTTTAATAAGCCTGCTAAAACAGTAAAAAATTTTAAAATTACGTAAAATTAAAAAATGCTTTAAAAGGTTTTGTTGTAACTGCACGGTGCCGTCCTAAAATTAAAAATTGCACTTTGCAAAAAAAAAACCAAAATTATAAAATTAAGAAGTTCCGTCAAAATATGAAATTTATAACTATATCAAACTCAATCAGTCAAACATTACATGTCAAACCAACTTTATAGACTAGATTAGTCCATACCCCTATCCTTATCCCTGACATTCCCTAGATCTACAATACCATAGCTCTGTGTCAACCCTACCCTACTGATATTACTATTTTTAGCCCTACCCTGACCCTACCCATATCTCTACCACTACTTTAATCTACCCTGCCCCTACTTCCACTCCAAAATCAGTGGAAAGTTGTTAAAGATATGCCTATTACAACATTCACATACCCCAAAATCAATCTTCCCATAAGCCAATCCAAAAACCGGCAATTAAAACCTCAAACATTGTAATTGCGCCCACCTATAAATAATGTATGAAAAGTTTTGGAGCAAAAACACGTTTTAACAGGCCTTTAATGAGCTGAATCGGCCCTGATCTTTGACACCATAACGAAATTGTTTACCCGAATATTTCGCATTTTTGCTTTTTTTTGGTCGCGCGTGGTTTTGGAAAGTCAACAACCACAGGTTGTGTAAATATTGTTATTAAAGAGCTTGGATATTGGTTGTGAAGAGGTCAGATATTGGTTGCAAACAGCTTGGATATTGTTATTAAACAACTCAGATATATCTCCTTTCTATTTCTTTTGAGGTATTGCCATCCTTTTTTAGGTCTTTAAAGGGACTGACAATATTTATTTGAATATTCATATGATTTCTGTATAAATATTGTTATTAAAGGGCTCAGACTCTGGTTGCAAACAGCTGAGATATTGGTAGAGAACAGCTCATTTCGGGTCTTTATGGGCTTGATCTAGCAAAATGATGGGTAAGCCATCATGTACAATATTGTTTTTTAATAAGTTTTTGGGTTTCTTTAGTAGATATTGACTTTTGAATCATTGAAATTTGAAAAATTGGTTCTTATATGATAGAGACCCTTATGGCATGATAAGTCTACAAAAACAATTTTTTGGCCAAAATATAGCAAAAACCTCGCTTTTAAACCTATTTTTAGCCAAAAAAATCATTCAAACTCAATATAACGGCTTGTAACTATGTTCAACAGCTCTTGTGCTTTATTAAATACCTATTCTCGACCCTGCTTTCCCACAAAAGCTACTGTACCAATCCCCTTTTCCATAAAATCTCCATCAAACTCCATTCTTCCATCACTTTTAGACCTCAAAAACAACTTTTTAAGTTTAAAAACTAGACTTTTCAAAGCCCAAACCCTTCAAAAACCTCCTGAAATGCCATGAACCTAAACAAAAAGCTTAAGTGAGATCAAGCAGATTGTCAAGTTCACAAAAAAAGCGAAAAAAGTAGGCGGAGGTCTCGTGGTGATTCAAACAAAACAACAAAATCATGTGGAATGTTGGGAACAGGTGCGGCGCCCAAATTAATGACTACTATTATGGGGGAATCACTGTGAGTGAGAGGAATGAATCAACTAATAAAAGCATTGGGATTTGGCGTCATGACAAGTGGCAGAAATAGTGGTTTGTAGTAGACTTGTAAAGAGGCTGGGCCCAATTTTTTTGGCCCGGCCCAGTTCTGGTAAAGTAGTAAATTAAGTGGAAAAAGCTGTACATGTCGTATTTTATCCTGAAAAAACAAATTTTGTAACAAAATTTTAAAATATTCGAAAAACTTCAAAAAAACCTACTGCACTGTGCAACATTCAAAACTACAAAACACTTAATACTCAAATTATCATATACTTTTAAAACCTCAAATGCTAATAACTTAAGCGAGTATGGCCATCGTATCATATTTTGCCTTATGCAACACGAATTGACCAAAAATATATAAAAAAAAAAGTTTTAAAAAGAGCCCTTGCACGGTGCAAAGAGCAACCTTTCGAAGATTAAAATCTAATTCTTCCAAGAACTTTTGGACCTCAAAAATTTAACAAATTATGCTACATAAGTCCTCCGATTACAAATTGCCCTAGAAAGCATAAACTTTTCAGCCTAATTTCAAAAACTTAAAAATTAAAAAATAATTTAATGCACGGTGCAAAGCAAACCAAATTTAAAAAATGCAAAATTTCAAAAATCTTCAAAACACGACACGTCTTATTAATACATACTGGATAATCAAAATTCTAAAATGTCCTAAACCTTCTAAAGATCACAGCAAATCAAGATTTTATTATATTATCCTTGTTTCTCCTCCTCGTCTTCTTCATCCTCGCTGTCGCCGATCAAGTCCCAGATCTTTTGGTCCAGCTTTTTCGTCACAAACACCTTGGCATAGTACAGGCTCATGATAAATGTTAGAACGAGAGTCATTACGGCTGGATAAGTGTAAGTTGAGTGTTCCTGAAAAATCAAACTTTAGACCTAATTTTTAGTGTTTTAAAATGAAAGATTAATCCAAAAATAATAGAAATCATCCTCTTTACGTTCTCTAGGGTTTTTCCCTACCTAAAATAGTCAATTTAATTAATAATTTTGACTAAAAATTCAAAAAAAAATGATTTCAAAGCCCGCGACCAGCCAGATACCTACTACAACATTACTCCTTCAATTTTTTTGTGTTTTAATAAAAGTCATAGAAAAAGTAGGTAAAATAACAATCTTCAGTCCTTTTTTTTACCTAAATTTATACATTTCAATTATATTTCTTTCAAAAACCATAAAACATAAGCTAAACTAGACCAAACATCCTGATATCTACTATAATATCAAAAATTAGCTTTTCTAACAAATCTGTTATAATTCCACAATCCTTTAACATCCTATGATCTACAGCAATGCAAGCCCACCATTACCTTGTTTTATATCAACGAAATCATCCAACTGTCGGCCCTGAAAGTCTCTGCTATAGCTATAGTAACTACTACAACATCATAAAACCTTCATAAACCCATGACTTACATGAAACTTATCCATCCAACTATCCCAAATCTTTTTGTCACAGTTTCGACCGGTAAATTCATATTCACAATCGCATCTGTAGCCGCGTTTGTGTGCTGAATCTTTGACACAAGTTCCGTTGACACATTTCACTGATCTTCGATCGCAAATCTCAACATATTGTTCACATTTCGGTCCTTTATAGCCGTCTTTACATGAGCATGTGTAGCCGTCTTGGTTGTGTTTAGTTAGCTCGCAAATCGCTCCATTTTTGCATGGATTCAGATCACATGGAGTTAGCGGCCGCTGGCAAAAGGGTTGAGCTAGACCTGGTGGGCATACACAACGGAAGCCTCGTTCATCCTCTTCGTGGGAGCATACCTAAAACAATATTATTGTGAAGCATAATTAGATATGATAAAAAGTCAATGTTAAAGGCAAATTACATCAAAACATAGGTTCTGAGCAAAAAAAAGTTCAAAAATATAGTGTTATGATCAAAATTATTTTCAATTCCCAAAAACCTTGCATTTTTTATTCTTTTCATACCTCAAAATAACCACAAAACATTCTGTTAACTCCTTAAAACATTTTAAACTTATTTTAAACAAAAAATTTCAATTAAAAATCAAGTTACATCAAAGAGAGCATCCTTTTCGTTATCTAGAGTGCATGGATAACACGCAGCGTTTGCGCCACATTTCGAAGTGCCATTTTCGTGATAACATTGTTGAAAGTGAGGACTTGTGCATTTTTTACCTAAAAAAAAACAATTTAAAAATTCCCTTTTTCATACCTAAAAATCTAAAATGTAATAAATCTGCACCGTACAGTCCTTTTTTTTTAATTTTTGCACCGTGCAAACACAAAAAAAAACCAAATTTTTTACTTCAAATTTCAAAAGAATCATATAAAATATCACACTCACTTCTTCCATCCACATCTTGATCATTGTTACACACACAAATCGGTATTTTATCTTCGCTCAGCTCCTGGACCGTGATCTCGACACAAGTCGCGTCTCCACATGGATTTGGATGGCATTTGTTCTTCAGCTCGCATCTTTTACCTTCGTAGCCTTCGTCACATCTGGAAAAGGCAAAAGATTGAAAAACAGTTCATAAAAATTCAAAAAAGTTTCGAAAAATGGCCTATAAACTTAGCCATAATGTAGGGGTATGGCCAGGTAGGGCCAAAAAGATGAGGGGGAGGGTCAGGTAGGACAAAAAAGGTGAGGGGTAGGGTCAGGTAGGGCCAAAAAGGTGTGGAGTAGGGTCAGGTAGGGCCAAAAGGGTCAGGGGTATGGTCAGGTAGGGCCAAAAGAGTCAGGGGTAGGGTCAGGTGGGGCCAAAAGGGTGAGAAGTATGGTCAGGTAGGGCCAAAAAGGTAAGGGGGAGGGTCAGGTAGGGCCAAAAAGGTGAGGGCTGGGGTCAGGTAGGGCCAAAAAGGTGAGGGGGAGGGTCAGGTAGGGCCAAAAAGGTGAGGGGGAGGGTCAGGTAGGGCCAAAAAGACCAGGGGTATGGTCAGGTAGAAGAAAAAAGGTGAAGGGTAAGGTCAGGTAGGGACAAAAAGGTGAGGGCTGGGGTCAGGTAGGGCCATAAAGGTTAGGGGGAGGGTCAGGTAAGGCCAAAAAGGTGAGGGGGAGGGTCAGGTAGAACCAAAAAGGTCAGGGGTATGGTCAGGTAGGGACAAAAAGGTGAGGGCTGGGGTCAGGTAGGGCCAAAAAGGTGAGGGCTGGGGTCAGGTAGGGCCAAAAAGGTGAGGGGGAGGGTCAGGTAGGGCCAAAAAGGTGAGGGGGGGGAGGGTCAGGTAGGGCCAAAAAGGCCAGGGGTATGGTCAGGTAGAAGAAAAAAGGTGAAGGGTAAGGTCAGGTAGGGACAAAAAGGTGAGGGCTGGGGTCAGGTAGGGCCATAAAGGTTAGGGGGAGGGTCAGGTAAGACCAAAAAGGTGAGGGGGAGGGTCAGGTAGAACCAAAAAGGTCAGGGGTATGGTCAGGTAGGGACAAAAAGGTGAGGGCTGGGGTCAGGTAGGGCCATAAAGGTCAGGGGTATGGTCAGGTAGGACAAAAAAGGTGAGGGGTAGGGTCAGGTAGGGCCAAAAAATTAAGGGGTAAGGTCAGATAGGTCAAAAAAGCGGGCCGCCCATTATTGATTCCGCCTTTCCGCCCATTATAGATTCCGCCCATTATTGGATGTTCCGTAATGTACGTATTTTACAAAATTTCAAAAAAGAATATTTCAATGTTATCCCAAGGCCCTTTCCTTCCATCATGCCAATTATCTCCCATAAACTGTTACCTAAACATTCAAAAAATAAAATTTTAAAGAACTTACACGCATTTGATGCCATTCAATTTGGTATGTACACAAACACCGTGAGCACATCGTTCTTCCGGCAATAACTTTTCGCATTCCGTTTTGCGACGCTTTTCACAAAATTCACCTTCAAATTCTGGTCGACATTCGCATTTAGGTAGGACGAACAACTTGTTCACAGTTTGATCTTCTTCGTCTGATTCTGGACTGATTGGTACTGAAAATAACTTTTTAATTGTTACGTATTTTACCATTTAAAAATTCTTTTACAAAAATATAGATCACTCTCATTATAGTCAAGTTTATTATACATTTTATACCTAAAATTCAAAGCAAAACAATAAAAGCTTACAGCTTCCAATCATAACATTGCATTGTCCCTTATTAACACAGAAATCCGTCTCCAAATCTGACATTTGTCCACCATTTAACATGAAATCATCTACCATTTGTATCAAAACATCCGCATCAACTTTGGCATTCTCTTTTAGACATTCTACATATTGAGAATAGCCTCCACCTTCACATGGATAACATATAGTTGGGTCGTTGCTTGTCTCTAGATCGATTATTTCACAGTTTTCACCTAAAATATTAAAACGTTTATGCGGTTCATAAGGCACAAGTTGGTTACGAAACAAGCACCCAACATCAAAATGTGTTGCCATTTTCTAATAACCTTCCTTTTTTACCTAAACTTCGAAAAAAACAAAAGAAAAGTTAATTAACTTTGACTGTGACGTTAGGAAGATGATAAATATCATTTGGACATTGACATTCAGCTTGTTGTTGATCATTCAACACACATTTGCCTCCATTTATACATTCTTGGTCTTTGCACGGAATTATGAGATCGCACTGTAAGAATAATGGTAAAAATAGATAGTAACTATTGTAAAATACGGTCTCTAGATCTTTTTCTACTAAAGAAACTAAAATTTACTTAATTTACAATACAAATTTTGAACTTTTGACACAAACATTATATTATAGTAGATAAAAGCATAAAAAATCGAAGAAAGCGCACATGATCTCCAGTATAATACTCCTCGCAATGGCATTTACACCCTTCTTCATGAAGCTGTTCTGGATTCACAATTCCATGACCATTACATTGTTCTTCAGTACATTGTCGCATCCCTTCTGTAAAGTCACATGTATCACCGTAAAACCCTTTCTTACACCAACATCTGAAAATAAAATACTTTTTACACCAACATCTACATAAAAAAGTAAATTTTTATAGTTATTAATGGAGTTTAAATACGAAAAACTCACTTATAATGAACCAAATGTTGTATTAGAGTCCCATTTTCGACTGTCGCCAAGGTTTGTTCGTCTGGCAGGCTAAAATAGTATATTTTAGGTAAAAGAAGGTAAGAATACTTCAAAAATAAAGGTAAGAACAGAGAAGCCAAACATTAACAAAGCGTAATTTTAAAGGCTAGCCCAAAAACAAGCCGCCCTGCCAAAAAAAAATTAAAAACTACCGCCCTGGCAAAAAAAACTTAAAATTACCGTCCGAGTAAAAAAATCAAAACTACTTCCGCACAAGCCTGGCTCTTTCCTCATCTCTACCTAAAAGTAAAACACTGATAAAACAAAAAACCTTACCTATAGCAAATCGAGTTGTTCGAGCACAAGCTGATGCCACATTCACTTCGATCGGCCACAAATTCACAATGAGTTCCATAGAATTCAGGTGCACATTCACAGTAGTAACTAAAAAATTTACTTTACTTTTGCAATAATCTTATAGTTTATATATAATTAGTCTCATAAGTTATATAGCTAGAATACGACACGTTAAAATTCAACAATATAAAAAAATAGACACCAAAGTCTATAAAAAGCTCTACAATAGTGCAATAACTTCAAAAAACTTTATTAAAGTCTAGCAAGTCCATAAAAAGGTCTACTGTAGTATAACAAAACCAAGTTAAACTTGAATTCCCCCAATTCCCGAAAAACATTCAATTCTTTTACATTTGTCATGCAAGGATTGGTGGTGTTTTTAATTCTCCCGAGTTTTGTTTCCTGTCAGTTTCGGAACGATATACCGTATAATGTTGTGGAAATGATCAAGACCATGTTCTTGCGAGAGTAAGTGTTTCAATTCGAATTCTTGGGTTGCGCATTTATGGTGTAACTCCTGTATGACGAACTCTTGTATAACAAACTTATGTATAACAAATCAAATTTAAAATTTGCTTGTTATAGAGTTTCAGTGTAGGGGAGTTTAATTCAGCCCTAGTCATAGCTCGCCAAACAATATGCCGCATATTTTCAGAATTGAAGATGACAGGTGCATACTACCGTTCCAAGATGGTTACAGTCAACGTAAGGTCTCTTCACAAGTGCCAACGAATAAATGGCCGTACAGCCAATTTCTAGAGTTGCAGCCAATATGTCTGAACATTTTGTAAGTTACTTTTTGAGTCTTTTTTATCTTTATTTTGTTTTTTATGACATTGAGTTGTAATACCTATTTGTAGTGGTTGTAGGTAACAAGACTTTCATATCGTATTATCATTAGTCCTAAGACTTTCATATTGTAGTATCATCAAGCCTTTAGTTTAAGCCTAATGGTATCACAATAAAAAAAGTCTTATGGCTAATGATACTACATATTATAATGACATACAGTCTCTAAAAACAATATGTCTTTACCACGTATAGTAAGGGCACAGTCTCTAAAACAATATTCCCCTACTACATATTTATATCAGGTTATCCGAATATGATGAGCCAAAATTTTCAAAATTGGGCGCTTTGAATGGCTCATTTATATTCGAACAACCTGATAATAATGGCATACTATCTAAAAAAATATTCAATCAAGAGTTTCAGCTATGGCAAAGTTCGAAACAATGTAACACTGGTCGATATTAGTCAGATTAAGCTAGCCATACAGGACATCCGCTTCAATCAAGAACTGTACTTGGCATTTTGGGCAACTAACCCTGTTTCAATCGAGATCAGCTGTCTAAAGGGCTTCGCTGTAAGCGTAGGTCTTAGTCGAGGTTGGTTTTTGGTCTTTTAGTTTTAGATTTTGCCACAATCTTTAAGGTTTTGCTGTTATTTTTGATATTTTGTCATTACTTTGTAAAATTTTTATTTCTTTTTTTCATTATTTTCAAAATTAAGGCATTATTTTTGAAAGTTCCTCCATTATTTTTTAACTTTTGCCATTACTTTTTCGGTATTATCAACATTTTTTTAGAATTTGTCATTATTTTTAATACTTTTTCTTTTTGTAGAACTAACCACAGTAACCATTAATATTGATCAGTGTGGAGGAAAAGTAAGTATTCTTTAGATAAATGTTTGTTTATCAAAACAAAACTTTTTTTTCATTTTTTTAAAATTTCAGTTTCAGGATTTGCCTGCGTTTAACATTTACCTAAAGTACCAATCAGAACCAACGCCTTTTGAGTTCATAGCTTGGGTAAGTTACGGTAACCTCTATTAATAATATGAGTGTTTTGGTTTGGGACCAGCCACTTTCAAATTTGGTTTAGCCCAGTCCAAGCTCGGGCCTAGCAGATCGACCCCTTATCAAGTCTAGGCCTAAAAGACTAAAATCAATTCATAATAAAAGTCATTTTAGGGTCCATTTAGTTCCATTGTTGGGTTTGATAAAGGGTCGTACACTCCAAGTTTCCCAGATGACCAGTTCGAAAGAGTCACAAGCTATGTCAAGGTTTACCATCTGTAAGTACACCTTTAGCCATATTTTCTAACTCTTATCACACATATAGCCCTAATTTCTAATTTATTGTTTTTTCAGATCGATAATCATAATTGGTGTGCTCCTTATGGTATCAATGATACTACTGCCCTGCCTGTTTGTTTTCTACTATGGGCGACGAGACCCATTCGATGCCAACTCAATGATACCATTTTACGCAGAACTTGGTTCGAGAGGGAGGTCATAGCCATCGTTTCAATGAATTACCATCTTTAGCTACTGATATTGTACTAGAATAAAGAACTTCATTCTGATTAAATTGTCTGAGGTAAATTGAGATTGTTTTTTGATATCGCAGTATAATAGTTGGCGTATATATAGATCTAGTGTAAGATAGGGTATTTTCTTGATATTGTATTGTAATATTTGGTTGCTTTTTGAAATATTTTACTTCAATATTTAGTTTTGTATAGTTACTTTTGATAATGTTCATTACTTTTGTAAAAATGATTTACATGACTGACTCTTAAGTAATGTATAGTGTTTTATATTGTAGTAGCCTAGTGTGAAGATCATAAGTTTGAACTGTTGCAGCTGTTGCCACTCTACTATATCAAATGATAACTCGTTGCATTAGTCCCACAATAATAAAACCCCTCCAGTACCTTAAAAACCCCCAAAATATAAATAAACAAGCCTGGAAACTAACAAAACAAGCCTAAAATCAACTTCGCCCAAAATCCAAATAACTTACCTATTCCCTTCTTGTATACATCTTCCGTCATTTAAACATGGCTGTTTGGTTAGACACATGTTAACATCTTCGTCATCGCCCAATGGAATAACTCTTTTGTCCTTGAACTTTGGTAAAGATGGTACTTTCGGCAGTCCAACTAGCTTCCTTAGAACTCCTTTTGAACCTGAAGCATAATGAAAGTAAGGCTAAAATACGAAAAATGGAGATTAAAGCAAGACAAAGGTATAGCTTTAAATACGACTAAAATAAGGGTGAATACCATGAGAAAGCCTAAAATTTGCCGAAAGTAAGCCTGAAAGACGACAAACAAAAGAATCTAAAAAAACTCTAAAATAAGCCAACATATGACAAAAGTAAGCCCAAAACAAGCCAAACATATGACAAAAGTAAGCCCAAAACAAGCCAAACATACGACGAAAGTAAGCCTAAAACAAGCCAAACATATGACAAAAGCAAGCCTAAAACAAGCCAAACATATGACAAAAGTAAACCTAAAATCCAGACCAAAACACACTATTAAAAATAAGCAAAGGCATAAAAATAAGCTCACTTTTCGGCTTTTTGGTACCATCTTCCCCACTTTCAGCCTCATCTTCGTCGAATTTATTGTGTTTGAAGCGAAAATTTCGATGAAATTCATGCGCCTTAACATTATAGGCTATTAGCAATAGTAACAATAATAATTGGGTAACATAATACCTGTTCATTTTTTTCAAGAAACCACAAAAAGATAGAAAATATTGGTAGAAAATCCAAATTACTTTTCAAAAAAAATTTTTGAAAAAATTCAATTTGAAAATGTCTTCGAAACGTGTAATTTTTCATTTTTTCGCAAATTTTTATTTTTTAAAAACATTTTTTTTAATGAAAGTTCGTTTGAATAATTTTTGCAAGTTTATCAACTTTTTCACAATTTTTCAAAAATTTCCCACGCTTTGCCAATTCATTTGCATAAAAAACGTGTTGCAAATCGAAAACAAATCACAATTTCAAAAATTGCGAAAACCGCATTTCCACCTCCCCACTGACTCGAGGAATGGCTGGTATCTGGCTTCTTCTGCTACTGACTCTAACGCCGGTTTTCGCGGCCGATGCCGACGCTACAACGCCTTCGACCAACGCCAGCGTGAAGATCGAGCCCAAAGCGGAACCGCTGATTGAAGCGGCCAATTTCAAGCGAAAACCCGTCTTTCGCGATCCACCGCCACGCGACATGAGCGTGCTCAAGTTGAAGAAGTCGGGTGTGCGTTTGCTGAGTCCGAAGGCCGAAGACATGGCCAAGTTGAGCGAGACCACGACCACCGACGCTCCTTCTACGGACAATACCACCGTGGTGCCGAGCAGTGGAGTTTTTGGAGTTGGCAGTGGAACTGTGTAGGTTTTTTTTCGTTTTCTAGTGTATATAGTAGGCCGCTTCATTTTTTTTGTTGTGCTACTCGTTATATAACGTTGACGTTTTGCTTTGTGTTAGGTCGTACCATAATTTTGACTCTTCATTTTAAAATGTTGAAGATAGTCGTCTTATAGAATATATGATAGTCGTCTTACTGAGTATATGATATTGAGCCTATAAACCAACTCATAAATCATTTTTTTCAGATTCCTCGTCTCACTGGCTTCGTTACTGCTCCAAGCGATGGCGTTCAACCTCTAATTGACTTTTGCCGAAAGCTTCAACCGTCTTTACTCTCACTGATTTTGATTGTAAATAAACTTACTTTGTCATTTTTGGATTGTTATTGTAGTGCTTTTTTGTCTATTTGTGAAACGTTCAAATAATTTTGTGCCTCTAACAGCAAAAATTTGGTTTAGGGGCACTGAATTATGGTATCAACCAAACAGCTAAAGCGTTTACTTACCTTTTCCCGCTTTATAACATCAAAAGAAAGGACAAAATACTGTAAAATAGAGCTATCTTCAGCTCATTTTTAAAAAGATTTTTAGAAATATCAGTTCTATTAGCTAAATTTTCAATTTTCGGTAATAAAACACAACAATATCATTAAATTCTATTTTCTTAACGATAATATTACAAACTCCAATTTCGCATACAATAATGTCATAAAACACGCAATTCCTGTCACATTACATGTTCTACAACCCTTATACATCTTTCACAATATCCTCCAAAACGTTCATCATTAAAAACCCCCACATTCCCCTCCCAACATTCAGATATTCAACTGTCTTTCAACAATTCAAGTCAATACCAAGCCCGAACTAGCTGAGAATATTTATTTTCTAACTCTTATGATATCTACAGTTTGACGACGTTCGAGTCGTCGGCTTTGAAAAAGTTGCGAAGTCTTTGCTGGAGGCGGTTTTTCTTCTTTTGTTCGCCGCGTTTCTCAGTCTCGGTGCTGCTGAACTGAAGCTGTTCATCTGGAGCGGTTTGGTATAGTTCTGAGTCTCGTTCCTTCGTGGTTGAGCCGGTGAGGTCTATAACAATATATTTGTTATTTTCGTATAAAAACCAATTTTTTTAACAATATTGAGGTTTCCTCTTTAATCCCTTTACAAATTCAAGCTTTTGAACCTATAAAAATATCAGGATTCGTTTCTTTTTGCTTCTTTAACGTCTAATTTCTCTTCTCAGAGCTTCTTTATAACCTGTAATCTCCAAAAAAATCAACAGCAGCCAATCTTACCCTTCTCATTGTCTCCATCCTTCTTCTTCCTGTTCTTGACCCTGTCTCTCATTCGCTGAAAGATGCCTCGGCCTTTGGATCCTCTCTTCTCAAACTCTGACATCTGGATCAAGAATCTCTTGTCCATTTCCAACTCTTTGCCCGGCCATTTCGATAAACAGACCTTATCCGAGAACTTGACACTCGAATTCACCATGACCATGCCCATCTCGTCTAATGTGTCGAAATTCGGATGGACCGGGCTGTTTCTGATACAAAAGCATCTGTAAATGAACTTGGTGTGATCTTCTTCCCGGAATTTCTCGACCAGGTGCACTGCGACGGCCGTCATCTTGATGTACTCGGTCGTTCTGAAAATATTGACTTTTTGATTAAAATGTCATAAATTTGGGCTTAAAAAGATCAAAAGCGCTTAATACAACGTTTTAGCTGTGCTTTACGATCTATCAGCCCATCTTCAGTTTTATTAAGTTTAAAATGCCTTCTGATAAACACCGTTTAACCTACCTCAACAAATTGCTTTCAGCGAACAATATCAGCTTGGTCCGAATGATTTTCTCCAATCGCCTTTTTGGAAACTCGAGCCATCTTGTACTGACCACAAATCGTACCATATATCTCTAAAACAACAATTTTATACCCAATATTAATCTGCTGGTAATCAGAAATCAACTGTTCCTATTGCCAACTCACCTCCTTCTTTATCACCGTCATTACTGTGATCAAACACTCGTGCTTTCCAATTTTAACTTCTTCTGGGGTTTCACTGACTTTTTCCGACGTTTCAGCCACTAAATCGTCCATTTTGGCCAAGTATCCTAAAAGATATGTTACTTTAAGCATTGGACACCTTTCATCGTAAAATATGTCGCCAAACCAAGATGTTAAACCTCAAAAACAACCCAAATTTAAAAAGCAACCAATGAAATCCTTACTCTCACTCAAATACCGTTCTTGGATCAAAGTTCGACATTCTGGAGCCGCCAGTTCCGGAGCTACATCGATATTAACCATGCTTGCGTCTTTGAACCATTTATGATCCAATAACTGCTCACAAGTCCATCGTTTCAGCTTGTTAATCCTCATAGCATCCTTGATAAATTGTTTGAACTCAGGGCTTAATAGTTTCTGGTATTTTTCTCCCTTATCTCCATATACATCACGCCAGGACTGCCATTCAGCTTCCTGAAACAAGGTTTTTGAGAGATATAATGTTAAATCATGTAAGGTACACTAATATTAATGTAGGCAAAAGATAAATAAAGCTTTAACTATCAATATAAGCCACTTACTTTATCACAATATCTGAAAACCCAGTCGCGAATGTCCATTTCAATGCTTTCGGTGCGAAAATCGCCGCGATCCATACATCTTCGACTATCTTGCTTCGAAAACGGCCGTTTATTGAACAGCATGTGCAATATTGTGCATCCTACTGCCCTGAAATATGTTTTATTATCCTTTTTAGTCCTTAAAACAGATAAAAGACCAAATTCAGCCAAAAGTCGACGTAACATTAGCGACATCTCAAGTGTAATATACAACTCTTTATTTAGACGCTGAAAACCAAAATAATATACAAATTGTCATCTCAAAAAGAACTTACCAAGAGTCTACTCTAATATCGTACTCATCAGAGCGGTCAGCCTCTGGAAAAACGTGCGGATGCTTAAGAATTCCAGGAATCAACATCTCTGGCGCCACTTCGTGGTATTCGCTGCAAGTCGGCCGAAAAGGCTTCGTTGTCCTTCCCAATGAGTCGACTTCTGGATCAAAGTGTATCACGCGTGAAAACCCTCCAATCTTTACACATCCTTCGTCCGATAACATGATACTGTTGTAGTTGAGAGCTCTGTGCACGAATCCGTTTTTGTGAAGATACGCGGTTCCTTTTAGTATTTGGTAAGTCAATTGGCGAGCAATTACCTCATCTATCATCATTTCATTTGAATGTTCGTGCCTGAAATATCTTCTTTAGAGTCTCCTTCATTTTCTGAACAGGAAAATTACCTAAAAAGCAAGAAAAAAAGTAAATCTTACCCGAATTCCACAGAAATATTCAATAACAGCTTAACTCCCAAAAACGTTGGCATTACGATCCCTAAAACGTCTCGGCTGACCGTAGAACAACAATATGCAGCTGCTATGTTTTCATGTCGATACATCTCCACAATCTTCACTTCGTTCATCTGAAAAATAAACGTTTAGGCATCAAAACCATGTTGTACATCGACTATTTGGCGTTAATCTAAAAAATAAAACCAAAACAAATAAAAATAAATTACTATCTCTTCGAAATGTGTTTGAGAGTCGGATAAAGACCTGATCTTCAAGGCACAAAAGACATGGCCCTTCTTGAGACGATTCTGGCAGAACAAGATGTCAGATTCTCTAAACATACAATAACATAGTTAAAATTACAAAAGATAAAACAACAAACCAAAGAAAATATGCAAAAAACAATAAACTTACCTTCCGAAATTGAAGAACCCACAAACGGCCAAATGGTCAAGGTTTGTGTCCCATTTCTCCTTGATTTCCATCGATTCGCCGTCTCTAAACGTTGTTATATTTGCTTCACTCATCTATTCTAGCGTTCTTTTGTAAATTTAATGTAAAGGTTCAGTAAAAAATTGTTCACAACCTCATATTTACAGAGATCGGACAATATTTTGCGAAATTTAGGGATTTTCTCTTTGAATTCGCATTTCCAGAGGATATTGGACGAAATGACACAAAATCTGTTGATGAAACAACGAAAAGTCGCAGAAAGTATTGGAAATTCGAGAACTTGTTGAAATTGAACGTTTTTAGTAAAATAACTAATAAGTATCGACTAAGAAAGAAAAATACTTATTATTTCATATTAACATACCTCAAGTCTTTATCTTCATGATTTTTTGAAATAAGCTCAACCAGTTGTTGAACTTTGTCCACTGACGCTCTACGGCGGCAGGGCGTTCCAATACGGTGGGGAGTGGACATTTCTTTCACAACCGCGGTTAACCGGTCACTAATTCTTACTGAACTTGTAATAAAACAAAAAAACCTTCAAATTTTTAAAAAATTAAAAATTTTAAAAATGAAAAAAATGACATTCCGCAACATATGACATTCCGTTTATTTCATGTTTATGGCACTTATTGACCCTTATTAAGTAAAAAATGTGATTCTGATTTAAAATCGAATAAATCAACACTTTTCTTATATATATTTTGATTAAAATGACATTTCTCTCTATTATATTATGATTTACGCACCTTGCTCAAAATGAGCAATAATCCGGTCCATCGGTTGGACTGGCACGGTAACCACGCCAATTCAGGCGGCATCTGAAGCGATGTAGACGTGGAATGGCTTTGGTGGCATCCAGGGTTTTATTGTACGGGCTCCAGAGCTTTTCCGCTACTGTCGCTGCTCGTGGCCTGAAATGTTTCGATTCGGAGATAAAATTGATAGTTTACAGAGTAAAACGTTGTTTAAATTGTAAAATACGTATTCACAAACGTGTATTGCAGTGCTCAGTAAACTCATATAAAGTATGTCGTAAGCAGACTTAATATGAAGAAAGTTATATCATGTTAAGCAAGACTTTTCACGGATAACATCAAAATTAAAATTTGTCAGTCACTTTTCTAACCTTCCCTAACCATTACCGTCCCCAAAACTTACCACAAATCACTCTCCAAATTGTTTTTATCTTCGTATTCGCCCCACATTGCCGCGATTCCTCCCAAATTCAGCGCTTCCGTCCCAGGGAAGACGTAGTCAGCCGGGTGACAATTATAAAAGTTACCGTATTCTGGGCCTTTACCAGTTTGGCGCCAATCCGCACCCGGTCGAGTGACATAGTTGATGTAGTAACAGGCGGCGTTGATGGACTGATACCCCAGTTGGGTGGTGGTTTTCATCGACGCGTAGTGGTACCATGGTACTGCTATGACGTTTGGTAGTTTCTGGAAGTAAGTTTTAGATTTTGATGTTATAGAAAACTATATTACTTCATATTTTACAATACCTTCTTTTATTTGGTTGTTATTGCCTCCGTTTTTCCAATAAACTTGTGTCCCACCACGAAAACTTTCAAATCCATATTTTTGGATTTTTAAACAGCAATTTTAAATCTATATAGTACTAAAAAAGCTAAAATATACTACAAAATAATTATTAATAACCAATAGTTTTAAATATCCTCAAAAATTGGGTCCCACCACGAAAACCTTAAAATTCGAAAACTTCACTTTTCACTAAAAATCTAAACCTAGCACATCAATATCATAATAATTACCGTTTTGAACATAAAAACAGCCTCTTCCCATACCAAAACGGTTCGCTTTATATTCAATTCCGTGCTGATATCATTGATGATGCCTAGTAATCGTTGTAGATAATATCGCTCAATGTCCTTTGTGGTCAATAAATTGTTGTCTTTGGCCCATTTTTGTATATTGACATTTTTTTCCCTAAAGAAATTTAGATTTTACATCGTTTTATTTATTTTTAATATTTGAATTTAAAAATTTTGGCATTTGCGTTTCTCAAGCTGCGCCCTAACCGCATTTTAAATTTTTTCAAAAATTTTGATAATTTTTACAAAATTGCTCAACTTTTTTGTTATTTACGCCAATATTATCATCATTATTAAAAACTGTCGTATTTTACAACAAAAAACCAGACTGCGCCCATAAATTTAGGAATTTCTGCAGGCTGCGCATTTAAAAACTGTCAATGCTTTAAAAACACATCCAAAATCAAAAAACTTAACAAAAATAATTTATGACCCATATTTTACCATTCTTAATCTTAGCAATAACTATTAGACCCTGACATACCAACATTGAGCATAGGAACTGACTTCATCTCCACCTAGATGTAGGTATTCGTCTGGGAACAATTGAATAACTTCTTTGAAGAATCCTTTCAAAAATCGGTAATTCTCTTCTTTACTTGGGTCTAGAATGTTCGACTTGACAGAACAAACAGCCAACAGACCGGGTTGGCCTCTCCATGATCCCATGTGACCTAGAATAATATCAGGTAGCTTTTTGTAACAAAAAATTTTTTATAAGTAAAAACAGTTAAACATTTACTTATTTAATAATAACATTTTTCTGAGTTTGGTGTCATCAAAAATATTGTATTTTGACTAGTAACAGTTTATATTTAATAAATACAGTTTATAAATAGCAAAAGGAGACGTGTTATATAACGTAACGTTTCCATCGTATAACTTGTCACTTATACACAAATTTAAAAACCATGATATAAAATGTCATTTCTAATCCCGACGGACCCAAAAAACATATTTTGTTTCCAATTTCATTATATTTTAGGTTCACAGTGACATGTTTTAAGATAGAAAGCTTCCATCGTATAACTTGTCGCTTCTTCAAAATATCGACCAAATTTTTCGAAAAATCAGGATTAAAGCCTTTACGGTAAAATCTATCCAATTTCAGGCAAATTTAAAATTCATTCTACCGTATCTTATCCTTTATCATACCCTGAAGACTTTACCATACCTTGACTAGTGAGGCTTTTATCGTAACCTAGATTTTAAGCCAAAAGTAATCTTACCAGGTGTGTCAAACTCCGGGACAACTCGAATGCCACGTATATTAGCGTACGTAATGATTCTTTTCATATCTTGTTTCGTATAAATAGCTTTAGGTCCATAGGCTCCATATAAAGGGAGGTTAGGGTATTGAAGTGACTGGTAGGGGAAGGACTCTGAATCCGCTATGTGCCAGTGGAAGAGATTGAACTTAGATTGTGACATTACGTCCTAAAACGTCATTGATTAGCATATTTTACTATATTTTTCACAAAATTTGTTTGGAAACAAAGTACTTGCGTTTTCTAAAATTTTAAAATTAAAAAAAAATTTTTAAAAAATACTTGCGTTTATCAAAAACCCAGCAATATAACTCACAATTTGGCGTAAGATCACATCGACCGGTAGGAAATGTCGCCCAGTGTCGAGCATAAGCCCTCGGACTGGGTAAGCCGGCTCATCTTCAATGGCCGTACTTCTAATGGTAAAGATGACAGGTTCAGTTAGTGATCTGGGTCGTTTGTATGTAATCAGCTGAGAGAAAGACTCGACTCCGCGTAGAAAACCCCAAACAGAACCACTTGACAGGATCGCATTTGTGCCATTTACAGTCAGCTGGTCTGGAATTTTGATAATTTTTAGGATTTGTAGAATTTCCAACTCCGCCCCCACTTTGCAATACCCTACCGTTCTTTTCCTTACCCAACCTTAGCCTACCCAACAATACCATACCCTCCCTACAAAATTTTTCAAACTCCCTCCCCCCCCCCTAAGAAATGTCCGGTCGCGCTCTACCCTACAATACCCCGCCCTTAGAACCCTACCCTATAAAGCTACCATCACTACCCTACCCTAACCTACCCAACAATACCTTTCACCGCCCTACATTACCCTCTCCTACCTTAATCTATCCTGTCTTACCATACACCACTTGCTCACTCTACCTTACTTCTTTTAACCCACCATACCCTACTCTATTCTTCACTACATTTCTAAACTTACAACTCTCATCTTTGGTAATTTTCGGGTACGAATATCCTTGAGGACATTGAAAGTCGTCTGATTTGATCAGTTTTAGTTCTGTCAACTGTCCAGGACTACTTGAATCTGCCAATTCTTTTGGGAAAAACCAGTCGTTTTCTGAAAAAGTGTCATTTTAAAATACTATTCCTATAAAAAAGGCAATAATACTTGTGTTTGAGCTTTGCAACGTAATAAAAATTGTCAAAACAACCATTTGCAAGCTTTTTTCTAATCTTATCCATGTTATTCTAGACGTTTCCATGTTACTATAGACCTGTTACCCAATATACTGCAATATTAGCTTGCCTTTTTAAAACGTATGCCTCTTACCATAATTTTTCTTGGCTTCTATTAAACGTGGACAATCTTCTACGCCATCTAAATTGATTTTCAAATGTCCTTTGGTTACAGTAACATCGTCTGTTCCATACCTACTTGACTTTGGCTTTGGCCATATTATTTCTCGATTAAGTATCTCTTCGTATAGACATTGAACGACTGTAATACATACAAACCAGATTATGAATCCATAGCTCATTATAAGCCTAAAATTAGAGGTTTCAAAATTATAAGCCTAAAGTTATACAAATTATTTTTGAATTTTAGGCTTAAAGTGAACGATTTTATATTTTAAGCCTAAAATTAAAATTTTTATTTTTAACAGATAGACTAAAACACAAATTTTTTATACGTTTAAGCCTAAATTAAAATTTTTTTACACTTTTAAGCCTAAAATCAAATTTTTTATACGTATAAGTCTAAAATCAAATTTTTTACATTTTTAAGCTAATATCCATGTCGCGACCCCGATCGCAAGGAAGTGATTATCGGCCGCATCATGACAATTCCCCTTTTTATTACTCTATTGTTATGTTTATGTAACACGTATCGGTCCATCTTAATAAAAGCCTTAGGGCCTTATCAAAATGGACCGAACGGCCATAAAAGCCCATAACATCTTATCACTTTTCCGGTTAAAGTGCTCAGTGATAGAAGTATAGTCGCTCGAGGCTTCAAAAGCTCTTGACTGATCCAGCTTCTCTTACTTACTAATATATTACTAGATAATATTCTGTCAATGGACAGGTGATTTCTCACTCCCTTCGGCGACAATCTAGTATTTAAAAATTTTCAAAATTATTACTCAAAACTGGCGTTTTCAGACTAAAAAACGGCTAAAAATTTCAAAAATCCTCCCTGAGTTTAACTCAAACCGAAAAAATGCCATAGCCAAAATTTTTTGAAAAAAACACGTTTCATGGTATAACATGTCCTTTTTCCAAAAACCACCTTAATCATAATTAAAAAAAGGGAAAAATAAGAAAGTTGTAGCTTTGTACATCGTGAATATCATTCAAATTCAAAGAAAATGCAAACATTCAACATATAATCGGGCTTATGAAGATTAAACCAACCCTTTTTTGAATGATAAACAATGCCTTTACCATTTCGAATACAAACAAATGTTGTTTTTAAAATATAAAGCTGTTCAGTCTTTACAAAAACATCAACAATCTACTGCACTTTCCATGTTAAAAAACGTCATATTCCCATTTTTCTCTAATTTTAGGCAAAAAACCTTACTTTTTGCCCAAAAACAGCCTGCAAAAACTTTCTTTACAAAACTGCCATGCCAAAAATACACAAATTTTACTCAAAATTCAATTCTCTATCAAAACACAACAAAAATCAACCCAAAACCCCTCAAACTTCAACAGAATCACAACCAAAAGTAGTGATTGACCTTGTTCAACATGGTTAGTATCAATATTAAACAACTCCCGCACCGAAATTGTCGATTTTATCAAAAATGGTAGATTAAAACAATAATGTAACATAAATAAATGATAATAATAATTACTGCAGTTGTGCAACTGTAACTAACGTCTTATTAAACGAATATCTGCTAATGTTTTTAGTCGACCGGCTTTGATTCCGCCGCTTTTGCTGCTGCATCGTTCTTATTAGAGGCCTGACCATTGTTTACTGCATTGCCGTCTTCTTTCGTTGCTTTATCAGTCGCTTCCTTCGTTTTACCATCGCTTTCGGTCGATTTCTTCGAGTTTTCAGCCGATTCCTCACTTTTAGCCGATTCCTTTCTGCTAGTCGGTTCTGATTCTACATTGGACACTGTATCTACGTTATTTTCCGTTGTTCGATCTGTGGACTTGGACTCTGGCTCTTGACTGGTCGATTGTTCGCGTTCGGTTGATGTGTGACCAGAAGTGGCAGATCGACGATCTTGGTCGGTTCTGTTGCCGCGGAATGGTTGACTGCGTCGATTGTCTTGAAACTGAAACAAAAAAAAGTTAATATACCTATTCCACTTTAAAGAAAGCTATTTCACTCCAAAGATTCAAAATGATCCCACATTTCTTAAACTTCTGGGTCCCACCAAGAAAACTTGAAAATCCGTAAAACTCTTCAAAACAGCTCAATTTTAAAGCCATATTTTCTCATGCTCTTTAATATCTAAAATAACCATCAGTCTAATAAAACCCTTACCCTATTGCCATTGTTACCCATTCTCGGCCGTGGAGGTCCACCTCGATATGGTTGTTGAGCTCCAGGAACTGCTCCAACCATTTGAGCTGAGTATCCGTTGGGTTGGGTCGTGTTCACAAGGCGCATTGCTGTTGCCAACAGTGAGTTCATGTGACCGTGAACGTTTGGCGGATTTTTCTAAAATTGAATAAGTTTTTTTTAATTATATTATTCATCAAAACAAGGCATTAAAAATTCGGTTTTTAGTCATATTTTTAACAAGATCATTATGCCAATTATACTCAAACGTCAATTATTACATAAAATGATATTTTAGAGATAGGTTACACAAAAAAAGTACGCGAAAAACCAAAATTATAAAAAGGTCAGTGAAAATATTACCCAAAACCTTTAGTTTTATCCTTCTCTACACAAATATTAACCAAAAAGCGCAATTTTGATAAAATATAACAAAAAATGTTACCTAAAAACCTCAATTTATCCTTTCCAGTCTACATATCATCCAAAAGAGTCAGGACACGGATCTATCTAACAAAAAACACCCCTTTCTTTAAATATATCGAGCAAGGAAACCCCTCTCCCAACAAATATCAAGCAAAATTATTCTCCTCCCTGTACCCAAGCCAGCCAAATATACCTCTTCCATTTACAAATCTCAAGCAAAGAAACATTCCCCTAACAAATAATAAGCAAAGATACCCCTCTTTCCCTATAAATTCCAACAACAATATTATAAAAATCAACAACAAATCACAATAAACGATACCTTCTGACTTACATATCCCTTGTTGTGCAGAATATTATTGTTGTGGGCCTGAGCGGCGGGCATCAGCGTGAGTTCGGCGATGAGTTGGTCGTGTGGAAGGTGCTCGGCGTCGAGCCAAGTGTTGCGGAACACATCCTTCTGCGGGCTCAGCGGGCGATGACTGGGCATGAAGAAGGGGTTGCTGCTGGGCAGGTGATAGGGCAGTGGGTATTGAGGACGGAACATGCCCATCTGATGGGCCATCAACGAGACCTGGCGCACGGAACTGGGCGGACCTAAAAAGATTTCAGGTAAAATAAACAGAATTTTAATAAATTTTTTATAAAAAATTGAAAATTTAGGTAACATTTAAAAATATAATCCTAAAAAAGACAAAATCTTCCCAAAATATAAACTTTCCAACTAAAAAAAGACAATCAAAATCAACATTTTCACTCCCGAAACCCTCAAAAACCCCCGCCAAACTCACCAGCCGCCACAGCACATCCCTGGCCTTGATTCATAACGAACGGTGGAGCTGCGTTCGGCGGTGGAACGTTGTAGTTCTGCGGAAACGGTAACTGCGGCTGCTGCTGATTATAACCAGACGATCGGCTATGTTGTTGTTGTGGGCAGTTGTTTTGTGTGAGGTCAAAGTGTAGAGTCTCATTGGGAGGGACAGGCATGCTTCGAGACTGAAAGTAGGTATCTTAACGTAAGAATAAGATTTTAAAAATTAAAAAATGTGTTTGAAAATACTAAAAAGACCATTTTACTTCATAACGTCTATACCTACATCAATGTAAACCAAAATTTCTTAAAAAAACCACAAAAACTTCCCAAAATCTTCAAAAAATATTAATCCCCAACCCAATATTAACCTTTTCAACCCAAAAACCACTCCCAAACTCACTCCACCAGGCTGGTTTGAGCTCCGTGAAGCCGTCCGTTGCCAGTTATTGAACTGTTGCTGCTGGTGATTGTTGGGTTGAACGTTCCGGTTATGTCTGGGATCAAAGTTCTGTTTTTGCACCGGGGAAACATTGAAATTAGCATCGTAGTTTTGGCTTGGCTGCGGTGTGTTTCGTCTCATTTGGGGTTGAGCAGCAGCCAGCGGGCGGATCTGTTGATGAACTTGCGGTTGGGGCTGCGAATTTGAGTGTTGTGGTCGTCGACGCTGAAATGTGACATTATGTATAAGATGTAATTTGAAGACCTAGGTTTATTAGACTAATTTGTCCATTTTTAACTACAAAATATCCAAAACATCCACTTTTAATCAAAACAACATTAAAAACTTAAAAAGCAACATGTTCTTCCAACTTACATCATTTTCAGGTCCAGGATTCTGATTTCTCGAGTGATTACCACCATAACGTTCATTGTGCTGGCTAAAATAATGTCACAATAAAATAAACTACCATAAAATAACCTTCAAGATCAAACTTCTAACCTTATACATCACCTCCAACCCTACTCTTGACAACACTTCCGAATATAAACCTTACCCTTGATAATCATTCCGCCTTTGTTGCTGATCCCTTCGCTTACTCCTTTGTTCCTGCTGCATTTGAGCTTGAGCTTTAGCCTAAATTTCGAAAAATAACCACAAAAACCAACGTTCTTACCTGTTGTTCCTGTTCTCTCTTGTTAATGTGAACTTGAATGTGCTGTGAAGGTGGAGCACCACGTTTTACCATGTCCGAGTAGGTGGGTCGATTCATTGGCATCGCATTCTGAGGCGCTACGACCATTGATGTGGCTGCCATATTACCTTGGTCCTGGTCGTGTTGAAGCGCTGGATAGGCGTTCTGGTGGTACTGGAGATACGATTGTTGTTGTTGGTGCTGAGCGAATGCGTTCTGAAAAAAAGCTGTGGTTAAAATTTGATATTGAAATTACAAAATGAAGTAAAACGATTAAAAACGACAAAACAAGTGATAATAACGTAAAAAACCAAAGAAAACCAAAATAAAAACTAAAAGTTAAAAAAATTAAAAACTTTTTCAAGTAAACCCCGTTAAAAATAAGAAAAGCAACTCTAAAGCATCGTAATAAAACAAAAAATAAACTTTTACGTAGCTAAAAATGACTGTAAACAGTCTTTTAATGATTAAAACATCAAAATTATAAAATTTGTTAAAGAATAAAATCATTACTATTCCAAAAACCCAAAAAATGCCATTTTCTTTAAAATTTATACTACTAAAACACCTATAATCTTACAAACACTATATGTCTCGAAAACAACATTTCATTACTTATGTTTATTAAATTTCAGCAATGTAGCTGGAAAAACAGAGTTACAAATTCTCGTTACTATGGTTAATATCACTCCAATTTCGCATTATTAAATTTTTAATTGTCGTCGCTACACTACGTATATCTAATACTCAAATGTAATGGGTTTTTAACGTACTTTTGTAAGCTTACGTCATGTTATGATAGACAAAAAGTTGTTCTTAAGGTAAAATTCATTCAAAAATTAATTCGTAAGCAAAAATTAGTGTTAAACAAAGCACAAATCGCAATTTACATCTCACAGTCAACTAACTATAATTTTGCCACGTTTAACAGTAAAATAATCACTATCGTTATATAAACTCAATTTTATCAAATAATAGCTTAAAATAATATTTAAATGCAAAAATGTAAAGCTTTATCAGCCTAAAATGACTAATGTTAACCCATATCCACATGAAAATAAAACATTTCTCATTCCGAACCCAGCTTTGCCTTCGCTCTGCCTAATGACAATCCACAAAACCCGTAGCAAAACTTTAATCCACCGTTTTCAAAAGTCTAATCCCCCTCCCTTGTTGCATGCTTCTTCTACCACCAAACTTCTTTATGAATCCCGAAGAAAATCCATAAAATTCTCAAATTTGTTGAGCGAAAAACATCCGGCCCCCCTCGGTTTTCGACGAGCGAGGGAGAAATTCGTTCTCCAGCCCCTGAATTCGCTGGACACACAATTTTCGAGAGCAATTGGGACTTGGCCATACAAAAAAATATGAAAAAATTGAGGGGGCATTCAATGACGGACAACTAGGCCAACAAAAGCAAAAAAGAGGAAAAGTAGAAGCCAAGAGGAAAGAGAACGTCAAGGGGGCAGAAACATTAAAAATAAAAAGGCCAAGAAGAAGCCAGAGGAAGGGAAAACAAAAGAGAAAAATCAGGAGGAAGAAAAAACCTAGCCAAGAGGAAAGTCCATGAAAAGAGCTAGAAAGCAAAAGGGGATGGATTGAAAACCCGTATAAAAGCAGCGAGCCCGAGAGACCTGGCCGCGAACCGACGAAACGCAGCGGCGAGCGACCTGGCCATGAGAAGGAGGATGGAGAAGGATTGAGGGGGAAAAGCAGCGCGTCTTCTTTTACTCCTCTTCCCCGGCTCCTTTATTCTCGACATTCTCGAGCCCCACGTAATGCGCGATCTATGAAGGAGATAAAAAAGGACCGCAAATTAGTCCGAACACTTCCGTATGATGCGTTTTTTATTGTTTTTGTTCCAAAAAATGTTTTTTATTAAAGATAAGTAGAAAACCGAGAATTTTTGCCCTGATTTAATCTATAATGTCTTTTTAAAAGTAAGTTTACTAACAAACTAAGCTTCCAGAAAAGCATAATAAAGAAAAAAAAGAAAATTTTCATCAAAGAAAGACCTTTAAAGATACTTCCTAACCAAAAATATTAGAATAAAGAAAACTGTTTCATCGTTGGTCCATTTGAAACCCAAATATCAAAAATTTTAAGCGTAAAACGTTATTTAAAGTTACAATACACTGCTCCTTTGAACGTTTTAAAAAGCATAAACAAAGATCTCATTGAGATTTTGTTGTCTTTCCTCCAAAAATATTGCTTTCTGTAGCTGCTTTAGTTTCATAACTTTGTATTATCAAAGAAATTGGCGTTATATTCCCTTGGCTACGCCCTTCAATCGTTCCTATTGCTCTAGTATGTCATGAAATGACAACATAATTACTATGCTCGTCTTTAAGATATTGCTTAAAAACGTAAACAACAGAGTAATCCGACTATTCCGAGAACCATTATTCACATTTTACATTTTTTCTGCAATATTTAAAGACGACTCTAGTTATATTAAACGATTCAAAAATAATCACTCCTTTTATGATAAGTTAAAATCTACCTCATGACACTTTCTTAAAGTAGAAACCTCTATAGAAAAACCTTCTATCACAGTGAAAGTAACAACGAAAAGCCAGTCTGATTGTGTATTTTAAGAAAGCCTGTCACTCTACAGTAACTGCAATAGCAGATACCAAAAACGAAACCCTAGCCTACCAAACAAACCAAAATATTGAGCCAAATATAAGTCCTTAAATCACCTGAACTACACGAAAATGCAACCGAATCTAAAGCCGGACCAATTTTACGTCCTGCATATATTATCCATGCCCCGCAAAAGCTTAACCGCACAATTTAATCGCTTTCGCAACAATGTTCATTTGCTCTTTCAACAACTTGACCAGGGATTATGTTTTGCAAATGTTCGAGTGTATGTTAATCAACTGGACAGTTGATGAGCAGCTATAAGGCGTTATAAACACTGTTTAATCTTATGAGATGAGTAAAGTGTATCTCAGTGTTTTAAAATAATATTTGTTTCTTCTAAATTATTTTTCAATAAAAAAATTAGTTTGTAACCAAAAAATAGTGTTTTTAAACATTGTATGCTAAAAAAGTTTTCCATGATGCCAATATAACAACAACATCAACGAAACTACATTCGACTACTAGATTACCAACGATAAAATAAGACTAAAAATTATATCAAAGCATGCTAAAGCTTCCAATCCTACAAAAAGTAATCAAACCGCATACAAAAGCCCTTCAAACACTATTTATAACACACGGTTGAACACATTTCGACCAAAAAACTTTTCCGCGGATCATATCTAATCGGAATCTAACAACATTCCGAGTCAAAACAATAGGGGAAAAATGGTCAGGAAACGGATCGCGCTGACCATTATTGTAACGGTCCAGCCTATTCAAATTCGCGTGCAAACTCATAGTATAAATCGCTTCAAATATTTTAGAGCAATCATAGTTTAAAAGTGGGCTAAAGCCAAGTGTAGTACCATGCTAACAGATTTTTGTCTATAAAAAATTTAAAAATTGACCCACAGACAGTTGGGGTAACTATTTTAAGACTTTTTCCTCAAAAAACAAAGATGGGAAAATATTCAAAATTTAAAAAAAATAAAGGATCCTCTTAGCACCCGACCCTGTGTTCAAGTATAGTAGCGTTATCAAATTTTGATCAAGAAGTTGATACAAAATTTTGTCAGAAAAAGTCCCCAAAACACAAGCCAAACTAGACAAAACTACCTCATTCACCTCGATATCTGCCCAAATCTAGCCTCATTACATATTTATAACAAATTTTTTCCGCTTAATTAGCCTAATTGTTCATTTTTTCCGCAAAAAGTGTATTTATGGACATAAAGTGTTAAATCCTGCACTTTTGTTAATTACAATGTTTACAACACAGCTTATACGCTAAACTTTTGTAGGTAACGTCAAGTGTATGGATTGGCGTCATTGTCTTGATAATTATTTTAATTATTGTTATCTTTACTTTTTTTAAAATTAATTTTCTTTTAATTGTTTTATTATTGTCATGATGTATATTTTTTGTTAAAAAATAATAGCGATAACGTGACGTGTTATCTTACTCGTCATATTTTATATTTTTCTTTGATTTTCTAGTCATATTGCTCAAGATCTTGGCTTTTTCATTATGTAAAATATAGTCTGTCTTTTTACTTGTATTTTTTATTTTATTAATATTGTTATTTTCAAGCCAAAAATTGGCAAATAGTGTATGTGAAAATCAATATATTCAAACAAAATCCCTTAAAAACTTATTGTTAGATAAATTTTCAAACCTCAAAACATCTCAAAAGTCACGACTATCGCCGTCAAAGCTTTATTTTACCCGCAAAACGCCTTTATTAACACAATATTCACACAACAGCCATACCCATTCCTTACCTGTCTCTGTTGTTCACCCATGTTCAGTTGTGCCACCTGGTGCTCCAGCTTTTGCATTGGGCGCGGTGGAGGTGACTTCATGAATCCGCCGACCGTGTTGGCCGAAGTTCCGGCCATCATATTGTCAGGGACATCGTAATGACGCTGGTTTTGATTGCGATTTCGAGTAGGTGGCTGAAAATAGTAATGATTAATTCATATTGTAGTAAAAACTGACAAAAATGTTACCTAAAACGAGTGAAACATAAGCATTTTCATTCAGTTGGATTTTAAAATAAAAAAAAAACTAATTAAAAAACAAAATTTTAAGCAAAATCCATCTTCAATGTTTTACCCATGTGCCACCGAAGTCAGCTGGCTCCACTTCATCACTAACTTCTGGCAGTACCTTTTGCTCCGCTGGTATCGATGAAGTTGAGGACACCCAATTGGCCGTGTAGTTCTCCGATGCATTGTCGAATAAAGCTGACACGGCTCTAGCTTCTAAAACAAGATTATTTAAAAACTCAAATAAAGTATGCGTTTTCTAAACTTTTTGATTTACCAAGGCACCAAAAACAAAATTGTATCCTTCAGTCCTCAGAACACGGCTAAAACAAGATAAAAACTCCTTTAAACTTACACCTCGCTTAAAGTTATAAAAAGACCTATTAAAACATCAATATATACCTTATAATCCTAAAATAAACATTCATTTAAACACAAACAATTACCACAAAAGCCTTACCATGCCCATGTTGACCATTGTTATCCACCATTTGACCATAAACTTGCTGATGAGCGTGAGGAAAATTCATCTGAGGCTGCATCTGCTGCGGGTATAACTGCTGCTGTCCATATTGAGGATTCTGCATGTTATACATGTAGTGTTGTTGCTGCTCCTGCTGTTGTTGCGGCGAAACCGGGCCCATGAACTGTTGAGGTTGTGCAAACTGAGCTGGGTCCTGACCTTGTTGAACAGGACTGAAAAATTGAGGAGGCATCTGATGAAAGTTCTGTTGATTCTGTAAAAAGAAAAGACAAATTTTGAATTAGAATAATCAATTTTGACAAGAAAAAACATAAAATTTATGTATTTTTAGTCATGGATAATATAAAATTGGCCAGCGAGTGTTATAAAACGCCGAAGGAACTTGACATAGCATTCCTAAAGCTTTAGACCTTTATTCTGAAACTAAAACGTATAAAGTTTTAGCTCAAACAGCCACAATCCATCCCTATCACAGCATGCTGCAGCATTCTACCTCCTCAACCTAAACATCAAAAAAAAAGCAAAGTTTTACCTGATACACTTCGCCAGTCGGATACATTTGGTTTTCCGCGCCCATATGAACTCCATAAAACACTTGTTGTCCCATGGAGTCCGTTCCAACCTGGTACACTGGGTAGACAGGCGGAGCCTGATGTTGTTCTTCTTGTGACTCGTCCATCTTCGTCTATGATACTAAACCAAGAAGTTTCGATGAGAAATCACAACAACCACATTCTGAAAAAGCGTAGTGATTGTCAAAAAAAATTATTGTAGTAGTATTATATTTGCATAACGTGCGATTTTTAGGTGAAACGTCCAAATTTCGACCAAAAAAGAGGAAGAATATATAGTTATAAAATATAACAATAAAATAAGACTTTCTAGAAACTCTTACATAAAAAAGCAAAACAAAACAAAAGTTAAACCCGCAGAACCAAAAATATTTATAAAAATATTAAAATTTCGTTAAAAAATTCGAAAAAGTCGACGAAAAGCTAACAAAACGCCAACGCCCGGCGGCAATAAGAGTGAAAACGAGTACTAATACTTTTTGAGCATAATGCAAAGCCAAAAAACAAGGTTCAGAGTGGCCGTTAAACTAATTACAGATTATAATTCATGCGTGCTCGGTTCTGCCTTACTATACCTTATTTTACGTCACAACATAACACGTAAAGATACGTTATGGGCGTAATGTAGAATTACGTGTTATGTTGCAAAATAAAATGCCTTTTAAACTTTTCGATTAATAAATACATAAACTTAATGTTTAAAAGTGTAAAGTTATCGGAAGTTTTGCTAAAATTTGAAAAAAAATCTTTAAATATTACCTAACACAAAACTAAAGTTAAAACTCATAATCCTTTCAAAATATGACATTTTTAAGTAAAATAAAATATAAACAGCAAAATCATTAAATAACATTAAAAAAATCTTTCTACAAAGTTTCAAAGCATTTCAATAGAAATTACCTAGCTGGCATTATTTATATTACACTCGATATCTAAACCTCGTTGATATTTGTCCATTCCCGAGTTTAAACTCGCAAATTACTTTTTTAACTTTAAAAATTATCAAAAACTAAACATAATAGAAGAACAAACAAGGCTTGAAAACATTTTTTCAAAACGTCAATGTTTACAAGAATGCGAACAATATTCACGACATATCAAAGGTCAATATCAATATATTTTTGTTTCAAACCTGCTGCAAATGTATAAACCAACAAAACAATAAACTCTCCTTCTTCTACACCATTACTTAGTCCTTTTTTACTTGTTTCTCTTTTCAAAACCCAAAATTCTCAACGAAAAACTAAAATAATATCGCAAACATTGGGAATTCCTCCTGTTCTCCTCTCGTTTTCCTAAAAATTCTCAAAAACCCAAGACAAAACAATACCGAACATCCACGTTCCCACATCCACCACAATGTAAAGAGGACAATTCACAGTTGGCAACATGCCAACGAGTCCTGACCTGTTTTGTTTGGAGAAACTGAAAATCACGTAAAAGTTGAAAAGATAAACAAGTGCAATATCGAGGAAAGGGGACAAACACTGTTTAGGGGGCTATTTTGAGAGGAAAAGCCGAAAAAAACATTGGACAGCGTTCCGTTTTTATTTTACTTTTTCCGTCCCTCTTCTCACAGCGGGACGTTCCATCCAGCGGCCGCCCAAGGTGGTTTTTTGAAAAAGTTTCGCGAGCAAGTTGCGTGCGAAACATATAAATAAAAATTGAACAATATAAACATTAAAATAATAAAAACAGGTTTAATTCGTACTGAAAAGGTCCGTTTCAATTGATAAAACGGCCCTAAAATTGAGAAAAAAGGCGGAAATCGCAATTCCCGAAGGAACGGCGTGCGCCCTTTCTTCTGCAAACTGCAGCAACCAGGTCAAGTAACAAAGTATAATATACAATATAATGTAAAAATACGTAAAGATTTTATTGGCAAATCATATAAAAAATTATAAATAAAAATATGCACAAAAATAATTTTCAATTGTTTTAATTCAAGACAGCTCTACAAAAGTTACAAGGCTTAATAGTATGTTGAAGCTACAGCACTTTCCAACTAACGAAAACCGTGCTGATATCGGAAAAAGACATTTGCGGAGATGTTTTAGAAATTGTAATCAGGCTTGAACGTAAGGCAGGGCAAAGCCCAGGTTGCGGCCCTGGCACCGGGCCCGCTTGGGCCCTTCCCGGTACAGGGCTTTTAGGTTTCGGACCCTACCCGATCTCACCCCTGACCTTTACCCAACCCTACTTCTCACCTCTTTAGCTTTATCCAAATCTACCTCTGACCTGTTTAGCCTTACCCCACACTACCCGTGACTTTTTTACCCCACCCTACTATACCATACCCATCCTACCTAACATTCCTTAACGTACCGTACCATACCGCGCCCTATGCTATCTACTATATCATACCCATCTTACCAAACAAAGCATACCAAAGCCTACAATAAACCAACATATTATAATACGCCATACTCTACCATACCATACTCTAAATAACTATATTATAGCATTTATCCATTGACGACTTTTTTTAGCTTTTGTGACATGCGACAAATTGTGTTCAAAATGATTTTAACTTACAAAAGAACTCATAAAAAATATTGTTTTCACAAGCAATCCAATGCCTTTGTTGTAGTCGTAGAGTAGGAAACGGAAAAATGTACAAAATTCGCCTTAAAACTCATTATATTAATCTTAAAATTCAAGAATTCACTTTAAAATCAATACTCTGCCCATAAAAAACCTCATTTTGCACTAACTTTTTCATTAAAAACGCATTTTCACTCCAAACTAAAAAAATGTTTTTATCAAATTTATTAAAATTAGAAGTTTTTTGAAAATCCAATACTTGTATGAAAAACGGTGGAATATCACAATATGTTTTTGTGGGGGCAAAATAAGACACAATACATTAATTTTAAGGCACAATAAATACTAACGTTTTCTTTAGATAACCGGCGACATTTTTTAGTAAGTCGTTTAAAAAGTGACACTACATGCGATCAGTTCACAAAATGACCGCAAAAAAATCATTTTTAATTTGAAAAAAGACAAAATAACTTATAATACTTTAGAATTTGTATAATACATTTAGCCATACCCAAACTTGACTTTATTTTACAATTTTTGGGTATATTTGAGTTGACAGACCTATAACAAGTTTGTCATTACTTTTAATATGCTAACGTAGACTACATTGGCATTAGTTGTCTTTAGCCACCAACCAGACAAATTTACAAATTTTTATCATTTTAAAAATTAAAAAAAAACATAAATTATGAATAAAATTTGAACAAAAGCGGCCCGTTTTTAGTCTTTAACACTAACACTTGACCTAATACTTCACATAAAACATAATACGCTTTAAAAAATCAATCTCAAAGTGACGATTTGCGCCGTATGCACTATCCTCAATACTGTATAATATTATACATAAAAATCTCATTCTTAACAAGAAATGACCATCTTTTTTAGTTTTTAATCTTATCGGTAAACAAGGCTAGGTTTAAAAATCTTATTTGTAAGCATAGTAATTACAGAATGAACAAAAAGATTCATTATATATGTATAACCTATAGCCACACACGTCATGCCAAAAGAGGAAATAAAGACAGAGTGACATTTCGTGTAAAAAACGATGCGAAGTGTGAAATTCTATTTTTTGTAAAAAATTGTTTGAAATTGAGCGGTCGGAATTTTGAAAATGAAAGTCATTTGTGGAATACTTGTAGCGTCATATCTGGACGATTCTTTGACGGATCAAGACCATATTGATCTTCAAAGAACCGCCGAAACATAACAAATTTTTTAATGCTAGTTACAGCTCAAAACTTGATTTAGTTTAACTATTATTTGATAATTCCACACGTTTAATTCAACATTTTAAATATTTATTTTATTTTTTGAATCAATATTTGAGGCTTTTGAGTTAACGTAACGTCACAACCACCTTATTTCCATTTTTCTTTTATTTTGGCATGAGGTGCCACAGGTATACCTACGTCGCCTTGTCTTACTATCCTTCCCAAAATTCCAAAATCCAAAAAAAAGCTCCATAAACTTTAAAAAAAACAATTTCCGAGACTTTACCTTAAACGAGACAGTTGGTACGATCAGTTCCTCCATGTAGTGCTCCAGTGCGGTGTCAATTTCGATTTGTGGTCGAATTTTGAATACGCCTTCAGATCGAAATAGGAAAGAGAAGTTGGTCTTGAACACTTTGCTTTCTTCGGCCGTTTTCAAGCTCAATGCTTGTTTTCGGACGCCAAAAACCACCAGGAAGTCGGTTCGATCGATGATTTCGGCCGCGTTTTGAACGTCTTGAATGCAGTAGAGTTGAAGGTGTCCGTGGAATTTTAATGGCACTGAAATTGTTAATATGTACATATGAGTCTTTTCTAAAATTACTATTGTAAAACTGAATATGTTATTGAAACAAAGGAAAATCATTTTTAATTAAAAAAGCCAAAAATATCAAAGCTAAAATTAGTAACTTTTTAACCTAATTTTTTTTTCATAAACGTAAAGCTATAAGCTTGACTCCTTCATGTTATCCTACCTTTAGTTGAGCTGACCAGTTAATCTCCAACTGTTGTATATGACCGACAATGATCGATAGGTCGCCTTCCCTGAGGTATTGCTTTCCATTTACATGTACTACTATAACAATAACAATGAAGTATATATATCTATAGTATTAACATTATCTTAAACTACTACAACATCCTTGTTTCTAAAAAACGTATCCTTAAAATGCCTCGCCACCCAAATTTACCCACCCCCCCCCCCCTCCCCCCAATTTAGAAAATAACCCCGCCCTAAAGCCACTGCACCCAAAAAACGTATATATTCTTCTTACCTATAGAAATCACTGGAACGACCAACTGTTTCGAAAATCCAACCGACGATAGCAGAGGCCCTACTGGTACTAGTCCATCCAAATTCAGCGCTTTGATCCGGCAGCGGATTTCCAAATGCTTAACGTGGCATTTACATCCTAAAAAACAAAACCTTAGTTTATAAGCTTAAACTTTCTATATCAGCTAAACACGTTATTGAATTCTTTATAAATGATTAGTAATTGAGTTTTTCATCTTTTTCTACTAATATACACGAATTTTGATTAACCGGTTATATGAGAAACACAATACATGTTCTTACTAATACAACATAACTAATGTTTAAATAAAAATTCAAAAATATTTAATAATGCGATCTTCCTCCCCACCCTGCTAAAATTAAACTATGCCTATTACATATGATTAAAATTGAAAATTTCCCAACCTGATTAAAAAATGGCACCAAACCGCTCTAATTTACAAAAAAACGCAATAATTGCTTTTTTTGAATTTAAAGCACATGAAAAATAACAAAAATATTACCGCACTGTAAAAAATTAAATTTTTGCAATAAAGTTATGTTCAAAAAAATATAATTTTGACAAATATTTTCTTTATATTTGATTGCAAGTTAGAACCGGTTGGTTGAGCTCAAACAATGAGGAAGACGATAAAACCAGTAGCCAGAAGTAGCGTAAGTTATTTTTTTATCGATTAAAAATTGTAGCCATTTTTTGTTTTGTAACCAAAGTTTGTGTAAATTTTTCGTTTCCTAAAAGTTCTTGGTATTTTTTGTCTTGTAAAGAAAGTTTTCGCTATTTTAAGCAAAAAAGACAGCAGTTCCAAAGTAATCGAAAAAGAAGTACGGTAGCGTTGAGATAGCTAAACCCATTACTGTATTTTTGTGCCGTCTTTAGCTTGAAATGGTAATTATTTTCTTTGCACAAAATGAAAAAATCAGACTATTTTTACATAAAACAACAAAAAACACAAAATCTTTGTTTTCAATAATAAATATAGCAAACATTTTATTAAGGGGTATATATGATAGGAAAACATAACTAGGCAGGGATAGAACAAGGCTAGGAAAGAAATAATGCAGGACTCTGACAGGGCAAGGGCAAAGGCTAGGGCAAAGCAAGAGCTAGGGCAGGGCTAAGGCAGGGCATGGGCAGGGCTAAGGAAAGGGCTTGGGCATGAGATAGGGCAGGGATAAAGTAGGGATAGGGCAAGGCTAGGGGACGGCTAGGAAATACTAGAGCAGAATTTAGTTATAATTTCGAAAATTTTAGTCATCGGACGAAAGAGACTCTCCGACGGTGTTTGTAAAAGTAAGAAAAAGCAAGCCGGCAACCACTTCACGGCTGAGAGCCCTGAAACAGGTAAGATAACATTTTGTAACTTGTCGATTTGTTAAGAATTTTTTGCTATTTTTAATATTTGGTTGAATACGAAAGAAATTTTGGCTGACAAATTGTTGTCGCCTCATTATTTTCTTGTTTTTCATTTTTAATCAATGTTTTTTATGTTGTTAAAAAACTCAAAATTTGAGCTTCATTTTAATGCTTTATATGTGCTCTTCAGCACCAGTTTATTGTAATACCTCAAACTTGGCTTAAAACACGTTTTTTGTAAGACTCGAGCAGGGGCTGACCCCCTGTCGACACCAAAATTTTTTTTGCTTCAAATTGGCTCAATCTTGCACCAACGTGTACTAAAGTACTCATAAACACAATAAACTAAAAATTTTTTTTCAAAGTTACAGTAGTCAGGCATACTGTAACTGGCCTACGATTTTTATAGCTCAAGAACGAATGGCGCTGGAAACGTAAACTTTTTTTTAAAATGTAGAGCATACAATATGATGTCACTTTGCTGTTTACACCAACTTTCTATGTCTACAAAAACTTATTTTAAAAAATTAAATTTTCATAAAAGTTACAGTAATCTAGAAATATCTAAAAATAAAAGCACTTTGTTCGCTTATTTTTATTCGTGATTATTAAACTGCATTTTCTCGCGGTTCGAGTGCACACAAACACGGTGCACAGAAGTGTCGAAATAGGGTGCAAAAGTGCATTTGAAGTTGGGAGATTGCAAAATTTTTTTATCAAAAATTAAAAAAAAAATTGTTTTGGGGTTGCAAAAACGTAAAGCATAAAAAACAACGTTACTTTGTACGTCACACCAAATTTCTATCTTGTCTACAAAGATTGCATCTGAAGTTTGCACATTGAAAAATTTTTTTTCAAAAATCAAAAAAAAAATGGTTTTGACGTTGCAAAAATGTAGAACATAAAAAACAAAGTTACTTTGTACGTTACACCAAAATTCTATCTTGTTTACAAATATTTTTAAAAACTAAATTTTCAAAAAAGTTACAGTAATTTGAAAATATCACGAAATAAAAGGACTTTGTTAGCTTATTTTTATTTGTGGTTATTAAACTGCATTTTTTTGCGGTTCGAATGCACATAAACTTGGTGCACAAAATTGTCGAAATGGGGTGCATAAGTGCACTTGAAGTTGGCATATTGCAAAATTTTTTTTTCAAAAACTAAAACAATACTTTCCAAAACGTTTAAATTTGTTAATTTTTTACATTTTGCAACGTCATAACAATTTTTTTTGAGTTTTGAAAAAAATTGTGCTATGTGCAAACTTCAGATGCAATCTTTGTAGACAAGATAGAAATTTGATGTAACGTACAAAGTAACGTTGTTTTTTATGCTTTACGTTTTTGCAACCCCAAAACAATTTTTTTTAATTTTTGAAAAAAAAATTTTGCAATCTGCCAACTTCAAATGCACTTTTGCACCCCATTTCGACACTTCTGTGCACCGTGTTTGTGTGCACTCGAACCGCGAGAAAATGCAGTTTAATAATCACGAATAAAAATAAGCGAACAAAGTGCTTTTATTTTTAGATATTTCTAGATTACTGTAACTTTTATGAAAATTTAATTTTTTTAAAATAAGTTTTTGTAGACATAGAAAGTTGGTGTAAACAGCAAAGTGACATCATATTGTATGCTCTACATTTTTAAAAAAAAGTTTACGTTTCCAGCGCCATTCGTTCTTGAGCTATAAAAATCGTAGGCCAGTTACAGAATGCCTGACTACTGTAACTTTGAAAAAAAATTTTTAGTTTATTGTGTTTATGAGTACTTTAGTACACGTTGGTGCAAGATTGAGCCAATTTGAAGCAAAAAAAATTTTGGTGTCGATAGGGGGGGCTCGGACCTTACAAAAATTGTGTTTTAAAGCGAAGAAGACGATCTCTACGTAGCCATAAAAACTAACTTTGGCTCCAAAAATTCCTATGCTACTGGTTTAAAACGCCTGATAAAAGTTAAACACATTGTGTTAATGTTGATAATAACAATTTTGATTAATAAATACTTGTTGTTAAACTTTTTTTTGCTGAAAAAAAAATTTAGTAGCATAATCTTTCGCATTCAACCTATTACTTCAGTGTTGTAAAGAGATGTTTTGGGATTATCTTAATAAATTTTTGCATTTTTTACTTGTTAGTATAATTTTTGCTTTAAGAAAAGCCGCCAGAAGAAAGCAAAGGCCGTTAAGGAGACTAAAAATCCTTCGAAGAAAACTTCTAATCCACCAGTAACGCCACGGTAGGTAAAACTTTGTTTTTCCTCGGGCACAGACAAGACTAGGACTAAGATAAGGAGAGGGCTAGGGCTAAGTCCCAGGTAAGAGCAAGGGCAGAGCCAGGACAGAATTAGAACTAAGGTTAGAACAGCACAAGCAATAGGAAAAGAATAGGGGCAGGACTCGGGCTAGAACTAAAAGTAGGGATAAGCCAATATTAAGAAAAGGACAGAGCTAGAACCATATAAGAACTAGGACTAAGATCAAAGCAGGATTAGGTCAAGAATAGGGCTAGGTCAAAGGCTAGAGCAAGAGCAGAGGTTGAGCAGAGCTAGAGCCAGGCAAGAACTAGATCTAAAGCAAGACCAGAACAAAGGCTAGGAAAAAGCTAAAGCTACGACGCAAGGCTAAGGTTAAAACAAGGCAAGCAGGGGAGAGGGAGGGGGGCTAGGCCCGGTCCAGACCTAAAGCCAGGGCTAAGCCAAGGCTAGGGCAAGGACAAAGCGAAAGCCAGAAGAAGACTAAGCTTAAGAGTTAAAGCACGGACTAGGGTCATAGCTAGGGTTGAAACAGACCAAGCAGGGAGGGGGGGGGGGGGGGAGACTGGGCTCGGTTAAGAACTAGCGCTAAGATTAGGGCAAGCGTAAGACGGGCTATGACATAGCTATAGCCAAGACAATACTGGCTGAAGCCAGGGCAGGCTAAAGCGGTCCAATGCAAGGCTAGAACAAGAATAGAGTTAAGGCCAGGGAGGACTAGGTCAAGATTAAGGCTAAGGCTGAGCAAGAGCCAGTACAGAACAAGGACTAAGGTTAAAATCCTTTTAAAAAGGTTTAAAACAGGGCAAGCAAGGGGAAGAGAGGGGAAGGGAAGACTCGGTCTAGAACTAGAGGTAGACTAAGACAAGGACAAAGCTAGGACCACATGAAGAATTGGGCTATGATCAAAACAGGATTAGGTCAAGAATAGGGCTAGGTCAGAGGCTAGAGCAAGAGCAGAGGTTGAGCAGAGCTAGAGCCAGGCAAGAACTAGATCTAAAGCAAGACCAGAACAAAAGCTAGGATTCGGTACCGTAACCTACCTGAATAGTGCAAACAGGGCCGGACGCGAGGGGGGGAGGACGGGGGGGTACCCCCCCTGAAAAAAATTTTCGAAAAATTTGAACGTGGTCCCCCCCCCCTGTGGATTTTTGGAAAAAAATTTTCGCAAAAAATCGGCACAGGCTACCTGTGCCGATTTTTTGGACCCCCGCCCCCAGACCAAAAGTCCCCGCCCGGCCCTGAGTGCAAATGCCTGCTACAAGTAGCTTCAGTATCAAAAAGCCTCTGTTATGAACAATTTTATAAAAGCATATAATAACAAAAAATTCCGTTAAAAAATCTACAGTTAAATTTTGAAACAATAACCTTAATTTTTTAGAAGCGATGATACAAAGAAATCAACCGAAAAAACGAACCAAACCGAGGAAAAGGATAGTAGGTAGGTAAAAAATTGTTTTTAAATAGAAGTACAGGGTGTTACAATAAAGTTGTAACTTTTGAAAAATATATTACTAACCGCCTCCCTTTTTTCATGGCTAAGTAATAAATTTTTCAAAAGTATGTAAAGAAAAATTTTATTTTTCTTTATTTATTTTTCTATTTTTAATCATTTTTTAATTTTTTTGTGTCTATTTTTAAGCCATTTTTTATTTTTTTGTGTAAAGAAAGTTTAATAAGTTTTATACAATTTCAAGTCTCTGTTTTGTGTATCTACTCATTTTCTAAAATTTTAAATTTTAACTAAATTTTTTAAATTTTGAAACCCATTTTTTAATTTTAATAACACTGTATCATTCTGAAACTTACGTTGATGGCTTCCTCGTTGTAATTGAAATCTTCCTTCGTTTGATCATCGGCCGTGGTTCGGCCTTTCATCGACGAAGATGACTTGCAGTTGTCGTTCTTCGACTTGCTCATGGTTGATTTTTCAATTGTAGTTTTGCATTTGCTTACTGCTTCTTTACTGCCAACTGTCCTGGTGGTCTTGCCTTCCTTGCTAAGGTTCTTCTTCACCTTCTCCTTACTTCCCGCGCCCTTTGTCTAGCCGGAAAAGGCAAAAACGTTTAAAAAATGTGTTTTAGCACGCCTTAAAACAATTTTTATAAATTTTTAATGCGTCATAATGACGCATTTATTAGAATGACTTTGTTAAACCATATCTTGCCGAAACATATTTCAATTTCTTTAAAAATTTTAACATTTTCGTAATTTTTTATGTTTTACATTTTATCTTATTCTGCAAAAAAGACATAATTGGTCCCACTGGTACAAACTGGTACATGTATTCATAAATTCCACCATTTCTCAAAAAAATTTCACTATTTTAATATGAAATCATTATAAATTTTAAAATATAAGGAATAACGATCTTTACTCTTTAGTCAATGCACCACATCTCTCTTCTTGCTTACGGTAAATAGAAGACTTTATGCATGCAATAGCATTATGAAAACACAAGATATTAAACAATACTTTTTATGTCATTAAAACTTTTATTTATATTCTTTTTTCTGCTTTATTATATATTTTTTTGCTCTTTCTAATTATGCTAAATATTTATATTAAGCTAGCGAAATTTTTTTGAGAAATGGTGTAATTTATGAATACATGTATCAATTTGTACCAGTGGGACCAATTATTTCTTTTTTGCAGAATAAGATAAAATGTAAAACACAAAAAATTACGAAAATGTTCAAATTTTTAAAGAAATTGAAATATGTTTCGGCAAGATATGGTTTAACAAAATCTTTCTAATAAATGCGTCATTGTGACGCATTAAAAATTTATAAAAATTGTTTTAAGGCGTGCCAAAACACAATTTTTAAACGTTTTTGCCTTTTTCCGGCTTTATTTGACCGTTTTCCGCCATTTCCGATTATTGGCCTCCGACCGGATTCGAACCCGTGCGCTTCTGACCGGGCGGAAAACGCACTACCAGTTAGACCATGAAAATTTTCCCGCGAGATCTAGAATCGGGAATAGTGCCGTCTAGAGCAGAATTTTGCGCTGATTACGAATATGAAATAAAATTTCGGTAAGATATGCAATTATTTTGAGAAGCGATGCGTTTTTTGTGTGCAAGTACCAGTTTGGACGATAAAACCCAACTGAACAAATTTGTTGCAATGAAACAAAATGTAGAGCATAAAAGTTATGTAAACGCACAAAATTTGAAAGCGATTCAATTTGTTGTAGTTGAGATATAGTGCGGTAAAGTAATTTTGATAAATGTCAACATAACGTATTTTTCAAAATAACTTTAGGAACGTGTTTATGAACACCCTAGGACCTATTTTATAGAAAAAAATCATAAGGTAAAATTTCTAAGGCACACTCCATATTGCGGCCGACGCGACTTCTCACAAACCGTCTTTTAAATGAAATATTGAAAAAACATCAAAAATAAAATACAAAGACAAAAAAAAATAACTAAAAATTTTTCAGCCGACCGTCGAAGACTAGCGGAACCATCAAGGCGCAGGCTAAAAAAGCGTCGGCTGAGAAGACCAAAAAACCGAAGGGAAAAGAAGTTGAAGCCCGCGCCAGGTAGGATAAACCATTTTTTTTAAATAAATTAGAAAGGTAAAGAGAGAGTTTTTGCCATTTTTAATTCGTAAACAAAATTCTTGCCATTTTTTAATTTGTAAACAAAGTTCTTGCCATTTTTTAATTTATAATGAAATTTTCAATTTATAATGGAACTTCTTGTAATTTTCTTTACAAAAAGAAAAATGACAAGAACTTTTTTTACAAAACATAATGGCAAGACAATGGATTCTAATCCCAACTTAAAACCAAAAAAAATAAACTCACAAAAGTGTCGTTCACAAAACCATTTGGTTTTCGGAATGGGATGTCATCCATGTACATCCAATGTGACGCTGTGTATTCATTTGATAGTCTCTGTAAATAAACTTTGCATGGTCTGAGCTTGGGTCGGTGAAAATAAACAATTTATAACGGTTTATCAACTATAAATGGCAAAAACTTTCTTTACAACGCAAAAAATAGCAAGAACTTTCTTTACAAAAACAAGGTACATTTTTAAAACTGGGATCTTTTCTGATAACGCAATTTTTACGTAAAAATTTTTTAAATAAAGCCAACTTCGAATAAATTATTGTAACAAAAGCCTGATAGACCTTCTTTTAAAAAGCAAAACAAATCTAAATAAAATACTAAAACAAAAAAAAATTAAATAAGAATTTTTCAGAAGCCGAAACTCAACGGCAGGGAATAGAAAAGGCTCCGCGGAAAAGAAGAAGAAGGAAAAATCGGTGGGGAAGCAGGATAGAAAGGCGGTGCAAGCCAGGTAGGATAAACTATTTTAATATAAATTAAATTTGCACTCTGCTTTAAAATTTTCAAAATATCATACAAAATTAGAATAAAACAGTTAAAACAAGGTTCACGAGAAAATCGAACATTGAACGGACAGGGGCGGCACATGAAAAAAAAAGTATTTTTAAATCTTTTTATTTTTTGACCAATGTTAGTACTCATTAAGTAGAATCAAAAAATATTTTAAAAAAAATTTTTTTTGGGTTACTGTAGGAGTACTGTAGATTTTACTTAAATTTTGTAACTTTTTTGTCTGTTAACCGATTTGGATGAAACTTTTTTTGCTTGATAGAGGACTTAATACAAAGAACTTTTGCTCTTGATTACTTTTTTCCATTATGCCCGGAAGGCATTTAAAAATGTAAAAAACTTTAAAAATAGTAAAAAATATTACAGTATGACATTTTTCTCAAAATAAAAGCACTTTGGGAAGACGTTTTCTCTACGAATTATTAAAACAGAGGTAAGTATCGTTAAAATGAGTGTAGCCACGTTTCCTGAAATTGGGGCAAGCGTGAGTTATGAGGCCGTGAACCTAAGGCAGTTACTCATTTTGACTTATCATAATATTATAACTTGGTTCAAAATGCTTCTAAACGGTTAAAAATTTTTTACTTTTTTTATTTTGACTTTATTTATTGATTTTAATTAATTTTTATTAATAAAAAATTTTTTTTTGTTTTTGTATTTTTTAGACCCAGTGGGGACGCTAAATTTTAAAGATTTTTTTGAAATCCGAAATTTGTGCCATAAAGGTTTTAGACTATGCTGAGTTCAAAAATATGATTTTTTCTTTTGATTACTGTATACTAGAGTACTGTACGAGTCCGGTAGAATATCTCTATAACGAAGAGTCGTAGTGAGGTGGAGTCTTTATTATCACGTTGTATGGACAAGATATAGTACTTTACATAGTATTATTCAATATATATTATATTCAAAAATGGTACGCGTAAGGGTTTTTTTTATTATAGCTTAATTACTGTACTCGTGACTCAAGATACAAAATTTTACTACGGTAAAAATGTATATAAAACTTATCCTTTAAAATAAGGTACTATATCTTGTCCGTAATACATAATAATAAAGACTCCACCTCACTACGACTCTTCGTTATAGAGATATTCTACCGGACTCGTACAGTACTCTAGTATACAGTAATCAAAAGAAAAAATCATATTTTTGAACTCAGCATAGTCTAAAACCTTTATGGCACAAATTTCGGATTTCAAAAAAAATCTTTAAAATTTAGCGTCCCCACTGGGTCTAAAAAATACAAAAACAAAAAAAAATTTTTTTATTAATAAAAATTAATTAAAATCAATAAATAAAGTCAAAATAAAAAAGTAAAAAATTTTTAACCGTTTAGAAGCATTTTGAACCAAGTTATAATATTATGATAAGTCAAAATGAGTAACTGCCTTAGGTTCACGGCCTCATAACTCACGCTTGCCCCAATTTCAGGAAACGTGGCTACACTCATTTTAACGATACTTACCTCTGTTTTAATAATTCGTAGAGAAAACGTCTTCCCAAAGTGCTTTTATTTTGAGAAAAATGTCATACTGTAATATTTTTTACTATTTTTAAAGTTTTTTACATTTTTAAATGCCTTCCGGGCATAATGGAAAAAAGTAATCAAGAGCAAAAGTTCTTTGTATTAAGTCATCTATCAAGCAAAAAAAGTTTCATCCAAATCGGTTAACAGACAAAAAAGTTACAAAATTTAAGTAAAATCTACAGTACTCCTACAGTAACCCAAAAAAAATTTTTTTGAAATTATTTTTTGATTCTACTTAATGAGTACTATCATTGGCCAAAAAATAAAAAGATTTAAAAATACTTTTTTTTCCATGTGCCACCCATGTTTGGTTCTCTCGCGAACCTTGTTTTAAATTTGATTTTTTCAAAATTAATTACAAAAGTATAAAAATCAAATAGCAAAAACTTTCTTTACAAAATAAAAAAATCCTAATTTATAAAATATTTAATTATAATTTTTTTAAGCACAAATTTACGACCAACTCAATTTGACAAGGCCGAAGAAGTCACCGCCAAAGACGACGTCGCCGAGAACACGGTTGAGACTATTAACATTGGCCGAGATGGTCAAGTAGCACTTTCAAAAAATGAAGCCAAGAGTAAGCAGATAACATAAAAATATACAAGTTAATGACGACTAACCTGAAATGCTCTTTTTTAATCGGGGATACTTTCCTAGTACGTAAAAAAGACAAGTTTTCTTCCAAAAAAATCTGAAAAACTTATTTTTTGATTTAAAAAACCATTTTTCACCTTAAAACAAGGTTCGCCCAAGAATCAGACATAGGCGATGAAAAATTTCAAACTATTTTAAAAACGCTCGTTTTTCGATAAGAAGTAGCACTTGGGTAGAAAAATGGAAAAATATAAAAAAATTTTAAGAATTCGGGTTACGGTAGGGTTACGGTAGGTTTTGATGTATACAGAGACGTCGCTACGGATTTTCTGTGGAGAGGGGAAGGTTGAAAAAAAATTTTTTGTCCACACGTCCCCCCCCCCTGTGGCTCGATTTTTCAAAAAAATTTTTTTTTGTTTTTTTTTGCGTACAGATCTTTTATAAGTCACTTACCAAAAGCCAAGGCATTTTTTTTTATTTCCAAGCTTTAAAAATTTTTTAAAATTTAAAATTTAAAAAAAAATTTTTTTTTGAATTACAAATCCCTGAGGCAATGCAAAGGAAATTATTTGTAAACACTTATAAAACTTTCAATATGTGCCATGCACCTTTTTTAACCATTTGTAACCATATTACAGTCAAATTCTGTGCTAAATGACCTTAGAGTGTCAATTTTGAAAATTCGTAGCTACCGCAGGCCCCGCTAAAATGACCCATGCGTAGTGTCATTAGAACCGCAAGAAAATGTAGTTTCATTATCTGTTGTCAAAAGTTTGTTACATAGTGACTTTTTTTCGAGAAATTTTAAATTTTTCAAAATTTTGATTATTTTTTTGCAAACTTTAATTTTTTTCAATGCCTTCCGGGCATAATAAAAAAATGTTGTCAACAGATAAAATGATTGTGAAATAGTAACAAACAGTTTAAAAAAAGTCCCATTCCATTCTGACATTTAATACAACAGTTACAAAAAAATTTTAAAACCTACCGTAACCCTACCGTAACCCGAATTTTAAAAATTTCTTTATATTTTTCCTTTTTTATACCCAAGTGCTATCTCTTATCAAAAAATGAGCGGTTTTAAAGTAGTTTGAAATTTTTCATCGCCCCTGTCTGACCAATGTTCGATTCTTAGGCGGACGTTGTTTTAAAAAAACTAAATGAAAAAAATTTTTTCAAAACAAATAAAGCAATAACTTTAAAGTACCTTTTTAATTTTTCTTTATTTCAGATGAAATGTACCACATACAGAACCATGTAAGCATACTTCATATTTGATAAGTTTTTTAATGTGCAGAGTCATTTTCTCGTTCACTTTTCGCAAATTGCCAAAGTGTTAGGTCGTTCACTTAATTCTGCGCCGCCTTTTAAAGCAAAATTATCTAAAACAATTTCACCTTTTTAAAAAAAACTTTAGGTAAATGAGCCTACAGAAACCAAAGAAGAGCCGGCGCGGAAGTTGGAGAGCAGCCAAATGGCCGAGAACCCCACAAGCAGCAGTTGCTCCTGCACCTCGTCAGACGAAGTTACTCTTGATAGCCGCAACTGGTAATAGGCCAAGTATTTCCAGGACGTGTATTGCGCTCTAGTATTTCGTAATAAATATATCTATCTGCCTTTTTTCGTAACATTACTGCAACTTCAAGCAAACCTCCTTTAAACTTGTTTCCATGACAAACCTTAAGCAGAATAATTTTTTTTATCATTCTGCTTTGATGTACTAGTAGAAAACCTTTACATTGACCTTTTTATTTAAACTTGTAAGCGTACTTTGTCTGAAAAGTCAAAAAAAGTGCTTAAAATACAATGCCAAATTTGCCAAGTTGGCAGGAAACCCAAATATTTCTAATTTAAAACTCAATCGCAAGCAAGCTAAAAATTTTTACAGATACTATTGATGGTACAAAAAATGCTTATAAAAATTTTGAGTTGATTCTGAGGCCGTTTGGGTGCTTTCCCTGTCAGTAACATTGTCCCTGCACATTATAAAACTTGCTTTTTTACTTTGCCATTTGAACTAACAAGGAAGGTACCAGACCTGCAACGCTCAGATTGGGTTCAAACTTTTTTTGTAGCAAGGTCATGTAAATGTAAGATCTTCTGCAAATTATTAAGTTGCGGTTTGCGGCCAGTCTTGAGAAAATCGAGATCAAAAATTTACTTTTCGAACTTCCCGCCAAATTGGCATTGTGTTTCAAGCTTATAACTTCGTCGTTGTTTGACTTTTAACTATTGTTCTTTAATATAATGATAGAGAAGCATCAAATGAAACTGCAATTTTAAATTTTTAAGTCTATCTTATCGGGAACATCAAAAAAAGAGGTTGCAACACAATGCCAAATTTGCCAAATTGGCGGGAAATTTAAATATATTAATTTTCAAAACTTAAAACCGCAAGCTAAGATTTTTTATATGTACTATCAGTAGTATAAAAAATTCATATAAAAATTTTGCGTTGATTCCGAGAGTTGCAGGTTGGGTATTTTCCTTGTAAATTATACCTCAGCTATAAAATAACCAAAACTATTTGAAATTACCTAAATCAATAATTGAAAAATTATAGACTTACATCATCAACTTGAACAACCAATGTCCGCAAACTTCTTTGGATTCAATCCTTCAACAATATGGTATTGTGCGAAGATCGGTGCCGGTAAGTTGTCGCTTATTTCTGAAAAAATAAACCCTTTTAATAGTTCGTACAAAGATAGTTTAAAATCGTAAGCCTATAAAGTCTACGCCTACTAAGCTTAAGTTCATTAAGAAAAACTCCACTAACGATTGGACGTATTCTATGCCATAGCCTTGTATTAGGTGTTTGCAAAAGCTTCTCCCTAATTTGTTTTTACCAAAATTTAATATTTAAAAAAACCAACAACAAATAATTAACAAATGTATGTATCATTATTATCAACACCCTGTTGCCATCCCTTCGGCAACATTTGGATTCAACTAGGAACCTGGAGTTTTAGATTAAAAATGTTAGCCCACCATCGCTTGAGGTACTCTCAATTGTCAACGTGTGTTGCGTGCAGGTGGTTTTGGAGGGTGGAACATATGATAATCTGTTGGCACAACCTCATGTAAGTACGATGCTTGTGGCATCGCTGTCCAGTCAAGGCTTCTCAACTTGTGTTGGGTCAACTTCGTCACATGATCATCTCCTCCAGTAGGTGAAGATCAGGCTTTCGAGTTGATACACCCTGTTCTCCACCTGCAAGCCATTGTTTCTTCTTGGTGTGATTAACAAATAGTACGCACTTATCACCCTCAGTAACCAAATTGTCAAACCATTCAAAGTTCCTTGGGACCATCAACAAATAAGTGCAAATTTCCACTCGACGCTCAGCTGGTCGCTGTTCGAATCATGTGGAACTCCATGACCATATTTCCATGATCTCCCAAGGGCGTGAAGTCTAATTAATGTGGTAGAAGGGTTACACTGAAGCTCTACAATCAAATGAGTACATGTTCGTCTGGGGTCTTCTTCGACCAGCTTCAGAAGATGGGGTTTCTTCAACACTGATGCTCCACAAGGTCGAGTTTTTTGGACATGTCAAAGTCACCGTTTTTGAACTTGTGGAAGCAAACTTTTGTGGTGCCGTAAGAGACAACTGAAGGACCTACATCACTGCATATTTCCTTCGTCGCTCCTGTTGCGTTGCCGTGCTCACGGAATTTGAGAAGCAACATTGCCCTAGCATTAGACATGAGCAACGGGCCGGGCCGGGCCCAATTTTCAAGCCCGGCCCGTTTTTGATTTTGGTCAGGCCCGGCCCGGCCCGATCAGAAAATTTCTAGGCCCGGCCCGGCCCGTTTTGAAAAATTTTAAAATTTAAAAACTAAACGGAAAATTGGCTTTAAATTGTTTTTTTAGACCATTTATGGATCATAGAACCTAATAAAATCGAAAAACATAAACGGGGATTGAAATAAAAAATTTTAAAAAATTAAAAAAATTTTTTTTTGGGCCCGGCCCGACTATCCAAGGCCCGGCCCGTTTTTGATTTTGCTCAGGCCCGGCCCGTTGCTCATGTCTACCTAGCATGACCATCTCTTACCTTGATTTCTTGAACCACCGTAAACAACAGAAAGCTTTAACATGCAATAGTTTTTGTCCTTGGACATCTCTTTATATAGATTACCAACAGAAAGTTCTAGCACTGTCCATATTTTTTAAAAAAATTTTAGAAAAAACGGGAAGAAACTTTTGAAAACACCTAATACCATTAATTTTATGATGTATGTACCTGCATTTTTCAAAAAACTAAACCACATTTTCATTTACAGGCTCCACAGAGTAAACAAACAAATTTAATTTCCAAGCTTTAAAAATTTTTAAAATTTAAATTTAAAAAAAATTTTTTTTTATAAATTTCAAATTCCCTAAGGCAGTATAAAGGAAATTGTTTGTAAACACTTATTAAACTTGCAATACGTGCCATGCACCTTTTTTAATCATTTTGAACCAAATTACATCCAAATCCTATGCCAAATAACCTTAGGGTGCCAACTTTGAAAATTCGCAGCTACCGCAAGCCCCGCTGGGATGGCCCAAACTAAGTGTCAGTAGAACCGCAATAGTATGTAGTTTCATTATCCGTTGTCAAAAGTTTGTTATACCATGGCTTTTTTTTGAGAAAATTTAAATTTTTTTAAATTTAATTATTTTTTTGCAAACTTTATTTTTTTCAATGCATTCCGGGCATAATAAAAAAAAGTTGTTAACAGATAAAATGATTGTATTAAAGTACCAAACAATTTAAAAGAAGTCCCATTCCATTTTGACATTTAGTACAATAGTTACAAAAAAAGTGTAAATCCTACCGTACTCCTACCGTAACCTGAATTTCGAAACTTTTTTTGCATTTTTGCGTTTCTATGCCCGAGTACTACCTTTGGTTTTAAATAAACGTTTTTAAAATAGTTTGGGCTTTTTTGAACACCCCATGTTTGATTCTTGCGCGAACCTTGTTTTAAACACTATTGTAATATCTGTGTAATTTGCAGGGCCCGAAATTGAAAAAACCGCCGACTGAACAAATATGGTATCATCTAAGTTACAAGCCTATGTGCCAAGAAGCCTACTCTGAGGTAATGAAGATAAAGAAAACACCGAAAAGAGAGCAACAACGAAAGTTATTGTCCCTACTGCTGAACAAGCCGGACGAAGAATACTTGTCGGCATTCCACTTCTACACAGCATGTTCATTCATGCTGCTAAAAGAGAAGTATCAGCCACTCAAGGCTGAAGAGTTCCACAGTCTATATAAGCTGGATAACAAGCTTAACCAAAGCAATTAATTTAATAAACTTTCGTATTCGGTAATCGATAAATTCGCTCAACCCCATGCAGTTTTTATAATTTGAGTATTGAGTTCTCAGCTAAGTAGAGTTAGGTAATGCATTTGGCTTCTCAAGATTTAAATTTATATGGCATTTTATAGTACACTGTAGTACCTACTGAACTATATAGAAGGTTGAAGCAAGGCATGCTGGTGTTATTTATGTAAATTTGAATTCTGAATTTCTAGTTACAGTGGATTTAGATAATGTCACATGGTTTTCAAAGTTCATATTTTAATTTACATGGCATTTTATAGTACATTACAGTACCTGCTGGACTATATAGGGTGTTGAAAGAAAAACAACAATGAAGATTTTTTGCATGCTCAAAGGTTAGGCTATTTTATGCAAATTTTGAAAAAATCAATTTTTTATCTTGCACTTTAAGTGCTACACAAATTATTCAAATTTGTATAGCGAAACGCAAAAGTGAAGTCTATCGAAAATTAAATTAGAAACGTTGTATTGGCGGAGGATTTTAGTTTTAAACGTGGCATGGTATTCCTTGTTTACTATAAATATGATATTCAATGCCCAGAAGCCACAAATTTTTGACCTTTATATTAATTTGGGTGACTGTAACACAGTGGTGAAAATAAATCAGTGTTAATTGGACGCTTGCTAGGAGTACTAAAATTTGTTACAAAAGGACGTAAGAGGATGTTATAACAGCTATAGATGATCAACGAACCCTTTGGAGTTCAAATAACAAGTTTTATTATGAAAGATATTGAAATCGATTAGATCTGTGAAGCCTATATTTATTTATTTATTTGTTTATTCCATCTATTAATACATTTAAACAAAAATAATATAGACGATAATATATATAGTTCAATGTATTAATTATTGCTGACCCCTAGGGGGCTGACTTCTCAAATTTCTGCAAATTCTACTATAAAAGAAATGATATTTAACTGAACTTTTGGAGAAGGGAACAATAATTTTACTACCACCTCTTGTCCTGGACTGGACAGATTTGGGCATTAAAGACTCAGATACAATTAATTTTCCAGACATAATTTTATTACAAAACACTTTATCAATATTTAAGAGACGTTCTGACAATGGGATTATGGATAATATTTTAAGTCGTTCGGAGTAAGAGGGAACGGGGTTAAGATTTAAGCAACGACGGACAATGATACAAGTAAAGGTTTTTTGAAGTTGTTCTAACTTTTCCGAGTGTTTAGCCAGATGTGGAAAGTAAAGAGGAGAACAGTAATCAATGATAGGTAAAACATAAATTTTGTATATTTTTAAAAGAATTTTTAAGTTGTTAGTTTTAACGGCTTTTAACAGGAAGAAAATCCTTTTTTGACATTTAGAGTATACTTTTTGAATGTGATCATGGCATGTTAATTTAGCATTAACCATTAGTCCGAGATCCCGGACTACAGTGCTAGTAGGAATTGGTGAGCCGTTAATAAAATAGGGGTGTTTGGGGTTAGAAGGATTAATATGTAAGACAACACATTTGTGAATAGATAATTGTAGCCCATTATTAGTACAGTATAACACAAACTTGTCAATAAAGTCTTGAATTTCATTGTGGTCACTCGATCTACCATAAATTTAACGTCATCAGCGAACATTTGAATTGAGATGTTGTTCGTAGGACAGTAATATGGAAGATCAGACATAAAAAGCAAGAAAAGAAGAGGACCAAGGGTCGACCCTTGAGGCACTCCAGTGGACATTGAACGAGGACTAAATAAAGTAGAGTTAATCTTGACAGAAAAATAACGTTCCGAAAGGTAACTTTCAATCCATTTGAGAAACATACCATTAATGCGTTGATTAGAAAGCTTAGTTAGTTTGATTGTTTTATGTTTTATCTCAGATATGGAAATGAGGGATGGAGAAGCTTCAGAGGCCACGGTTCAGGCAGGAACAAAGGAAGCGGCCAAACCAGAAGAAATGAAAGGCACTGGTAAAATCGTAAGTTATTTCTTTGATTTGGTTTAGGTAAACGTTGTCACGATTGTATGGAGATGGAAATTGCGCTGCTTTATTGCCGAATTTCACCAAAATCGGTCCTATAAAAAAGATAGTTTTTGCAAGACGTTTCATATAACCCGCGAGCATTACACATAGGAAGGGCTAACCCAAAAAAAGAGGCAGGACTCTAGTTTAAAATCGCTACAGACCGGGAACCACGTTTTATGGTAATGTAGAGTTATAGGAAGACTTTCTTAATTTAAAATTTTTCGGCAGCTTTAGTTCCGCCTATTTTAAATTTTAGCTCCGACTTCGAAGCGGGAACCGCCCCAGGAAGCCGTGCCAGCTCCATGGTCAAACATGCAATACATGAAATAATGTGTAATACAAAAATTCTACATCTTCAGCTTTTGAGCTGGAGTTGCCCCTGTCCTTGAGAACTCTGTGTAAAAGAACTTTCGAACAGTAAAGTCTTAAGGTAACAAAAGATAAGGTAAAGTATAAATCTTTTCTTGAAAAACAAGTTCTTCCCGTCTCCGGATTCAAACACTACCCCGCCCCAAGGACAAAAGCTTATCCATCCTACATAAAGGTAGAATATCCACCCATTCTACTCAAAGTCAAATATTCACCCAATCTATCCAAAAGTCCTATCCATGTCATAGCCAATTCATCCCAATTGAAAATTTCATTTATATTTATCCTTTTTTATGTTATAATAGGTATAAACACTTCGAATCACCAATAACGATCCTATAAATAGGGTTGAGTAAGTTTGAAAGAGTAATGGCACATGGTTTAAGAATGTGAAAAAAATACTTGACATACTGTGTGAGTACAACATATTCTGTTATAAAAACTATATAATGACAGAAGATTACAAATTTTAAGAAAATTTTTTAAATTTTGTAAATAAATGCAAACTTGTTAATGAATCCACCTAGTATAATATAGAAAAACCTTTTTCATGATTATTTTTTCCAAATTCGAGATTAAAAAATTAGTTAAACTACTATAATATACTTTAAAAATGGCAAAATAAAATTAATCACTAAATTGCATTAAAAGTGGCGAGTTCTTCTGGCTCATTTCACCATGATAAGTGAATGAGACATGAGCCATTTCATCAGATTGTCCATCCGAGTTTGAACAGAAAACACTGGCCAAAGGATAGTCGTCCATTTTAGGAATACTGTAAGGTTGGGCCTAAAGATAGTTAATCATTAACAGTAAGGTCTATGTACTTTTTGACCGTTATGGTACTAAAATCTTCAAAAGATTACATTATCTTATTCGACCATTCCCTATCTTAGCATACCCTACCATTCCCTAGCCTATTATACCATGTTCTACCCTGCCACATAATACCCTACCATACCATACCCTAAACCGCCCTATCCTACATTACCCCACCCTACCTTACCCTGCCCTCACTTACTCCAATCCTACTATATAACGCCCTACCCTGCTAAACAATACTCAACTCTACAAAAACCTTACCATATTAACAAAAGTGCTGCCCGGAGTGCCTGGACTGTACTTCTGCCCATAGCCAACCATTCCACCCTCCATATATTCCATACCATATCGATAGTTAGGGCTGTTCTCCGAGTAATTCGGCGATGTTACAGTATTTTCATCAAATCCAGAATCCTGGAAATTCTTTTCGAATGGAGAAATCGACCGGCTTCTGATCGATAATTTCATTCTATCAAATGGATCGTACAAGTTCTCATACTTCATCTTCTTAACTTGCTTCAGAAGACGTTGAGCTGGCTCAGCAATGGGTGAATTTGATCTGGACCAGTGTTCCAGACAGTCCAAAGTTTCGTAGTCCGAAGCAAAGAACGCAGCGATTTCTCGGTCGATTTTCAGTCGATTCAGAAGAAGAATAGCTGATTGTTGTAGGTTAGATTGATGGACTGACATTTGGCTAGTTTGTTGGACTAGTGGGGTTCGTTGAAATTGGGTTGGGCTGTTTTGGGAAGGTGGGAAAGGGTGATTTTGGAGGTGGTTTTGACAAAGATGAGAGGAACTTGTCATTCCTTGAGCTCCTGACTGGACTAAATTTGATGAAGTGGAAATACTAGTCTGGCCTGGACTTGGAAATTCAGAAAGGGTAGTCTGGGCTGAACTTAGGGCTCCATTGTGACCATTTTGACCCAGATTTTTCGTTCCAAATCGGTTTAAATTGGTCAGATGGCTCATATTATCCATGTTTATCATTATACCTATCATTACGAAGGTGGAAGAGAAGATTTCACCTCACAAGGTGGCTTAGGAGATGAATGAGGTTTTTTTACATTTTTATTTACGTTTTTGTTTATATTCGTGTTTCACCTTACTTTTAAAATTGCTTTTATTAAGTAAACACTTAGGCAGTAGCCAAAACATAAAAATTTCATCTTTTTTGAATCTGCCGTGCACGTCAAGAAAAAATAATAGAAAACCGCACGCATAGAGAAAAATCGTTGGCATTCTGCAGCAAAAAAAAGAAAAAAACCTGTTCGACTAATCTAAAGAAATAACCCAGTATTACTAATGAAAGCACCCAATTTTTATCCTATTTAAGGCACCCAAAAGTATTCAAATTTTGCATAATCTTGCAATTTCATTTTGTTGTTTTTCCTTTTTTGAAAACGGTCATTCATACATATTTTATCGACTGCGTGAGACGGTCGGGTCAGCATGGAATCTGACCGTGGTGATCAGGGATCCATCGACTACCTGACACCTAGGCCAAGATCAACCACCTTCAAAGAAGTCATCTTCTATCGAGTTTATGAAGACTTTTATTATGCTATACAGATGGATAACAGGTAAGAATTTAGTATTTATTTAAAGAATACGTTTGATTTTACCATAGTATTAATGTTATCTTAGTTATAGTAGCCCATTGTTTAGTTATAGTAGCCTACTATTTAGTTACAGTAGCCAACTATCTAGTTGTAGCAGCCACTATCTAGTTACGGTAGCCCATTGTTTAGTTACAGTAGCCAACTACCAACTTACTAGTTATAGTAGCCAACTATCTATTTATAGCGGCCAACTATCTAGTTACAGTAGCCCATTATTTAGTTTCAGTAGCCAAAAGCCAACTAACTAGTTATAGTAGCCAACTATCTAGTTGTAGTGGCCAACTATCTAGTTACAGTAGCCAACCATCTAGTTACAGTAACCAACTATCTAGTTATAGTAGCCCATTTCTTAGTTACAGTAGCCGTGCACCTTATATTTTTTTCAGTTTTCGCTACAACAATCGCCATTCACGAATTGGACACATCTACACCGCTCTTCGAAAGCGCTACGTTTCATAATGATAAAATTTGAATAAAGATTGCTGGGTGCTTTAAACCATTAGTGGGTGCCTTTATTATGTTGGGTGCTTTCTCTAGTATGGCCCCGAAACTTTTTATTAGAAACCTTATTTAACACCCAAAGTTTTATTCACAACAGCCATTATAGCCAATTTGGCTTTATTCGTTGTTTATGATAGATCTGAATATATGTTTTTTTAAAACCGTAAAATCATGTATAACTTTACAACGAGCACGCAATGGGCTAAAGATCTCTTCACAGGTAGACGTAGAATAAAATAACGATTAATTTGATACCAAAAACATCATTACTACTTTGTTTATGTCTGATCCATTAAATATTTTCTCTAAATACTATTTTTCTTCTTATTTCACAATGCCAAAATTCCGTTCAACACCCAGCGAAAAGTTAGCTTTTTCTTGACGTGCGGTGCCCAAATTAGTCGAAATCAACACTTTACTTGTTTGATTTGAACATTTTTTAATTTGGTAGTAATATATTGTAGGTTTTTCCCAATCCTGTTCAAGTTCTTTACGGTGGTTTTCACAAATAAAAAGGGTTGAAAATTTTATAATATAATTTTGATTGTTCCAGTCAACGTTACACTCTCCAGCAAAAGTAAAAGCTTCGTACTCAAAAGCTAGGAGTAATAAAAAAGCTGATTCTTTTTTTATATGGTACCCAATAGTGGGCCATTTTGGAATTTTACTGTTTTGGTTGAGTTCGGCGGACGGTCGGCGGAGACGCAAAATTTGTCAGATTTTACCTTCAAAAGCTTCAAATTTGGTCGATTTTGTGTTTTGAAGGTACAGAATAGCATACATTTTTATAAAAAATTTATTTTTTCTCCGCGTCGGCGGAGACTGCAATTTAGCGAAGGCTATAACTCTGCTCAAACTCAATATTTTTTCTTCGGACAAAAACTAGCAGAATTGTGACATTAAAACGCATAAATTAGCACTAATTTTGAAAATTTTCCGTTAATTTTAAAAATTCGGCAGACATTCAACTTTTCGGCGGAAACTATTACTCAGACCAAAATTTATATTTTTCCTTCAAAACATGTTTTTTGTAAAGCTCGAGCCAGAGCCAATTGCACTGGCGACGTCAAATTTCAAACATTTTTTAAAAATCTGAAATTTTTATCATGAAGGTTTTAGACAATGCTGAGTACAAAATTACAACTTTTTTTATTTTTGGTTACTGTATTGTGGAGTACTGTAAAGCTACGTTAGAATTTATATCTCCATAAAAAATAGTTGTAGAGACATGGCGTCTTCACTATCGTGTAGTACGACTACAATACAGCATTTCTTATGTTGGAGTCAAAGTTCCATGTATAATTTTACTGTAGTAAAAATTTGTATATTGTGTTGTAATTACAGTAACGCAAAAATAATAAAAAAACGGTTTAAGATACCCCTCTTTTTTATTTTAGATTATTACTCTAGATGTTATTGCGGTTTGAATGATATATAATTTTAAAAAAACTATTGTGACTTTTGAGGTCAAAGGTCAAGTTGAAGTTGGTCGACCCTATATGTATTTTGAAAAAAAATTTTAAAACAATGTAAAAACTAACTGGTGAAAGGTACACCAGCAAAAAAAACTAAGTGATCTTTTTGGCCCTACCCAAGTCCACCCCTGACCTTTTTAGTCCTACCCGACCCTACCTCTGACCTTTTTAGCCCTACCTGACCCTGCCACTGACCATTTTAACCTTACCTTACTATGTCATACCCTATGCTACCTACTATACCATGCCATATCCTATTCTACCTACCACTTCATACCATACTGTATCATACCATACCATACCCTATACTACCTACCCTTTCATACCATACTATATCATACCATACCATATCATACCCTGTCTTACCTACAATACTGTTCTATATTAGCCTATACTAAACCACATATCTTGCCTTAATTACTCAACCTGAACCAATGGATAAATATTATAGTATATAGTGTTGTAAATAAAAGATTAGGCAGAGTAAGATATGGTATAGTTTGGTAGATAGGATAAGGTATGGTATGGGATGCTATGGTATAGGTATAGTAGGTAGACAAGGTATGGTATAGTAGAGAACATACGGATATAATATAATATGGTACTGTATGGTAGAGTAGGTAGTATAGGGTATGGTATGGTATGATACAGTATGGTATGAAGTGGTAGGTAGAATAGGATATGGCATGGTATAGTAGGTAGGTAATTTATGGTATAGTAGGTAGCATAGGGTATGACATGGTAGGGTAGGGTTAAAATGGTCAGTGGCAGGGTCAGGTAGGGCTAAAAAGGTCAGAGGTAGGGTCGGGTAGGACTAAAAAGGTCAGGGGTGGACTTGGGTAGGGCCAAAAAGATCAAACTTAGTTTTTTTTGCTGGTGTACCTTTCACCAGTTAGTTTTTACATTGTTTTAAAATTTTTTTTCGAAATACATATATGGTCGACCAACTTCAACTTGACGTTTGACCCCAAAAGTCACAATAATTTTTTTAAAATTATATATTATTTGGACCGCAATAACATGTAGAGTAATAATCTAAAATAAAAAAAAGTAGTGATCTCAAACCGTTTTTTTATTATTGTTGGGTTACTGTAATTACAACACAAGACCAGACCAACGCGGGCCCTGCGGGCCCGCTATGGTCTGTGCATTTTTGTTGTATTTCATTTTTATACAATATTTATGAATTTTTATAAAGTAAATTATGTTATAATAACATAAAACGTTAGAATTTGTTGAAAAAAGCGCCGGCCTGCGGCCGTCGCGCGTCTCTTTAAATTCCAACTTTAAAATCGACTTTATTTTGAATCAATCTAATATTCTGCTATTTCAATGCAGTATGAATCTGAAACTATTTTGAGTATGATACATTATGATTCATTTTGTTTTTTAAATTGTTACGCTTAACACCCGTTTGTAAAAAAATATTTTAAAAACCCGGTACTTTTTTGAATTGACCTTACCCTTATCAATATCTGTATTCATACCCGTACCCATATTTATACCCATATTCACACCCCTACCGACATTTATACCCACACCCATGCCCATATTTATACCCATACTCACACCCCTACGGACATTTATACCCACACCCATGCCCATATTTATACCCATACCCACACCCCTGTCCACATTTATACCCACACCTCTGCCCATATTCATACCCACACCCGTACCCATATTTACACCCCTACCCACGCCCATATTTATACCCATACCCACACCCCTGCCCATATTTACACCCCTACCCACGCCCATATTTATAGCCATACCCTCACCCGTACCCATATTTACACCCCTACCCATGCCCATATTTGTAGCCATACCCTCACCCGTACCCATATTTACACCCCTACCCATGCCCATATTTGTAGCCATACCCGCACCCATACGCATATTTACACCCCTACCCACGCCCATATTTATTTTATTTATTATTATTCTAAAATTATTGTAATTCAAATTTGCGAATTTTGATACAGTTCATATTATTCAATTTATTGGCTCGGGCCTGCGGCCCTCGCAAATAATAATTTTCATTCAACGATTGTAAATAACAAAACGGCTCGGGCCTACGGCCCTCGCACATCTTCAATAGCAAATTTTAAATTTAAAATCGTACACGATATTGTTCACAATATATTTAGTATCATTGCCTTCTTAAATTTAATAAAACTTGGCTCGGGCCTCCGGCCCTCGCACATTAAAAATTTTGAAAATTGTGCACAATAATCAGTATCATACTCAAAATAGTATCAAAATATTTTAAAACACAACCGCTCGCTGCCAAAAAATTCCATAAAACTGACCGATTTTTTTTCAAAATTTTTACGAATTTTTTATTCTTTACCGATTTTCCCACAAATTTGCATGGCCCTCTCACTTGCCCTTTACCGATCTTCACTTTTCCTGGACATAGTACCACGGCTCTGCTGTTCGAAAAGGGGTTTACCCTCCATTTTCGAGTACAAATCCGATGTCGAATATTTTATCAAAATTTACTACTTCAAAATAAATACAATTTAAAAACACAAATTAAATAGAGAGAATAAAATGACAACAGATATATAATTGGATAAAAAGATCAGAAGTTGCTACAAAGTCTACTCTACGCAATAATACAACAATAAAATTAACAGAATAAAATCTGCTCCAACTGATATTCTACTCAAAAGATACAATAACTTGCTACAAAATAAGATCTACTCTAAAATACTAAAAATAAATTCAAGAACAATAATAACAAACTGATAAACTAACGTAATTTCCTGTGTGGCCCCGGTGTCGGTGTGGTGGGTGGGTCGTCTGGGTCTGTGGTTCAGGTGTGGCCAAGTGTCGGTGAGGTCGTAGTGGTCGTGGGAGTGGTGTCGGTGGTCGTGGGAGTGGTGTCGGTGGTCGTCGTTCCAAGTCTCTTCTTTGTCGGTCCACGGGCACCAAGAACGGCCTCTCTCGTCGTCGTCAGTCCACCCAACTGAACTTTCAACCCAAAGGCAAAATGACAAACCCGTTGCCTCAGGTTTTGGGCCGCGAAAAAAGCCAAATCGAACGAGAAAAGAGAACGCTTTTTTGCGTCGGTTCGCGCCCTGATCAGTGCGGGCTGCGCGATCTTTTTCTCCGAAAGGATAATAAATAAAGGTTTAAATTACAGTTTAAAAATGTTTTAATCAAAATAGTAAAGTTCAAATTAAAGTAGTAAAGTAATAAAGTATATTTTAACTCTAATGTCTCACAATTTGTGAGATATTTGACACTGCATTTAGAGCCGGGGATTTTTTAAAATCTTACTATAGTTATCATGCGTATATACTTAGTTACTGTGGTATCTTTTTACTTTACATCCATTAACATTGTTATTAGGTGATAAAAATTCACCAAGCTTTCTATTTATACTACTGATACGCTGTAAATAACAGTAGTGGCAACATTTTGGTTAAACTTTTACAAAAATTTGAGTTTTCGCCAAATTGGCAAGTCTTGGCATTGTGTTTTTCAGCCCTTTACAGTAAAGTTGAAGCAAAATACGTTTCAAGTTTAGCTTTTTTAGAGTAAGCTGCATATGATATTTTAGGTTTTTCAAATTGGTTCAACTTTTAACAAAATTACTGTTTTACCAGCCCAACTCACTTTCCTATAGAATTTTACCCCATCTTTTTAATAATGAAGGTCATTACTGAATGTTACCTAATAATCATTTAGAAAATTTGTGCTGTTATAAACAAAACTTAAATAATATAATATTTTTGTCACTTTTTATGTTATACCGATAATACGACAGTTTAAACAACAATAAACTGTAATAGTAACGTTATTTGCTTCCCGCTGGAACCGGGATGTCTGCCGGCTCCAATCGACTCTCCTGACGATCTCACCCAATTGTTGTTGAATTGTCCAAAGAGTGATGGTGCTGATGGTGCACCTGGTACGAATTGGGTTATTGTGGGTGTTGTATTGGTGGTTGTGGTTGTTTTTACTCTGGGGGTATTTGCTAGACATTTTCTTCGACCGATTGTTGATAAATATCGTGGACTTCGTCTTGGCCATTCTGATGTCAATTCGGTGCCTGTTCTTTCCATTGGCGACGTACCTGCTCCTTGTCTTGATGTTGGATCAATTGACGAAGAACGTAGAGATATGGCCGAGAGCCCATCTGGAAGCGTGACTGTGTCGAACGATCGTGACGGTGAAGATCGTGATAGATCCGTGATTCCATACTAGGGTCGGTTAAGCTTGTTGTTGTTGTTAATTGTTTCTGTTGAAATTGTTTTTAATCCCTAATATGGGTTTTTTGATAATATCGGTTTTTGGGGATTTCAATTTATCTTACTAGGGTATTTAAAATTTTAATGCCCCTGGGGTTTTAGTTCCGTTTTACCATAATTTATGGCCTTATGTCGGTTATATTTTTCGGCCCCCGTTGCGTTTCTTTCGCGCATTGGCTACGAAGCGTACTGTAATGCTGTTTTTTTGTTACTGCTAGCTAATCTTATACGACACTCTTCATAATTCCTAATTAAATTTTTAAAATAATTTTCTTACAAAAAATTAATCAAAATTGAAAGGGGAGGGACGTTTGCTATACTAGGCTCACTATGCTTTTCATCGTTGTCAGGTGATTCTAAAATTTGTTGCCAGGTATATCTCACAATGCTAAGTATGTTTTTAATTTTTGAATTTCTAGGCTGCTTTGGTGTGCCGGTATAACTCTAATAAAAAGTTTGACCTAAATCGCATTAAAAAAGCGCTCCGCAAAGGCTCTCGCAAAAAAGGAAGAGAAGAAGAAAATTACGTTTTCCCACCAATTTGTCTTTTTCTGCTTTTCACAGTACTATTTTGTGGCTTTTTCTTTTTCCTATTATTTTTTTTCGTCGCTTTTTGCTAGTATTATTGTTAATTTTGGAATAATAGCCGTATTTTACCTGTTGTTAATTGTTTTGTATTGTTTTGTACTATTATTGATCTGTTTTCAGAACCCGCATTGAACAAGACCCCACGTTGAACAAGACCCCGCGTTGAAAAAAATACTATTTTGCTAAATCTAGTACTTCTTATGGTGCTATATACAGGGTCAATAGAGAAATTTGAAGGAAAGTAAAAGCTTCGTACTCAAAAGCTAGGAGTACTAAAAAGCTGATTCTTTTTTTATATGGTACCCAATAGTGGGCCATTTTGGAATTTTACTGTTTTGGTCGAGTTCGGCGGACGGTCGGCGGAGACGCAAAATTTGTCAGATTTTACCTTCAAAAGCTTCAAATTTGGTCGATTTTGTGTTTTGAAGGTACAGAATAGCATACATTTTTATAAAAAATTTATTTTTTCTCCGCGTCGGCGGAGACTGCAATTTAGCGAAGGCTATAACTCGGCTCAAACTCAATATTTTTTCTTCGGACAAAAACCAGCAGAATTGTGACATTAAAACGCATAAATTAGCACTAATTTTGAAAATTTTCCGTTAATTTTAAAAATTCGGCAGACATTCAACTTTTCGGCGGAAACTATTACTCAGCCCAAAATTCATATTTTTTCTTTAAACAAAAAGATTTAGCTTTACATTGTTTGTTACTACGCGCAGTTTAAAGTTGTCATCGTTTGGTTTAAGTTTGACAATTCGGCAAAAGCACATGGTTTCGGCGGAGATCATAACACAGCTTAAAACTCATATTTTCTTCTCAAATAAAAAAAAATTGAGTTCTTAGTTTTTTAATCAACTTAACTTTTCAATTTCGTCGTTTTTACGCTACTTCACGTCATAACATTATTAGTTGCAAGCAAAAAAGTGTACCGGTTTATATTTTTTTTCGAGAAAATTCGAAATTTTTAAAACTGCCTTAGGTTTTTTAAATTTTTCAATTTGTTCCCGAAGTCACAGGACTCTGATGTCAACAGCAAATAATCGTTATGTTGAATGTAGAACACGATGACAAAGACCGCATGTCTCTACGACAACTGGTTACCGAGATATAAAACGTCGATCCCAATTACAGTACTCCCAAATACTGTAACAAAAAAAACTTTTTCTTGATTTTTAGTATTACTGAGTACCTAGAAAGTAAATCACAAAATTTGAGCCGTTTTAAACCACTTTGAAATTCTCAATGCCGCTTGGGTTCGACTGTTATAAAAAACGTGTTTTAAGATAATAAAACATTAAGTTAATGGTGTTGAAATTCAGAAACTAAATATTTTTAGTAGATGAAAAAATATTAAGTTTGGGCCAAGATATGGCCTCCGCCGATAACACTGCTCTCCGCCAAATTGTCAATATTAGCGTAAAAATGACGAAATGTAAAAGTTAAGTTGATTAAAAAGCTAAGAACTCAATTTTTTTTATTTGAGAAGAAAATATGAGTTAATAAAAAAAAGAATCAGCTTTTTAGTACTCCTAGCTTTTGAGTACTTAGTCGGAATCGACCTATTACACTTTTTTATCGAACAATTTTGAAAATTACATTATCATACTATATAGCACCATAAGAAGTAATAGATTTAGCAAAATAGTATTTTTTTTCAACGCGGGGTCTTGTTCAACGTGGGGTCCTGTTCAATGCGGGTTCTGAAAACACATCAACAATAGTACAAAACAATACAAAACAATTAACAACAGGTAAAATACGGCTATTATTCCAAAATTAACAATAATACTAGCAAAAAGCGACGAAAAAAAATAATAGGAAAAAGAAAAAGCCACAAAATAGTACTGTGAAAATATTTTATAATATAATTTTGATTGTTCCAGTCAACGAATGATTAGTAACAAACCTTTTACTGCCTACTGTAACATAAGCTTAATAATAATGTATAATTTAAATTGTAAAATTGAGAACCGAGAAGATAGAACAGTAGCCAAGGTACCTAAGTGTCTCTTTTGAACTGGAAAACCTGAGACGCATGCCAATGATTAGTAACAAACCTTTTACTGCCTACTGTAACATAGGCTTAGTAATAATGTATAATTTAAATTGTAAAATTGAGAACCGAGAAGATAGAACAGTAGCCAAGATACCTAAGTGTCTCTTTTGAACTGGAAAACCTGAGACGCATGCCAATGATTAGTAACAAACCTTTTACTGCCTACTGTAACATAGGCTTAGTAATAATGTATAATTTAAATTGTAAAATTCAGAACCGAGAAGATAGAACAGTAGCCAAGGTACCTAAGTGTCTCTTTTGAACTGGAAAACATAAGACGCATGCCACTGATTAGTAACAAATCTTTTACTGCCTACTGTAACATAGGCTTAGTAATAATGTATAATTTAAATTGTAAAATTGAGAACCGAGAAGATAGAACAGTAGCCAAGATACCTAAGTGTCTCTTTTGAACTGGAAAACCTGAGACGCATGCCAATGATTAGTAACAAACCTTTTACTGCCTACTGTAACATAGGCTTAGTAATAATGTATAATTTAAATTGTAAAATTCAGAACCGAGAAGATAGAACAGTAGCCAAGGTACCTAAGTGTCTCTTTTGAACTGGAAAACATAAGACGCATGCCACTGATTAGTAACAAATCTTTTACTGCCTACTGTAACATAGGCTTAGTAATAATGTATAATTTAAATTGTAAAATTGAGAACCGAGAAGATAGAACAGTAGCCAAGATACCTAAGTGTCGCTTTTAAACTGGAAAACCTGAGACGTATGCCAATGATTAGTAACAAACCTTTTACTGCCTACTGTAACATAGGCTTAGTAATAATGTATAATTTAAATTGTAAAATTGAGGACCGAGAAGATAGAACAGTAGCCAAGATACCTAAGTGTCGCTTTTGAACTGGAAAACCTGAGACGCATGCCAATGATTAGTAACAAACCTTTTACTGCCTACTGTAACATAGGCTTAGTAATAAAGTATAATTTAAATTGTAAAACTGAGAACCGAGAAGATAGAACAGTAGCCAAGATACCTAAGTGTCTCTTTTGAACTGGAAAACCTGAGACGCATGCCAATGATTAGTAACAAACCTTTTACTGCCTACTGTAACATAGGCTTAGCAATAATGTATAATTTAAATTGTAAAATTGAGAACCGAGAAGATAGAACAGTAGCCAAGGTACCTAAGTGTCTCTTTTGAACTGGAAAACATAAGACGCATGCCACTGATTAGTAACAAATCTTTTACTGCCTACTGTAACATAGGCTTAGTAATAAAGTATAATTTAAATTGTAAAATTGAGAACCGAGAAGATAGAACAGGAGCCAAGGTACCTAAGTGTCTCTTTTGAACTGGAAAACATAAGACGCATGCCACTGATTAGTAACAAATCTTTTACTGCCTACTGTAACATAGGCTTAGTAATAATGTATAATTTAAATTGTAAAATTGAGAACCGAGAAGATAGAACAGGAGCCAAGGTACCTAAGTGTCTCTTTTGAACTGGAAAACATAAGACGCATGCCACTGATTAGTAACAAACCTTTTACTGCCTACTGTAACATAGGCTTAGTAATAAAGTATAATCTAAATTGTAAAACTGAGAACCGAGAAGATAGAACAGTAGCCAAGATACCTAAGTGTCTCTTTTGAACTGGAAAACCTGAGACGCATGCCAATGATTAGTAACAAACCTTTTACTGCCTACTGTAACATAGGCTTAGTAATAATGTATAATTTAAATTGTAAAATTGAGAACCGAGAAGATAGAACAGTAGCCAAGGTACCTAAGTGTCTCTTTTGAACTGGAAAACATAAGACGCATGCCACTGATTAGTAACAAATCTTTTACTGCCTACTGTAACATAGGCTTAGTAATAATGTATAATTTAAATTGTAAAATTGAGAACCGAGAAGATAGAACAGTAGCCAAGGTACCTAAGTGTCTCTTTTGAACTGGAAAACCTGAGACGCATGCCAATGATTAGTAACAAACCTTTTACTGCCTACTGTAACATAGGCTTAGTAATAATGTATAATTTAAATTGTAAAATTCAGAACCGAGAAGATAGAACAGTAGCCAAGGTACCTAAGTGTCTCTTTTGAACTGGAAAACATAAGACGCATGCCACTGATTAGTAACAAATCTTTTACTGCCTACTGTAACATAGGCTTAGTAATAATGTATAATTTAAATTGTAAAATTGAGAACCGAGAAGATAGAACAGTAGCCAAGATACCTAAGTGTCGCTTTTGAACTGGAAAACCTGAGACGTATGCCAATGATTAGTAACAAACCTTTTACTGCCTACTGTAACATAGGCTTAGTAATAATG